GGCGAATGTTCTTCGCGATGGCAGTGCCATCAATCTTGGCGGCAGCCATTGCTGAACCGGGAAACGTTGGGAGTGGTGAGATAGCGGGGCTGATAGAAGAAAAATTGACGTTCACTAGAGACTGAATTGACGATGAACGAGACCGTCTCACTCCTTGGATAGAAGATTTATGGAGAAAAGAACGAGATAGAAGAGAAATATTTCGGAGAGTGCCCGCATGCACTTGGAGATAAAAAGTGCAGCGGGGTAGGGCCGCGGGGACGAATGGCATGAGTTATTGCTTGTTTGGGGGCAAACCCGCGGAGTTGCTACCGGCGTTGCGATAGGAAATCCAAAACTATACCTCAATTTCACATGTAACTGCTCAATATGTATACTGGGGTTAAGGCCAGCCCTGTCAAATTCGAGATATTCCCTTCACGTTCACCTCTTCTCTTCTTTTGTCTCTAATTAAGCTCATGCGGAGAGTCGGAGAGTTTCCCGGTTTCCCGGGCATCTCCTTGTTTCCGCCTGAGGCATGAACTTCCTATATGAGCCGCATGAGTAATCCAGACCGTATTAACCTTTTCAGGACCACCAGTTAGGGCTTAGGGTATTCAGGAACCAGGATCACGTGTAGATATCGGAATGCGGAAGATCTTAGCCTCCGATTAAGTCTTGGCATTGAGGGCCGAGTGTGCGATGAAATTCACTAGTCAAAGAAAGTGAGGTTGACGAGGTTGACCCCCCCCCCAAAAGCCACTCCGCCTTACCCATTCTGAGCCGAGCGTCTCAGATTTTTCCCCTCCGATACTCCATCTCGAATTTCCTAATATTCTAACACTTCGAAATGCGCCCTATTTTGCTTTCCGGCCATGTGCGTTACCTCCCTCGAAATCTTGCTGGATCCACAGAGACTGACCGCAGCCATCTATAACAACAGGAGCGGTCCTTGACCCAGATCAAGTTCAACAGCGATGGCGACCTCCTCTTCTCCGTATCGAAGGATAAGATTGTGTGCGCATGGTGGTCCGCCAACGGCGAGCGTCTCGGTACCTACAACGGCCACCAGGGTGCTGTCTGGACAGTCGATGTCAGCCCCAACACCATTCTTCTTGCAACCGGATCAGCAGACAACACCGTGCGTCTATGGAACATCAAGACCGGCGAGTGTGTTAAGGTGTGGGAATTCTCGACAGCCGTCAAGCGCGTGGCATTCTCCCCCGATGGAAGCAGACTTTTGGCCGTGACGGAAAAGCGCATGGGTTTCAACGGTACTATCGCCGTTCTCGATATCAGCTACGGCGAGAACCTTAGCGCACAGGCCGCCGAGCCCACCTTGACCATCGTTTGTGAGGAGAGCAAGGCCACCGTTGCGGGGTGGAGTTTCCTATCCAAGTACATCATTGCGGGGCACGAGGATGGCAGCGTCAGCCAGTACGATCCTAAGGTATGTCTTTTTTTTCCGGAGGTGATTTGAGGGGCATTGGATACTAATACCATCTCTAGTCTGGAGAACAAGTCGAGAACGTGCAAATCCACGAATTCGATAGCCAAATAACCGACATTCAGTTCGCACCCGATCGCCTGTCTTTCATTACTGCGTCGAAAGACAAGTCAGCTAAGGTATGTTCTTTTATAGATCATACTATAAGGCAATCCCGGCTAATAAGATGTAGCTCCTGTCCTCCCGCAACCTCGCCATTCTCAAAACCTATATCTCCGACACTCCTCTCAACACTGCTAGCGTGACACCTAAGAAGGATTTCGTCATTCTCGGTGGTGGTCAAGCCGCCATGGATGTTACTACCACCTCCGCCCGCCAGGGTAAATTCGAGGCACGATTCTACCACAGAGTGAGTATAAATATGCGATTTGAGTGACTTTATGCCCCACATACTAATCATCTTCTTATGCAGGTTTTCGAAGATGAATGCGGTCGCGTTCGTGGCCATTTCGGTCCTCTTAACACCATCGACGTTCACCCCGCCGGTACCGCATACGCCTCCGGTGGTGAGGACGGATACGTTCGTGTCCACCACTTCGACAAGTCATACTTTGACTTCATGTACGAGGTCGAGCGGGAGCAGGCGCGGAAGTAAAGAGCGGATGTGGTGAAGAAATTTGGGATGCGTCGTGTGTATGTGTTTACGAGGCGAAAAGACCTGGGATAGATCCCCCGAGTCCCGCATACGGAATGGGATGACCTTCCGGTCCACGATTTTCTCATTTCATTGATTCCATGATCAATCGGAGTTGGTACCTTGTGTTTGTGTCTTTGTTTAATAAAAAGATGACATGGTTCTTTTTTTGAGCTCATATGTCTGTCCTATCTGGTCCTCCGCAAAAGAGATGAAAATCGGGTAAATAGACAAAATCAAAGCTTTGCAAATCTTCAAATTGCGTTCAGACAGTTCAGGTGGCATCGAAAAGAGCATGATAGGAATTGCCTATATGGGTATGTCCATATGTACATAGGAAACAACTACGTATGTATCTATCCCATTGCCTATATAGGCTAGGCTCTCCTTCGTGTGCATGATATGCGAGGTATGCAAACACTCATCTACTCAAATCTACACTTAGATGTCAATTCCAAGTAGAAAAACATATGATAATATCAAAATCTGAGGTATCTCATTTATACAAATTTTTTTCGTGATATCTTCTCTAAGCCCGTTTCCCATGCAAGGCCAGCGCTTATCCGACCAGCAGAAAAGAAACCCGTAGAAAAAAACATAAAGAAAAGTGACGACTCATGAAAATGGAGAAGGAACATGGCAGTCATAGAGCGCAAAAAAGCAGATGCAGAAAACTTGAGATTTGCCCCCGTCTCATTCCGGAAGGGATGAAGACCGCGGACTCAACCCCGATCGTCTATTTCTTCTTGGGGAACTTTTCTGAGCCAATATCGGAACCACGCAGCTTAATGTTCAACACACGCTCCATAGCTCCGAGAACCTTCTGGTCGGGGGCGGCAGTGCCACGCTCGAAGTCCTGGATAATGGTCATAGTGGTGTTGCACTTGGTGGCGAGTTCCTTCTGGGTCATCTTGTAGCCCTCCTCGGTGCGGCGTCTCTTGATAGCATCAGCGACGGCGTGGCCGATGGTCTTGGGCTTGACGATATCGTCGCTGCGGTCGACCTTGGTCAAGTGTTGGCCTTCGGGGGCACCTGCCTTGGCGCTCTAGAAAGTGGGTTAGTAAAAGTTCAAGGTATTTTTCCGGATTTCAAAGGAGATTTCACGTACAATATTACCAGTGGTGTACTTCTTCTCGGTGACAACACCGCCAGAGCGCTGGGCAGCGTTCAGTGCACTCTTGCCCTTGATGACAGTCTCGCGGGGGGCAGCGCCAGCTCCGCGGAACTTGCTGCCGATCTTAGTGGTGGTGTCCCAGTCAGACATTTTGAAAGGAGATTGAATTTGGTGGGTTGGGTGGTGTAGGTTGGTAAGAATTAGAGCTGAGCGTGGAGGGAGATGACGTTGGTCGTGTGAGGGTGAAGACAGAAATGCAATTTATATCGATGACACAGAAGCTTCTCGAGGGAGGGGGGCCCGCACTAGTCCGCCTTGGGACTAGTGCATATCTGGGTCAAAGGCCCCTTGTCCTTGTTCATATTGTGGCTCGGCTTTTACATTTTACAGCATTTCTTATTTCTATTAGTTCAGTATGACTGTTCGCAGCTTGATACGGGGCTTAGTCTCTTTTCTGAGAGGGTTCAATGGGGTCTTGGGGGTTCGCTATACCCATCAGTAATTCCCCCACCACATCGATTGCCACAGCCACCTGCAATTATGCACGCTACATATTTCATACATTCAAGACCCAATTGCGGCAATTGTAAGATCCAACCCAATCAAATACACAGTCTTCAATAATACTATCTCGCCGGTTTTATATGAAAATTACAGATGTATTTAGTCAACCTAAACCCATCCACAAGATTACTTGACCCACAACTTGATGTCATAAGGCCTCATGTGTGTGGACATTCCCAGCCCTAATCACTGATATCATAGAAGGACAACAAAATATATCCTCAAGGACCACCCGCTATTCTCAAACAGTATGCCAGATGCTACATCGTACCGAATTAAGCACAGGAGTCATAATGAGTCTTCAATTATGGGTTCCCGCCACGAGGCTGAGCACATGGTCGGGCACCAGGATAGGCCTAGCCTCACTTCTCATCGTTCATTATTGTTCATTCCATAGCCCTATGGATAATTTGGGCATGCAGACCATTGGGCCTAAAAGCGAGGTATAAAGGAGGCAGCTTTTATTTTCTTGTCTGCTTAAGCAAATGGGATCTGGTGGAGTGGAGATGGCATACTATTGGCTTCATATATACAACACCCTCTATCGACTGTGCTGGTATGTATATCTTCGAGGTAGCCTTCTGCGGGTTTTATATGAAGCATTGTATCGCAACTGTCTGCTTCGTATCAGCTACGTCTTTTTCATTTTATATCAGGGCTTCCACATTTGGGATGGCGTGGTCGGATGATATATATAACAACATGGAGCTAGTATGTACAACATAAATTGAACATTTCAGTATGAGTTCTGTAGCCTAAATAAGACAGCAAAGACAGCAAGTATATAGCCGTCAGAAACTTATTTCCATCCGCTTTTCTTTTTGCTGTGTTGGAACCAGGAAGTAAACTTGTAGCGGAATGTCTATCCATTCTCTTTTGTTTCACTTCCATTTGCCGTAACAACCTGCATAGGTTCTTTCTAGCTGTACGATCCAAGCTCTAGGTGAATTCAAATGTGATGACGAAAGTCATTGGCTGAGATAAATATGTACTATGTAGCCCTAAGTCGGGATTGTGTCGCAATGAAGAGCAAATCAACATTTGAAGATTGGGGACCCTGAAATCTTTGGTCATAAGCCCGCCAATGAGCGATGGTAATTGAGCCCAGCCAATCCATTCAACGAAAAATTCAAGCCACCAACGCCGTATCAATGAAAGTGAGTACCAAGCAAAATGCCCGGCAAAATAGCCTAGCCGTATGATTAGAAGATGCTGTTCACGATATTGGAGCCAACAGTAGCACCGGCACCGAAGATTGCTAATATCAAGTTAGAAACCAAATAACGAGTACCATAAGTATGCAATACGTACCGGCATTGCCTAGTTTCTTTCCGAACTTCTTGCCTCCTTCCTCGAACTTGTTCTTCTTTGGCTCGTCGGGATTTTCGGGCTGTCCAGACTGGCTAACTGCAAGAGGCATGTTTCCATAGTTTGTAGGCGGAGGCGAAGAAATACCAGCCTTCTCAACGGTCACGTAGCTTTGAGGGAAGATGCCCTCAAGGCCAGTCCGCTCATTGCGACCACGCCACCCTGTCAGTCACAGGTTAGTTTATTTTCTATATCCGAGTGAAGGGATATAACATACAGTCCTTGTTCATTTCCTCGATAATCTGGATGCGATCCTGCGGCTTCATGTTCAAGTCACCTGCGTCGGAGGCGTGATATTCATACATGGCCGTCGCGAAACCGAGGGCTGGTGGCGGGACTTGGGGATAAGCCGGCGGGGCCCCAGGGGGCGGGCTTGCATATTGATTGTGCAGCGCAGCTTTCTCGTTCATTGACACATTGGACATTTGTGACACAGGGGGCGAGTATGAGGGCGTGTAGGTAGCGGGAGGGGGCTGTGATTGCATTGGAACATGTTGAACAGGCACAGGCTGCGCCAGCTGTCGGGGTGGCGATGATGATGCCTGCACTGCCCGAGAGGCATCGGAATCGGTGGGTAGCTGTGATAGAATGGAGGAGAGCTGATGCGGAGTGATCACAGAGGCATCGGCAAGAAATTCCAGTTCCTGGCAGATGTTGAATTAGTACCTGGATCGCATTTCAGGAACAGGAACAGAAAGCCATACCATCCGGACCATGCGGAGCGACCGGGTGGTCATGGCAGACGCGAACTGGTTGGAGGCTGCCATTTCGAAAGGACAGGGGTAGCAAATAGTGGAGAAAGACAAGTGCAGAATGACCAGAGAAGTAAAAAAAACCAGAGTAGGGAGAGTCGGAAGACACGGGGTTGCTGGGTCAGGTGTTATTTAGTAGCCTAATTCACCTGGGCAAGATCTTAGAATCTCCGCCCTGCCATCAACTACAACATTTACATCCACTATAAAGAATCATAAATTGTCTATCTGATTCAAAATTTTTGGCTGGATTGAATTGCCTCTTCTACTCGTCTCAGCCTTTCTTTTCTGTATTTGATGAATTGCTCAAAAATATATATAAATGGATGAAAAGAGCAATTGATCTGGATCTCAACACGTAGCCCAATATATAACACTTACCCTGTGTGCAACAGAAATTCGACCTTAGCAGGGTTAATTCCTTGAAAATCTCCGCCACTTTATAATAACAGGAATCGCTATTTTTCTACACCCACACTACTGTCATGGCCCTACCCAGGAGTGGTTGCCAGAACCGCAAGTTCCGAAGATTTCACACGCTCCTCAACCCCAGCCCTAGTACAGGAGAGCGCATACATATTCCTAATCTTGAATTTGTCTGTTCCCTATCTTTGCCTGGGCTCGATCAACGCCACATTCCAAAGCCCCAAGGATCGGAAGTGCCCAAAAAAACAACAACACAATGATAGTCCGGTAACCAACCGGTACATGCCATTAACATCTCTTCTTGCCCTCCCCGCATAACATACGTCCTATAATTATATAAAATTAACTTCTCATAAGCCACCTATGCATCAAGGATAAGTTACGCGCTGATCAAAGCAATGCCCCCCATCTAGACCCGCAGTCCGGGCTATAGCGCGATGCGGGCCGCAACTAGTGCAGTGACAACGGGGACTGTCGCTGGCACAGCGCTTACATGCCTGCCCTAAGTATCCTAGTGGGTTTCATATCCCGACAAAATTAAAGCCATGATCATACTGTTCGCGATATCATTCGTTGGCATGCTGTTATTGCCACGGGGAGGCGCTTCGCGGGCATATGGGCTCTGTACTTTGCCCTGAGTCGAGTGGGGATCGGTAAAAGATGCCCATCGATGGCGGATGGAGGATGGAGGGGTTTTCTCTTAAGAGACCGCGGTTTGGGCGGTTGGGAGGATGTTTAGATGGATTTTTTTCTTTTGTCTATGTTTTATTATGAATTGATATGTTAGATTTACGATATTTTTTATGATGCTTTCTATACTGTTTTTTATATCTTTGTTTACTTTTGTTAAGGCTGATGATAATTGGGATGATTTCACGAATAACCTTGCTACCGACTTGGTATGTTTATTCATATTGTCCGAATGAGGTCAAGGGGATGTGCTGATGCTTCGATTAAAGGCTCCTTTAATCACCTTGTTCGGCGAACGACTTACGAAACAATTTCTATCCGAGTCAATCAGCACTCTTGATAATGTCATATTTGCCCTTTCACCACTAGGAGTCTTGACTGCCGTTGTGTCGGTGATTAGGATCTGCGGCAGTTCTTCCCTGAGGGCATTCGTCGGACGAGCACAAGAAGGTCCTGCTGAAGCCGAAAGCGAACTTCTTCCTTGCGTCTCAGAATCTACAGCTGAACTTTTCAACGATGGCGGCATTACACGAGTCTTTGGCCGACCCAAGATCGTGGAGATAGTTGCTTGGGAGAATGTGGAGCATAATACTGGAGAAAAGGCGACAAAGATTGGCACTTTGAAAGATGCCCTTGAAGAGAAGGCTTGGTCTTGCAATAGCAAAGTTTCACCCAGTGACCTGCCTGAACTGGATATTCCTAATCTGTCATTAAACAAGGGAATCAAGAGGAGAGATCAATTTTGGTTTTATTGTGCTGCAATTCTTGGTGGTGTACTGCAGACTGGTCAGTAATTCTCCTTCTTTGAGCCCGCCCGAAATGCTAAAGAACCCCCCAAGGCACTATTGTGTACGCTACACTCACGGTGTTTGTATATCCCCAGCATTTCCAGAAAGACGACAAAGCTGTTGCCTCGTATGCATTCCCACTTTATCTCATCGGGACAACGCTTCTGTTTCTCGGAATGTTCTTCTGCGCATTTATCATGGAACGTTCCTCAAAAGAGTACTATCTCAAAGCAGAAAAGCCAAGCAAGATATACTGGCTGCAGCCCGGTAATCAAGATGTGGGTGACCAGGTCTTCAATGCTTTCTTGGCTGTCAATGAAGGGCCTGACTCTTCAATGACCAAGAAACTTCGTTATATCAAATCTGTCAGAGATCGAAGATTTGATAGGAAATATTTGGAGATTTACTCTACCCTCGCGTCGACAATTTTGGGATTCATCTTCCAGTTCATCGGACTGAGAGGACTTCATGCGTCTGTCATCCTAGCCCAGCTGGGATCGACATTCTTGATGTCAATTATACGCACTTGCTTGCGCACAGAAAGAATGGCACCAAACGAAAATAAGATGAAAGACGACCGGGAACTTACATCTCACAAGCAGCAAGAGATGGATTGTTTTGCATTTTATCTCGAGCAAGTAGAGTCTTTTGAGCTCGCCTCTATCCCTGACCGGCCAGCATGTATGCCTTCACCGAGATTCATGCCACATGTTGGAACCCCTTTGGCCAAAAACTTAATTCGAACTAGGACCCAGCTCGCAAGGCTCACGACCAGCTCAAGACAGAGCTTGGGCGTTGACTGGAACGGGATGCCCATTCGTAAAATGGCCTCCAGTCTTGCAGAGACTATCGAGTCGACGATGGATTTGGTTTCTAGTTGGGGAGTCAACCTCGGAAAGACCTTCGAGTTTCAACTTGCCTTTACGTGCAAGGGAGTCTCTGCAGGCTCTGTCACTGAAGCTCCGGGAACATATTCAATCGGTCTGATGCGATGCGGTGATGCATTGCAATGGAAATCGGATGCCAGCGAGCTAGAAGCGATTCTCGGCTTGTGGACTTGGTCGCTTTATAAGTCAAATGAAAACTGGCAGAACTCAACTCTTTGCCGTTTCATTGGATTAAGTGAAGACGAGGCAGGCAGAGAAGAAACATTCCTCTACTTTCACAAATGGATCTTCAGGCAAACGGAGGCGAGGCTTGTACCATCTGCAGGCTATGGTAATTCATCACGTCTATTTGGATTCGAGCCAAAAAGTCTTTCATATGATGGGAAAGTCCTGGCTGTCAGGACAGAGAATGAGCTCGAAGCCATGGTAGCGCAGGATATCTACATTCAATTTCTCAAGGAATTGTTCCTTAACTTGCATGATCTGGGTGGGGATGTTGATGTTATTCCCGGATTGCAAAACTCATTCTTAGCATCCAGTACTCGAATCGATGATCTCATAAGTTGCTTTTTGAATAGCAAATTGGGCTCAAGGGAGGATGCATTGCTATGTATTGTTCCCGTCCTCAGACATCGGCATCTCTTACCAGATCTAGCGGCAGATTCGGCCAAGGTTAGGGCTCGCAGGGAGCAGTTTATCGAGAAAGGTGATTGGAAAAGTGCATTTACACTTCTTCGCTGGATCTGTTCACGATCAGAGCGTTCCCAATTTGAGCGATCAGTCTATGAATTGGGGTTCCTTTGCCGTCGGGCACTTTTGAACACAAACAAACATGTTTGCAAAGAAGGACTCGAACAGACATGCGCGCTTCTCACATCCGACATCATAGATGAATTTATGAAAGCTCACAAAAACGTGTTGCCCTTACACAGGTCCGCATCCCATGATCGTGTGGAATGGTGGAACTCATTCTCGCGCCAACTCGGATGGATTGCTTGGAACATTTCGACCAATGTTCCAGGCATGGCATTCTGTCAACCTACTTTGAGAGCGCTCAACGTGTCTGAGGATCTGCAGGGATCCCACGACCAGAACCAAGACCCAGAAGAAATCCAAAAGGGCGTTCGAGCTCTGAAAGATTGGCTCACATTGCATAAGCTCGATGACATTGATCACGGAGATAACTGCGAAGACGAAAAAATAGGATTCGAATGGATAATCAGGAATAACTTCCATGCTTTGTTGCATTTCCTTTTGTTGCGATGGGTGGAGCTTAGCGACGAATTTCCTCTCCTTGGTCGGATGGGGTACAGTCTTGCAGCAAGTACTAGATCTAACCGAGCACTTGACATACTTCGCCGGCAGGGTGCGGATATTGAGATAATAGATCCAAACAATCGATCACCGTTGCTTGATTTGTTGCGTACCCATGATCTCGAGGGATGTCGACTGCTACTGCAAAATGGAGCCGACCCGAACGGTAACATAGAACAGTTGGAGATCAGTCTACTTGCAATCGCTGCTCATGAAGGCTATGATGATATTGTAGCATTGCTTCTACAGTATGGAGCAAACATTGAGATTACACATCATGCTGGTCACCGTGCTCTACACTGGGCAGCAAAGAAGAATCGTCTTGATACTGCCCGGGTTCTATTATCCCATGGTGCAGAAATCGACCCATTGGGGTATGACAACTCAACGCCGCTCCTAGTAGCCGCCATGAATAATCGGGTTCAGATGGCTGAATTGCTGATTAAAGAAGGAGCGAATGTCAACGCTCGAGGTCAATCCGGCAAAACCGCATTGATGCTATCCATGCATGCAAAGAATCCAGTCCCAATGTTACAGTTGTTTGTGGAGAACGGAGCTAGTCTTGATTTGCGTGATCACGGTGGATCAACGGTTTTAGATCATGCCAGAGAATATGGTTATACCGAGGCAATGTCATTTTTATGCCAGGTATCAGAAGAAGGGGGTATCAAAGAGCCATGAGATTCAACATTGTTCCTATCACCTTCAATTCGGAGAGATCCGTAAGATACGGAAGCTTGTATGCAACAACAAAATTTTAACATTATTTTTACCTCAGTCTTGTCCATGTTGCCGTCTAATGGTTTCCAAATCGCATGTTTGGAAATTGCCGACATATTTACACTCTGTACTTGGCACCGAGTCCCCTGATGCAAAATGTTGATAGCCCCTCATATTTGCCCAGCCCTGGGCAATCTTGGAAAGTGTCTTTTCGCTCTTGCTGTTTTCATGGCATATGGTATTCCGACGAATGAGCTATGTCAATATATGGCTCGGCAAAACTAATGCATAGGACACGCCTATCAAGTCGCGTACATGCAACATCTTTTAGCGCCCGGTGGGGAACATCAGTAGTACTCACAGTAGTGATGTGTGACTTGAGATTGATTGACCGTGAGCTGCAAGCCTCATCACACAAGCGGCCTAATCTTGCTATGGACAACTCTGTTCTAAGAATAGTGTAAGCTCTTGGTGAGGGGAAGCTATCTCCCCTTTAAAAGAGAAGACCCCGCGGAGCCCGCTCTGATTCTATTTCACGCATGATTACCCCGTACAACAACTCAGGCCATTTGGATGGCCATTGATCTTCTAATTAACTCAAAATAATACGCGAAAAGCTATAAGTTTTTGTCTTGACGATATTCACCCTACAGTGAGTTTGATCTCTTCTCCAGTCAATCTTGCCTTGTGAACACTGCGATTCTGACTACAAAAGTACCTTCACAGGAAAATAAACACATCAGTGTTCAGGTACCAAAATTGTATACCGAAATCATCCAATTACGCAAAATGTCTCAACAAAACTATCCTCCACCACCCATGACAGGTCAGTACCTTTGCAATCCACAAAAATGCACGTATACTGACCAATTTTGTAGCGCCGGCCCATATAACCTGTAATTAATTCCAATTGTGACTTCGATGTCCTAGTACTGAGTATTTCAGCATTTGCGCAATCCCAGAACCAAATAGATACGGCTCCCGCATTCCACTATCCACCTCCCCCAAGGCAACCGTCTCAAAATGGAGTATATCCCTCGGTCACCCCACCAGCAGAGAGTCCGCAGCCCCATCGACATACCTCTTCGAGTGGAGGATATGTAGCCCCTTCGAACGGAGGATATGCAGCACCCCCGAGTGGAGGATATCCGACTCCTTTGAGTGGGGGATATGCAGCTCCTTCGAGTGGAGGGTATGCAGCCCCACCGAAGTCAGTGAGCCCACCACAGGAGCTAGTTGCTCAGCACAATGCAGCTGCTTTCGAGAACAACAGTCTCATTGGAATGAAACAAATGCCCGGAGGAGCCCCGGCATATGGAGAGTTTAGTGGAGCAGGGGCAAACAGCCGAGATGATACTGGGACCTTCAACGGTGGCAGTTTTAGGATCAGCCACCGAGATACCAACTCTGTTTTGACAGTGCAACTGGCAGTAGGTTGTCCTTTGACTGTTAGACCCGGTAAGTCAATCACTCCAGCCATCCTTGTACGGGGATACGCTTTAGTTGATATCTTTTTCCAAAATGTGTATTGTTGTGGATTCTGATATTGCTTGATTCTTAGGTGCCATGATTGGAATGTCTCCAACGCTTACACTGAGAGGAAGCGTCTCGTTCTCGTTGAAGAAATTTGTCATTGGGGGTAGCATGACTATGTCCCATTACACCGGTCCTGGTGAGCTTTTGCTGGCACCTTCAGTATTGGGAGATATCATGGCCGTCCACATGGAAGAACCAGACAAATGGAAGATTGGACGTGACGCCTTCCTTGGACATACCGTGGGTGTCGAGCATAAGTACCAGGCCCAAAGTTTGTCCAAGGGTGTTTTCTCCGGCGAGGGATTTTTCATCTATCACATTACAGGGGCTGGCATTCTTTGGATCCAGAGTTTCGGTGCAATTATTCAAAAAGATGTAAGTCTATCATGCCAGATGATTTGATAAAAATGGTTATCTAACACGTCTATCCCCTACAAAGCTTGCAGAGAATGAGTCATACTTCGTCGACAATGGACACCTTGTGGCGTGGAACTGCTCGTACAAGATGGAGCGTGTGGCCTCTGGTGGTATCATCTCCGGTATCAGCTCTGGTGAGGGTCTTGCGTGTAGGTTTACAGGACCTGGAACTGTCTATCTACAGACCAGAAACCTGAATGCCTTCGCCGCTCAAATGAAGATGAGCACAGCAAGTGGTTAATTCTTTTGCATCCATTCCACCAGAACAAGTCAGTTCCAGCGAATTCCGTTTAACGAAATTTATATGTTCACTTTTACATTCATGAGAAAAACGAAGTTGTCCCCCAGATTATCGTCGTGTGTTTTTGTTGTACACTTATTCGATGCATCGGGCACAGGCCCAATCGTGTGGAGGTCTCTATTTTATACCAATTTGCTATGTTATAGGTGGATGCTCTGGTTATATCAGTACATTTTATGCGAAACTGTTGTGTATTTCCGCAGCGTTATCATGGAAATTTCGAATGATTTTGACTTACTACAACATACCTACGAGCCTGTGTTGCTGTTGAAAGCTCTATTAAAAAAGTACCCGATATCTCTCGAAGATCTTGAAGCTGGAGACTTGGATCTAGGTAAAAAGAGCCAGGTCGGCTAATCCATTTACCTATACGCAAATGTATCGAAGAGCATATCAGACTCGTAGGCGTTCGTTCCCCGGAAGGGTTTAACCTAAGGTGAACTGAACGTCAAGAGTGGCGGGCGATTCTACCACAATCCTAATTGTTCGCACAGCAAAATCATACAGATTCGAAGACATATAATGATATCAATCCATTTCATGCGAAACTATTTTTTATTCTTCAAATCGTTTCCTCATCTCAAGCCCGTCAGGGTAGAAAGCAAAGCAACAGTGCCTTCCTTCCACCCGCAAAAGCTCTAGTAAGTGACACGCCATAAGGAAGAGATAAAAACAAGCCCTTCCTTCGCAAATTGCCAGTACAGCTCCTCCGTCCGCTTAGCCCACACGCTTTCTGCGGCCGATCTGGGAACGGAAACCAGTCTTGATGGCGGCGACGGAACGACGGGATCCACAGGAGTTGCAAGTAACGAAATAGAGACGGTTCTCTCCCTTGTTGAGCTCGGTGTCGGGGCTGCGGCAAGTCTTGCATGTGACGTACTCAACAATATAGCGACGCAGAACCGATTCGATACCCTTCTGTTGGAATCTTCCCTTGATGACCAGGCGACGGGAACCGTCGACACTGCCGGATGTACCGAGTTCGGCGAACAGGAATTGGGTGCAGTGTTCCTCGCTAATTAAAAAAGATATTTAGATAGGAGATCTCAAAGAATCAATGGGGAAGAAGCATAACTAACCTTCGCTTCATGCGCTTGCAGATATCGGCGATGTTGGCGAAAATGGTACGACGGTTACCTTCACGCAGGCACTGGGGCGGGGGGATCTTGTACGACTTGGCGCCGCTGGACAGAAGGTCGGGGTGGTGGCTCTCGATGAGGGAGAAGAAGCGGGAGACGAGGAGCGAGTAGGGGATGGCTTGTGTGGCGTCGTGTGCCCAGATACCGGTGCCGGCCTCGAGATCGCCCTCAGGCAGCTCCTCGGGCTGTTCCTCGCCAGCCTCCTCAGCAATACCAGCCTCAGCGAGCTTGGCATCGAAGTCGTTGGGGTCGACCTTCTTAGACTTGCTGCTGCTCTTCTTTTTCTTCTTCAGCGCGGAGGGATCGAATTCGCCATCGGCGGCAGCGGGGGCTTCCTCGTCATCGCCGGCTTCGGTGGTCTTAGACTTCTTGGAGGTCTTCTTCTTTTTTGAGAGACCCTTGAACATCTCGGTGACCTCGTCGACATCCTTCTCTGTACATTCAAGAGATTTGTTAGTGGGGCTGAGGCAAAGGCGACCGGGGGATTGAAGCTGGGATCGGAGAGGTATTGCATACCTTCTGTGGGCTTGACAGCCGCGGGGGCGTCTGTGACTTGGCCGTTGGTATCCATGATGACCGATCCTTCGCTGAATGCGACCGACTTGCGCTGTTTAGTCTCGATTTCCTGAGCGGAGCGGCAAAAAGCGGTGTTAGTATGAGAAAAAAGAGAAATAGTAGAAGAAATCGTGTAGCCTGGCTTTCAATGAGAAGTACCAGTCTTTAACCCCGGGCTCAACAATGTGTGTTCTTGAATCACTGTGGTTGGTGGCCGAGGGGTCGATATTGTGCAGACTCAAAGAAAATGTGGGAGGGTCGGTAAAAAGACAAGGGTGTGACGTACAGCGTCCGCCATGTTGTGAGGCTTCAAGTATGCTATTCACTCAACCACAGTTCGTAGGAGATGAGTTCAGGTTGTTGCGAATTCGAGGAGCTAGAGCAATAGGGTAAGAAGGCAAAATTGTCACTGGAATCTGATATCGCCAGGCCTGAGAGTGAGTTCTGTTATCGCAGTACAGGCACGTGACCTCGAATTGAGTCACCAGATTACACGTCACGTGTTTGATTACGGGAGCTTCCAGGTTGGCACCGCCAGATCGATGAAGGCAAACAGTTGCTCTTTCATTTACGTATGACCGCAGTAGGCAGGCCACTGCTTGATCAACACCACTTCCCTCATTTACTCACTATTCTCTCTTTACAACCATCTCCACCATGTCTTTCCCCGATCCAGACAGCTCAAATCCCTCCTTTTCGATGTCGGCGTACATGGTCCCCTCCCGACAGAACTCATACTCCGAGTCCGACGATGAGCTCGCCTCCCTCCCTTCAGAATCTACACACGACTCTGAACTCGATACCTTGTCTGAATATTCCTCTGATGCCGAGGCAGAATGGCAGGAAAGCATTGAACAACTGGAGCTACTTCTGACCATGGTCCTGGTACCGTTCATTGGGAAATACCTGGGACGACGATGCGCGTATTGGAGTATGTCACGGCAACAAGCTTCGAGGTATTGCTGTATGTGAGAGTATAAATTGCTAATGGATTGGCCTTTTAGGTTGGACGCGATTCATGCAGTGGAATTACCCAGTTGAAGTGGTGATGCGGAACCCGGCCGCATTCAAGGCAGCAGGTGTGATCGAGGCGGCTGCGACTCTCTGATAGATTATAGTCCCGATCGCCTTGTAAGCACTTGCTGCATGTCATTTTATCAAGCGTGCCATCGTCAACTGTACGACTTTCACCTCTCAGCGTTCGAATACCTATACAAGACCGACCCGACTCAATTTTCGTGGACTCTGCGATATATCCACGACCCAAAAAAAGCTACAAAATTGCCTCAAATCAAATCCAAACTCCCAATAATTCTTGCGCTGGTTGTATCTGGCGTTGCAGGGGACCCATGATCGAATCCAGTGTTGTTTTTTCCTGATTGATCTCTCGTGGTTTGCAATTGTTTTTCGTCCAACGGCAGCATACATGGATAGGTCAACTCCATAGCTTGAATAGAGACAAGCATTTGGATTTGAACCATCTGACGATGTGTTTAATTACCTGTCCAAGACTGTTATATACCCAATGAATTCATCAACCATCATCAAGATTGATAAGCCAGCACAGCTGGGTGCCTTCTAGACTATTATCGATTTACAGGGTTTAGGGCCTGAATATTGAGGGGCCTGGTTGGAATGAACTGGGTTGAGTCAATCTTCTGCTGAATTAGCTCAATCATTGTTACAGGCTCTAGTCTGATCAGATGATTTCAAAGGGGAGGTTGCCCTCATGTACGCTGTCTTGCACTTCAAGGTTCCCCCACCATTGGCTCTATTAACAGTTGAATTTAAGCTAGGTAGGTATGTACATGAAGCTGACGATATTTTGCCTTGATATCATTGATGACTGATGCAAATGCGATCAAGTTGCTATTGACACTTTTGACTGTTCAATTTGATAACCATGCTGCTGATGAAGATCAATAGAGCTTGTTCTGTCGCCAGAAACGAGATAATCGGGGAGGTTGGCTCTGTCGCGCATCGATTCCAGCTGACGCGTGCGGTTGTGACTGACCATATCCAGTAGTCAGCCATGGCAAATCATTGCTCTGGTCAACACAAGGATCATTCGAATGACTCGTGGGTAGTTCGTGCTGGCAATAAGGCTCAGGCGAACTTTCGTCATACTGTTCTTGTATGATGTCTTGGGAGACCGTTGCCAAAGGCTCTGTTTCTCCCGCCTCTACCTGTTTGGTAGGAATATCGGAGTCCCGAATGCCCGTTGATTCTGGGCTATTCGGAAGATCAGTGCTATTTAGTTCGGGAGATTCAAGTGAGTGCTGTAAGTCTGATGCAACTTCTGCCGCGACTTCAGGGCGCACGATGGCGGAGTAAGCAGCGTCCAGTGTACGATAGAACACATCATCATCTTCGACTCGACCCAGCTCATAAAACTCGATGTCAGACATATGCGGCCGTTTGACCTCTGGTACGGATACAGGAAAAATGACATCGTCATCTGCTGATTGCTGAGAGAAGAGCTCACACTGATCTTTATCCAAGATATCTATGAAACCATATTGGTTGTTTGATGTGGTGGTGGCCTGGGGTTTCGGATAGCCTGGGTTATCTGAAGTTTGGCGCGGTTCTTCCTGCTGTTGCTCGAGAATTGAAGATTGTTGCGGTAGATCGTTTTTCACACTGCAAGCTGTTTCACAAGCGACAGTCGAACCCGGAGATTGCTTGGATTTTTCATTTTGTGCACAACCGATATCGTCAAGATCTAAATGATCTGATGCAATGATCTCCGGAACTACTTGTAAAGCAGTTTCAGCTTCGGCTGCAGCTAGTTGCCCCATGTTGGATTCGGGTGAAGTTCGCTTTTTGTTGGCGGCGTCATTTGACCATGACGTCTTTCTCTCCTCCAAAAGGACACATAATTCCGCAAGAGTCCAATATCGTTTGGCTGAGACGGTATTTGTGATCTCAGAGCATAGCACTTCAGGATGGACTCCGACATGCAGCAGGTTCAACAGGTGTTGCTCGAGAGCATGGCTTTGTTCTGCGCCGTCCACCACAGTTTCACTCCAAGTGTATGGAATAGACGATGCTTGTTTTGATGTCTTTCTTCTTTTATTGCGGGGCTTGGGGGAAGCACTCCGAGAATGGTTGGAAACTGGGGAAATCTCGCTGACGGGGGCCTCTTCAGATGTGAATAGTGGTGTGACTGAGGTATCAAGTTGGTGTTTCCCACCAAGCAACTTGTTGTTTGAATGAGCCATGTCGAGGGTGAAGTCACGTGCAGGATCTTCGAACTGCTGCTCTTGAGGATGGTACTCTCTCTCATGCTGTCCATTGAACGTCTCTCTGGCAGTCGACGTGGGATACGGACTCAAATTTCTCCTCCGGAACAGAAAGTTCATTTCAGAAAAGGCAAGATCAGATTCTGCAAGGTACTTATGCGACTTGATGCTTGCTGCAGGTTTTGCAAGAGCGGTTGACAGGGTATTTCCGTGATGACTGGTTGTATTGGCTGTAGAAGAAGATCGTCCCTTGCCGAATATACCCAGGTTTGTATTGTTGCGCAGCTACTTGGCATAAGTAAGAAGCAGTGAGACTATGCAGAACACTACTTACTGTCAATCTGTTTCCAGTCACATTGATGGCCTGGAAGTCATCATTCATGGTGTGCCTCCTGCCTCGGGACTTCTTGGCTCTTCCTTTGCGAGACTGCGACTGGGCCTCGACGGCCGATGATGGGCCTTTGTACTCATAGCGATCCTCGCGAGTCTTGTGTCTGGGCCTTAGTTCGTAACCATCCCGAGATCTCTTATGACTCTCATTTCCGGGTATGGTCTCTCTAGTGGACGACGTTTTGGTTTGCTCGAGGTGACCTGAATCTCTTTTCTTGCGGGCTGAAGCTCCATTCCCGCACACACTATCAGATACCTCTAGTGGGATGCGGATCCGTGGTATGCCCGTTGCAAGAGTTGTGTCCTTCACCTGTTCCTGGTTCTCAACTAAAGCTTTGTTAGCGCGGAAGCTTCATAGTTCTTGCAACAACATGCCTCCATCTTGATTGCGATTCTGTTCCTGGTCCTCCACAGTGGAAAGCCACTGATAAATTGGATTATCTTTCTCCATCAAGAAGGTTCTCAAATGATACTTGGCTGTGTAGAAATGACGTAGACTTGAAGGGCAACTGGACAGAGTACTCCAGGGCTGTGACCTGAAAGCAGACAAATCTGACCGCCGAAGAAAGTGCGACCAGCTCAACTTCATTCCGCTCATCCTATCTTTTCATTGTTTCTTCAAATTCCCTTAAATTCCTAATGTTTGCTCTTTGCTTTTTTCATGTCCCCTCTCTCTTCCTCAATACTTATCTTACATGGGGAATAATGGTTCCTCGAGTCTTCTATGAATTACTTTTTTTTTTTTTCATAGGCTTTCGGCGCTATTCTCCCATAGCTGCTCTTCTATAAACTGGAGATGTTAGAATTGTACGCAATCCTTGTGTCCGACATTTCGCGGGATCTTTTCCGGCATACGCAGTACACGGCCCACGGCCCAAGCCGCATGTGGGCCGGAGCACTGCCTCTCGGACACATGCACATGCACAACAACACTTTTGGGACAATTGTCTGAACAGGGAGGATGGACTGGTAATCAAATATAGATTCCAATCTACATGGATAGACCATCCGATCCTCTCAGTCAATTCCCGACCGAATTGAGGAGAAAAATCCACAAAGCATAAACATGCATACAACCAATCATTCCCAGACCTGTGAGGTGCGAAGACTCTACCAAAATTCCACTATCCATGTGTGGACCCCACCTAGGATGGCGTTGCTTTCAAGGGACTTACATCCTGGCAGTGGATAAGAAGTACGGACCTACTCCGTACTCTATACATACTATGCATACGGGTTTACAGAATCCAGGTGCTAATCCAGCCCTTTGAAACCCAACGCAGAATCCTTCATATTTCCAGTTAAGTGAGGGGCAAACAAAGGTACAACGTACATCAGCCGTTACTCCTAGTGCCGCCAATCCAAACGGAGCCTCGGACACCGTCTGATGAAATTCCGACGAGACCCGCAATTCAATCAGCTCAAGGTTTAGGGCCGTGGCACTGGGCTTTGAAGTGTCTATCTCTGCAGCATATATCACCCCACTTCGGAGTACTCTTGGGGCTGAGCCCGGGCCTTTCTCACTCTAGTTCCTAGACAAAGACACAGTAAGCATTATATTGCGCGGACTTGCCGTTGGCGTCCGACCAGTGGAAAATTCCCAAGGTGGGAGCCCTAACGCAGTGTGATTGTTACACGGGACTGGATGCTGACTCGCCTCTTAACCACTAGGATCTCCCTGTTATTTCACAACCCGGATTCTGATTTTTATCCTTTCTTTTTTTTTGATCTTCTTCCCTTCAACACTCTTCTTATTCTCAGATCAAGTCAGAGTGTCTCTCTTCCAGCTTCCTCTGTTAGACATTCAACACGATGTCTAAGCTCTTTGTTCAGTATGTATTTTCTATCTGAGAACAAATTTGTGCTATAGGAGCCAGTCTAACCGTTGCTACGATGGAATTTAGCGGCCTTTCTTGGCATACCAGCGATGATACCTTGCGCGAGGGTTTCCAGCAATTTGGAGAGATCCAAGAAGCTGTCAGTGTGCCTTGATCAAAGTACACACTATGTTTCTTGGGCTTCTACTGACTCTACTAACTGTAGATTGTTGTGAAGGACCGTGCGACTTTGCGGAGCCGTGGCTTCGGCTTTGTCCGCTTTGCTACGGACGCTGAGGCAGATGCTGCTTTGAATGCCATGAACAACCAAGAGTAATTCAATCTCACCTTCATCTTACTTCAAGGGAAATCTCATGCATTGTTCAGATTCGACGGAAGGGTCATTCGCGTTGACAAGGCGTTTGACCGACCCCAGCGCAGCGAAGGTGGCTTCCAAGGCCGTGGTGGATACAATTCTCAGCCCCAATCTTCTTATCAGGGTGGTCAGGGTGGTCAGGGTGGTGCTGGTGGTTACGCTGGCGGATACAATAACAATGGCGGGTACAACAACGCCGCTGCTGGTGGATACAGCGGGGGCGGTTACAACCGTGGTTACAACAACAACTTTGCCCCCAGCGGTCCCGCTGGCTACGGAGCAGGTGGTCCTGGCGGTTATGGTGAGTTTCTTCATTGCACTTTTTTTTGGGTTATTTTTGCTAATTAATTATATATAGGCGGTGGCCCAAATACCGGATATGGCGGTGGTGGAGGTGAGATCAAATATTATCTTGGCAGCGATATTAACTAACATCCACAGGCTGGCGTGGAAACAACCATGAGCAGGCTCCTCAGGACGGTCAGCATTAGATGATTGGGCGTCTTTTCATTTCCTCCCCCTATGCGCCTTTCTTCTTCAGCAATTCCTTCTAAAAGAAGTGACGATCTACAACGACTGGAATACGGTGGAAGATGAGTTTGGAACAGCGGGGTGCTACCCTGGTATTGAATTTGTAACGGGGGATTTGCTATTTTTCTTCGCGCTGAATTTGCTAGGAAGGGAATATGGGTGCTTGAGCTTGGGTTTTATTGGATGCTGATTTGAGCATTTATACGGTTGCATTTTGCCTTATCTCACCTACAGACCTTGGGGCTTTTCTTTCTCTATTTGGCAGACTGACTCATCTGGTTTCATATCTGCAATGCCTGTTTGCGTTTCACGGCATATTCTTCCTATAACAGAGCACACAAAGCAAGGACAATGATTTGATGGACAGTTAAGCATAATATGAGTTTATCCAGTAAGGATTATGGGTGACGGATTGAATTATCATGTTTTTTTTCCAGGGGAGAAAATCAGACATCTGCCACTTTTACTTAATGTTCTATTATTTTGGGCGGCCATGATGCTTATGCGAGATATTACTCCTTTCCATTGGGTATCCTTGCTTTTTAGAAACAGCCATTCCCGACCAGGCTGTACCCCGACCAGGCTAGGAGCAAGTCCGAAGTGAGAGATACGTATCTAAAAGTACTTGATACCAAGAGCAGACAAAACCAGAGTTACACCAAAGCCCATACGCTCTATAGTGTGGAAACCGTGCATTTTCGGTTGCTAAAAGCAAATATAACTAGCAAAGCGGTAACCGGTTTATGTAGGTTTCCAAATTGTAGTGGCTCGATTCATCACTATAGAGGATAATGGATTAATAGTTTCCCCCACTATCTTTTGGATGGGACCCTACTCCACTGGTTGAATCATATGTTTTGCCATCTAAATATTCTACTAGACAAATATGCAACATATACTATGTGCCAAGAGAAAGCATCAGTCACCAACAGAGCCTCAACCCATACACCTCATTCAATGGTCGCACGGTCATCCTCCCGATCAGACACTTCAGCCGAGCTCTCCAAAGACCTAGTAACCTTAAGTTCCGCCTCTTCCTCCTCAGCCTCTGCAAGTCCCTCAGCCTCAATAGCTTTAACCCTCTTAACCAAATCTGTAACATGAACATCCGCAGTCCCAAGCCCAAGACCCTCAAGAGCCTTCTCCAGCAAGAACAAATACTCTGACCCCTTCCCACTCAACCCGTGCCCAGCACTAATGACCTGTGCCACGTGCTGCGGGTCGCGATCAGCAGCGTCACGCAGGAACTGCGGGTTACTCGGCTGCCCGATGTAGACCATGCAGATGATTGGAGAGGACCCGGTGCCTCCGACTTCCACTGTCGGGTGGAAGGGCGTGTAGTGCGCGCTGTACCCGTCGATCTCCCGCTCGTCGAGATAGTCGTGGACTTCTTCAGCATGAGATGCTGGGATGTGGTATGCTGCGCCCCAGACTTTGCCTGTGGAGGATAATTCGGATTCTAAGTGGGCGAGCTACGGGGGATGTTAATGTGGTGGCGTGAAATCACAGTGGACAGCGAACATACCGGGTCGTCCAGGGTCTCCCAGAAGGTTCGCTCGATTACGGTGACTACTCGGCCTGGTTGCTCGGGGGTGCCGCGGTGATCGGTACTTTGGAGCAAGTTAGTGACTTGCAATTCTCAGTAGGGTTGAATGGCAGTGCCTGTATATTGCGCACAATCAACGACATACCTAGCCTGGAATTCATGGACGATAACCAAAATGTTAGTCCGGCTTTTTCGAATGCGGATATATAGAAAGTCTTCCCCTTGAGTGAAGGGTTTACGCACCTGCCAGAAGCGCCTCACATAACCGCTGATATAGCCAGGTACGCGCTGGTCTGAGCGATATAGTTAGTCGATTGCTTCTTGATCAGAAGCGACCAGTAAGAGGTCTTGTTTTAGTGCTGCCATTAAGCAAATTCACTCGCAGTTTCACATACCATAATGTGGAGGCGGTTTCCAGATCAAACTCCTATGAACATAATCAGTATTCAATATTCGACTGCTCAGTGACATTATTTCGGAACAGAGTTAACTCACCCATAACCAAATACCCAGAGATCACCCTTGGGAAAATGGCTCTTCCACGTCCGACCGTCCGGATGGACCTGGTGTCCTTGTGCAATGGCAGCCATATCGAATATTTAATGCCAAGTGCGGTCCAATCAGTTTATTGGCTGCACTTTTCAACCTTCCGGGGAAGGGATGGATTAATAATTTGCTCCGGTGACCCGGGACTGCTCCAGGGCTGATTTTCGATGGGATCAGCGCGTCAATTTCCAAGAAGAAAATTAGGGCCTCGGACTGGTTGCTAAAGATGGACTGCTGTTATAAATTGAATTTAACTCCAATTGTACGAACATTCCAGATGCCGAAGTTGCCCAAAATTGTTCATACACATATTGTTTGCACTGTTTGTTCATGGATATCCCGCCATCTGCGTGATGGATGAGACATCTATCGCCAACGATTTCGGAGTATGTGGGATAGACAAGTGCTGAAATGGTCTATATATAGAACAAATCCAATACTTGTCAAATATCTGGCTGAAAGGTATCTGGCGATGTGAAATCCTATTCATGTGAGACGTTGGCTCCTGTCTTGAAAAATGTCTCAATTGAACCTCCTTTCCAAAGAAGTGCCAAGTCCAAAAACTATGATAGAAATGAAGAATACAAGTGTATATTCTTATGGGATGAATCAAAAGGTGTATTTGCAGCTTGATACTAACTGTATAGCCCTCGAGCGCTGCCTGTTGTCGCCCAGCTTGCCAACTTTGCTTTTTGATACGATAGTATTGATGTGTTCATCGTCCTCACAACAGCCCTAGGAGCTAATGAGTTAGAGCGTGAGACCTTTAAGTCCTCGTGCCATTGCTTGGGTATGGGTTCTGCAAGCTCTCGATGGCTACATAAGTCAATCGCTCTCCAGGGCTGTTCCTGGGACTCCCTGATGTACAATTCCCTATATCATTCTCTCTTGAGCAAAAAGGCCATGTCGATCAAACATTTCCTTGGCAGCATACTTAATCTCAGCCGCAAAGGTGAGGATTCTTCATCTCCATCGCAACATATTGAACACAAAATACCTGGATGGCAGCCTTCATACCTTCGGCGACGAGTGTTGATCGTGTTCGTGATGACATTCTGTGGAGTTATAGCTACCCTCGAAGCACTCAACCATGTCTCCCAAGTTCACGACAGAATTAACTCTTCAGTCGAAATCTACCGCTATCTCTGGACCTACGGACCCACTGCCATGTTCACTGTGATCGCTACCTTCTGGTCGCGTGTTGAATTTCAAGTGAAGCAAAGAGCGCCATGGAAGTCGACGGCTGAGAGGTCTGGAGAGGCCAGGGAATTCATACTCTTGGACTATGTATCTGAGACACAGCTGTCATCTTTGGTCAAATCCATAAGAAACAAGCACTTTGACGTGGCGGCTGGAGTTACCTGCTCTATGCTTCTGCGTCTCTTGGTCATTTTCTCGACCAGTCTGTTTTCAGTTCAAACGGTTCAAGCGCATCAATCATCGAATCCAATTCAACCTTCAGCCATCGGACATACTATGGCCAAGCAACATCGAATTGTCATGACACAGCTCTCCTTCCGTGTGCTGGAGGTTTGTCTGATACTAGCGATCTCGCTATCTGTTTTCATGATCTATCTGGGACCACACACGACTATTGCACCTTGGAATCCGAATCCCCTTTCATCTATTGCTGCGATCATGACAAGGAGCAACGAGATTTGTCAATCACTTCGTGGGACTGGTGCGACTCCAGTGGATGTGCTTCATGACAGGCTGAAAGAGCGGCGGTACTATTCGCAACTTACTCCCAAGGGCTTTTTGATCAATACAGAGGGAGTGGATCACAGAAACCCCGACGAACAAGAACACCATACATCCTTCTGGGCACCATATCCTGGTCTCATTGCTCGCGGTGGCATTTTCATTGCAATCATATCACTTATTGCGGCATTGGGGATTGTATTGCATGTCTCGCAAAAGAACGATGGATTGGGAACTGTGTCTTCTAATGAAAACCACCATTATCTATGGACGATAATTCCATCCGTGGTCATGGCCAGCATTGGTCTCTTGTTCGGGAGGATGGACTTCAACACCCGAAGCCTAGCACCATACGCACAGTTGCAACGACCTGCCGGCGCGCTGTTCGAGGAATGCATGACAGTGGACTATCTAGATTCACTCGCTATCACCAGCATGATCCGTTCAATCCGCACAAGACAGTTTGCTGTTCTAGCTAGTACATTAGCTACCTTGATCACCTCGTTCCTGGTCATCGTCGCAAGCGGACTGTACTCTCCAATCGAAGACTTGCACCAAACCAGTATAAATTTCACCCAAGAAACGACTTTTTACACGGATAATTTAGCGGACGCTAAATTTTTTGATCGCATCCAAAGGTCCAGCATGCTCGTTACCAACCGCATTCTTCACAAAAATCAGGCATTTCCCCGCTGGACCTATGATGAGCTTGCATTCCCCGAGCTTTCCATGGATACACTCTTGTCCAGCAATGAGACAGATAATTTATTTGTAGACATTCGAATGCCTGCCCTGAGAGCCGCTCCCGCCTGTTATTTCCAAACGGGCAGCCAACTGCAGTGGAATTTCACGAATATCGATTATGGCAATGAGTCGACCTACCAACTCGGCGTTCTTGCGCCTAGCATGCCCTGCTCTTTAGCAGACCAAGACATGGGATCAACTACCCCGACGCCTTCACTGGCTGTTCTCAACTCCCAAGGCCTTTTCGGGCAATCAAGTATGCTCCCATGCGGCAACGGCTACAATGCCAAACCCGCAACCTTGTATCTCTGGGGAAATATCCAAACCGAGTCCGTGACGAGCATAAGTGCGATGACTTGTATTGAAGCCGCCGAAACAGTCGACACCGTGACACGATTTCAATTGCCTGGCTTTAACATCACCGATGACAATCCCCCAGTCCCTGACGAGTCATCTGTGAGATCAGCCCCGGGCATTGATAGCCCGTGGATCAGTTGGAATAATTTCAATACCACAGATGCTATAGCGCAGAACTCAAAACTGGATGGGTTCTTCACGGCGTTGACCATGGGCAAATATGCGATCCCAGCAGAAAATCTGATTGATTCAAACTCCAGCGATATGGTCATCAAGGCAATTCAGCACCAGGAGAGAGTCCTCAAAGCACAAGTATTCCACAATTACTCCCGCAGAGCGGCAGGCAACACGCCAAACCGTGCCCCTATATTCGGGAACATGACGGCATCGAACCGACTGCGCCTATCACAAGATGCAGCTTCAACGTATGTCCTCGAGGCACTTCTCGCTTCTATCCTCGTGCTGGGTATAACCAGTTCCTTTCTCATGAACACGGATCGCGTCTTGCCAAAGAACCCCTCCAGCATCGCCGCCGTTGCGAGTCTTCTTGCTGACTCGAATATCCTCGCTCAATACGAGAAGGTCACAGGTGATCCGAATGAACAGTCCCTTGGTCGGGCTTTCTTTTCCCGGTGTCGCTTCTTTCTTGGATTCCAGGGTGACATATCTGATCAGGCGGATCCTTGGCTATTTTCAGAGCACCAGGGTTGCGAGAAGTACTGTGTATATTTTTCAGAGCGGGATGATGAGACGTTGTTGGGTAATGGGTCAATGTGGATGAGGAAGGGATTCTGGGCAAAAGAAACAAGGGTTGAAGAGCAGTCAGTATGAGGCTTTGCGTTTTGAAGAAAGTCCGCACAACCCTAGATAATTTACTCGCACACGAATGCACAATGAGAATTATCATCCCCAAACCATAATTTTCCTCATGTTCATCTTGGCACCTAAGGATGATCTGATCTGCACTAGAAATGGTCAACGGAAACGAGGTGGACCAACCTCGATAATCTTTAATCTACGGCAATACATACTATATTTGTGCTACTACCAGGTCATTTTGTGTGCTTTTGTCACGGAAAATACATACAAACATATGTCGTCTGTGGGTGTGCGTGTAGCTACAAAGACAGTTTTTGTGCCTCATCCAACCTCCAATCGCCATTTCCTTTCGTTATCGCTTATCGCTTATCATTTATCGTTTATCGGCCATCGTGTTATCGGCCTCTTTTTCTCCCGCAAACAACCATCACACACGCCTCGGACGCTTGGTGCTTTGTTGATTTGGAATTCCTTTTTGAAGCTGTTCAAGCTTTGAATCACGATTTTAATTATGGCAGGCCTAATTCGTCTCCTCAAGATGCAGTACACCCCTCCCGTCGATCCCAAAAGTGTTTCCTTCGCTGGCAAGATCGTCATTTTGACAGGTGCTACCTCGGGTCTTGGATTTGAAGCTGCTATCAAAATGCTCAATCTTGGTGTCGAATCTCTCATCATCGGATCCCGAAGCCTGGAAAAAGGCAAACAGGCCAAAGCCGACCTCGAAAAGGCCACCAACCGCCGCAACGTGGTCAAAGTGTGGGAACTCGAGATGAACAGCTTCCAGAGTGTCAAAGGCTTCGCTGACCGTGTCAATCGTGAGCTTGACCGAGTCGACATCGCTTTACTTAATGCTGGTCTGTGGAATCGAGAATACATCCAATCCTCCGAGGGCTGGGAGGAGACTCTCCAAGTCAACACGCTATCGACCTCGATGCTGGCCTTGCTTCTACTTCCCAAGCTAAAGAAAAGCTCCTATGTCGATAACCCCGCCCATCTGACCGTCGTTTCAAGTCAGCAATTTGTTCGTGTCCAGGCCGAAAGCGTCCAGACCGAGGACTTGCTACTCGCTCACGTGAACGACCCGGCCAACTTCGAGGGTCCCAAACAGTACGGGATTTCGAAGCTTCTGCTTGAATTTATGATCAAGAGGATCGCCAATATGGTGCGCGACGACGACGGCACGCATACTCTCATTGTTAATACCGTCAGCCCCGGGCTGTGTGTCTCGGCTTTGGGTCGCCAGTACACTAATTGGTGGGAGAAATGTTTCGTTTGGTTCATGTACAGACTTTTTGCACGGACTACCGAGCAGGGAAGCCGCTCGCTGGTTAGCGCTACTATCCAGGGAGTTGAATCGCAGGGAAAATGCTGGCGGAGTGAGGGATATCTTGAGTATGACAGTCTTTCAACATGTTTCAGTGCTACCATTATTAATAATTTCATAGTGAGTCAGCTGCACTGACTACTGGTACGGAGGGCGAAGAGCTTCAGGAAAAGGCTTGGAGTGAGATTATCAGCGTGCTGGAGGAGGAAGCGTCGGAGGTGTCTCTCATCTCTCGTGGCCTGTACCAAGGCGTTTAGATGTTATGACGCCGGCGAGTCAACAATACTCGTCAAAAAAGCGGTTTGTACATGCGCCTAGCGCATCTTTGCAGAAAATCAAGCGTTCTTGCCTCTTTGAGATACCCCTGTTAATATTAATGTACTGTTATTGAAATCCTTTTGGCTTTTACTTTTGATTTCTACAATATGCAACACACATTGCCTCCCCGCAGTCGTCATCAGATATAGGTAGTGATGGCCCTCAAAGCTCTGATTCATCCTAGGTATGATATACACGCGCTTACTTACAGTCAACCCAAAAAGAAGCCTTTCCAATACTTATACCAATACCAGGCCCGAATTTCAGCAGGAACATCACAGGCAGGATTCTGGAGATCGCGATTTACTCAGTGAGCTACTCTAATGTGCTCCACCCGTGGGCTGAATGAACGAACATACCCAGAAAGGCTTGGCCCAGAGTCTCTCAGTTCAAGTCTCCCGAAATATGTCGATACATTTCGATACATTCGATCTGAATTATTCAACTCATGAAAAGATATTATCAACCGCTATCAAATGATGGTACAGGAAGAGATTATCGACCTGAACCACCCATACGGACATTGCTTTGTCGCTTGCCCTTAGCATATCCCGTTAGCGGTACGTGACTCTTCCATCCTCCCTGCACAAATTATCACTAATGCTTCCCCACTCTCAAAATTTGGTATGATCCGTGATCTGATATCGGAACCCGTTTCATGTTTTAGATGACTGGGCTACGGAGAAGTCGCCGAATGTAATGAGTATTTGCTCATCAATTTTCGCAATATATTTCGCCAATTTAGAAATATCAGAGCATATGCTACTTAAGTCAGACGACGAGAAACTAAAAGACCTCTAATGCTAGTAGTTTTGTGTGAGTATTAATGCGAAAATTCACACGAGCTAGACTCACAGACTAGGAACGCAGTGCTATGAGACAGAATGCAAAAATAGTACAGAAAACATACTAATTTCTTGATTTCGGGTTCAAGTTAGTGTTTCATCTGCGCTATCATTATCCAGCAGGTTCTGGACAGGCTTCTCATGGCCTTCCTCCGATGCAGCATGTAGCGCTGTTCCAAAAAGACCAGGAGCATTGATGTCGGCACCACGGTCTAGCAGGATATGTACCACCTTATCATGGCCTGCCATTGATGCGGTCTGGAGCGCGCTTCTATATGGTGTAGAATCATTGATATCGGCACCATGGTCTAACAGGATATGTACCACCTTCTCATATCCTCCCGATGATGCGGCGTGGAGCGCCTTTCCATATATAGCATTCCCTTGAGCATTGACGTCGGCGCCATGATCTAACAGGGTCTGTGCCACCTTCTCATGGCCTCTGTATGATGCGGCCTGGAGCGCGTTGCTATATTCCCCCCCTTGAGCATTGACATCAGCACCGCGACTTAGTAGGATCTGCACTATCATCTCATGTCCTCCCGATGATGCGGCCTGGAGCGCGTTACCACATACACCCCCTTGAGCATTGATATCGGCGCTATGATCCAGCAGGGTTTGCACTATCTTCTCATATCCCCCGTATGATGCAGCCTCGAGTGCGTTGCCAAAATAACCCCCTTGGGCATTGACATCAGCACCGCGACTTAGTAGGATCTGTACTATCATCTCATGTCCTCCCGATGATGCGGCCTGGAGCGCGTTACCACATACACCCCCTTGAGCATTGATATCGGCGCTATGATCCAGCAGGGTTTGCACTATCTTCTCATGTCCTCCCGATGATGCGGCCTGGAGCGCGTTACCACATACACCCCCTTGAGCATTGATATCGGCGCCATGCTCTAACAGGGTTTGCACTATCTTCTCATGTCCTCCGTATGATGCAGCCTCGAGTGCGTTGCCAAAATAATCCCCTTGAGCATTGACATCAGCACCGCGACTTAGTAGGATCTGTACTATCATCTCATGTCCTCCCGATGATGCGGCCTGGAGCGCGTTACCACATACACCCCCTTGAGCATTGACGTCGGCGCCATGATCTAACAGGGTCTGTGCCACCTTCTCATGGCCTCTGTATGATGCGGCCTGGAGCGCGTTGCTATATTCCCCCCCTTGAGCATTGACATCAGCACCGCGACTTAGTAGGATCTGCACTATCATCTCATGTCCTCCCGATGATGCGGCCTCGAGCGGGTTACCATATTCACCCCCTTGAGCATTGACATCGGCGCCATGGTCTAACAGGGTTTGCACTATCTTCTCATGTCCTCCGTATGATGCAGCCTCGAGTGCGTTGCCAAAATAACCCCCTTGGGCATTGACATCAGCACCGCGACTTAGTAGGATCTGTACTATCATCTCATGTCCTCCCGATGATGCGGCCTGGAGCGCGTTACCACATACACCCCCTTGAGCATTGATATCGGCATCTATTGCGGTTTCTCCCCCCCAGCTCGCTATCAAGACACTTACGATGTACTCCAACCCCAAAAGGGCTGCGTAGTATAAAGGTGACGGGATATCTTTGATAGCACGTCCAAAATCGGTTGGTAAGTACTGCTCAGAATGTAATATATCATATAGCGATTCCCTTGAACCTCTGCCATGTAGCCGTACCCATGTCGTAAATGCCTCTAGCTGGTCCTTAAACAGCTTCGATATTAAGCATTCAACGTCAGACTTTCCTTTGCCAGAATTCTTATAGAAAGTGAACCATTGCCCAGCAGCAAAGGGTGCCAAGGGAAAATTTTCCAGCTTCGCCTCGTCTACTTTTCCATTTGAGAGCGTCGGGTCTAGAAGGTAAGCGAGACAAATTTGAGCCATCTCTGTGTGGGCTTGTTCTTTTTGAACTGTGAATTTTGCTGCACCTTGTTGGGTAATCCGGTCTGATTCGAGATATTCTTGAACAGAAAAGTGCGCTATACGAACGATTGTAACCGAGTTTCTGAAGTAGTAACTGCCGGTGTCTGGAATCACTGCGAGCTCTATCAGACCAGAACAGATGTCGAGAATATCATCTTGGCTAAATGATCGACCATCACGATCTAGCTGTAGCTCGCTAGCCTTAACATCAATGGTAAGGGCGCCAACAAGTTCCTTCACTGTGACTGGGAAGTTAGACACACAAAGCAAAGTTAACATCAGCCGTGCCTCTTCAGCGTATTCCTCGTCAATGCTACACAGCATTCGCTCGTAAGTCTCATCCAGATCACGAGGCAAAGAGTGCAGACATTTATCGAGCTCATTTCGGATCCGGGCCCGTTTTAGGGCAAGGAGTTGACACTCAACATATCTGAATCTACGCATGTGAACAATTATTAGTCACATTCTTGTACTATTCCTCTTTATTATCACTCACACTCCCTGTGCCTTTTCCGTCAGCTTTTCTTGAATCTCTTCGTGGCGTGATTTCCATCGTTGAAGCTTGGGGTCATTGCTGAGCTGGTAAGAAATGAAATTTTGGATGTCTGTATCTGTCTCTGGGTTCCTCATTGGGATATCCTGGTATAAGGAAGTTCCCAGAGAATATCGGATGTCGATTTCGTTACGGCTGGTTACCAGTAGGTGGAGACTGGGTAGGTCCCATTGCCGGATCTTCTCTATCGCACCCAAAACGTCCTCTCTTTTATCGTCTCGGGAGCTTTCATCCAATGCGTCCAAGAAAATGTAGGTGACGCTGAACTTGCAGATGGTCTGCCGAAGGCAGTCAAGTAGGACTTTCTCTGGCGGGGTACCCGACTTATATGATGTATGAAGTTCTTGTAGCTCTTTTGTATCTCCTTCAAGTTGAGCCGACAGCTGTAATAACAATGCGCGTAACATGCCGGAAGAATCTCTCTTGGCCTCGTCATTGAAGGTGAAATAGAAAAAGCCGATTCCAACATTGGGATGATGTTGCCTCTCACGGAATGTATGTTGAACTGCCTGAATTGTCGTCGAGCATATGACCGACTTTCCACACCCCGCGAAGCCATTAATCCAGAGAAATGAATTAGGCTCAACTAGCCAGTTTTGGAATTTCTGGCCGTTAACCAACCATAGTCCTGTGCTTGTATGACGTTTCTCGCATGCGGCATTGTGATCAATGGTCGCATCTGGGGCCTTGAGCCAATCACGAATTGCAGCAGAGATTTGAATCGTCTTTGTCTCTTCGACGAATATTTTGAGTTCAGATATTCCATCTTCAAGCCCAGTCTGGTTTCTGAGCTGTAGCACATTTAATGCAAGGGACAAGTTTCCCCTTATCTCGCCGACGTCCTCCTCAAGCTTTTGTAGAGTACTTTTCCTAAACGGATAAGTCGCCCGGCGCCCGGCAACTTGGATTCGGTCCTTCAGACTTAGAGTAGCGTCCTTTTGGAATTTTTGGCACTCGTCCCTCAGTTCCTCAAGGATCTCACGGCATCCCTCTGCTACCTTGTCGATCTCTTGGAGTAGGGCATCCTTCTGAGGTTCGCCATTTTGCAGTGCGCCATCAAGGGATCGGAGAATGCTGAGAAGGCTCTCAAGATCACGCAGAGTCTTTTTCAGAGCAGGAGTCTGATCCTTGTATGCGGAGTAAAAATCGAGTAGAGATTTGGTAACCTGGATACCCAAAGACAGCAACCCGGCAACTCCAGATGCAATAGAGAGCGGATCTGCCATTGTAAAAAAAAAAAAAAAGGTCCGAAAAATTTAGGCAATAAGACAATTGAAGGTTTGTGGTCGTTGAGTGAACACATTGGAATTGGCGGGGCATTTGCCCAACGGGGTTGGGCTGCACGATTTAGCCTCACCCTATTTATAGAGTACATGCTATGCATCTCAACTAGTATGCCTATTTTACCTTAAATTTGGAGAATCGCTTCTCTAATACTATTCAAGCCTAATATGTAAGTGATAAACTCGTACTACCGTTAATATTAATGCCTGAATTCATATCCACGCACTTCTCGAAAGTCGTATTCGTATTAATCTAAAGCGCTAGAACTAACTAGAGCAACAGTGCTCCGTAAGCGTCAATTCACTAGATTATTCATGACTTGAATATAGAAAAGGGCATAGAAGTAGTTACATCTCCATGTAGATAATCATCATGGCACGTATAGCTATGAAAAATACCTCGATTTAACGAACATTTAGTTCTCAGTTTCGTTATAAAGGGGGTTTACGGTAGTTACACACATCGTCATCCCCGACATTATCACTTGGCGCGCTAAAAATGCCCCACGGCTCTCCGCTTAAATCTACCTCTCCTTTTATTATCCTTCCTTCTTTTCCTTCTGCTTCATATACCTCTGTTGCTCTTCATCAGAGTCCGTGTCCACCTACAGGACTCCAACCATGGCTTACAACAAATCCTACAACCCCGATGCGCTGCCAGCGTAAGTGCATAGTCGATCTAAGATAGTTCACAGTTACTGACTTGGGAAATACTACAGTCATGCTGAGCCAGAAGAGGTACAACATTCGTCGCGCGCCTCATCTTGCTTTCGCTAACGGTCAATTAGGTCGCGCAGATGTTAGGCAATATGACTGTATCAGGCCAAAGTCACACCCCAGGCCTCAGCCAGAAACCGCTCCCCTCTCGCCCACCGCCGCAAACAAGTCACAGCAGCGGTATTCCTCCCCGCGTTCCTGTATCCAGCGCGCCCCCGCAACACGCATACGCTGCAGCGCCCCCGCGGCACGAAGCCCTACCCCACCACTCCGTCTCCTACAACGGACGCTCCTCTTCAGCAAATGCGCCTCCGCCGAACCAAGTTCCCAGTCACAGCCAGTCGCAATCTCGTCCTCACCCTCTCCACCCTTCCCCACCGCCCCAAAACTATGGTTTCGGCCCCCCGCCAGTGCATCCCCAGCGCAGCAGACCCCCACCCTCCTCACGGCCTCCCCAATCGCCCGTTCCACCACCATTGACAGCACCCAGCAATGATCCGCAACAACTCTTTCCCCTCTTCCGCGCCGCGAACGCCTCTCATTCTGGCGCTCTTACAGAAGGGGAGCTCGGCAGCGCACTTGTAAATGGTGACTACACGTCCTTCCATCCGCGGACGGTCAGGCTGATGATCCGGATGTTTGACCGTGATGGGAGCGGGACAATCAATTTCGAAGAGTTCGTCTCGTTGTGGCGGTATTTGGCTGCGTGGCGGGAGTTGTTTGATCGCTTTGACGAGGATCGCAGCGGGCGTGTCAGTCAGCCAGAGTTTGAGAAGGCGCTTGTTGCGTTCGGATACCGTCTCAGTGGGAAGTTTATTTCTGTTATCTTTGGTGTCTTTGAAGCAAAGGGAAAGCAGATCAGCAATGCGCCTAAGGATCCTAGGTCTACTGGTATGAGCTTTGATCTTTTCGTTCAGGCCTGTATTAGTCTGAAGCGTATGACGGATGTCTTTAAGCGGTACGATGAGGATCGGGATGGGTACATTACTCTGAGCTTCGAAGAGGCTCTAACAGGTAAGTGTCTTGTTTTTTGTTATGCGATTGTTGGGGATAACTGGCTAACTGGGCGTCGTTTTTACAGAGATTCTTTTATTGCAGGAATAAAGTATTCTGCTACATTACCATACATATTCTTCTGCTCGACTTTCTTCCTAGTTGTGATGTTCTCTCTACGCTCTCCCTATCTTCATTATACCCCCAACCCCCACCTCCTTTTGTCATAGAATTGCATGTTCATCGAGGAGTTATTGAATCATAAGTATGCCTGGAATATGAATGCATTGAGATCTTTATAGTATTGGCCATCTTCTGCAAATGGGGCTTTCACTCATCAAAAGCCTTGTGGAGAAAAGGCAAGCCATATTAAAATTTGTATGTTAATAGATATAATTATATGATAGCAACATTAATGTTTGGATTAACTGGATTAAGTTGAATCGCTGTCTTCAGTTTCCCATGAATCATCATCACTATCCTCCTCTTGGCGAAGGTGTGCAAATTCAGGGTCCATCAAAGCCCGCTGCATAAGCAAATTGAAAAGCTGTGGTGGGATTGGGCCCATGCCACCATCTCCCGCTGGTAGACTTTCTCCGAATCCTGGTTCTTCGAAATCTTCCTCGTAACCAATCTCTTCACCAAAATCATCGAGATCACCGTAATCGTCGAAATCAGGTAATTCGTATGGCAAGATTTGGAAGTTCACTTTGGTTCCTTTGAACATATCACGAAGAGCAACGAAACATTGCTCGGGGGTTTTCCCTTCTGGAATACGTTGCCCAGAAAGCCTAATGGGCTGGGTGATATCGATTGCGAATACTTTGAAGTTAGCCAACTTCGGATAAAGACCATTTTTACAATCTGTCGCGATATTCTGAGTCATCTCCTGGATAGACGAGTTGCAGTCGGTGATATGGAGCGTGTCTAGCGAGCTGGGGAATCGAGGGTGTGATGGAAGAGAAGCGTGTGGGACGAGGATAGTCATAAGCTTAGAGAACTCGCGGAATGAGCCAAGCTTGGCGTGGCTAGCAACGATCTCCTCAGCATTGTCGACGTCCCAGTGTCCCATCGCGAACTCGAGGTGGAAGAGCTCGAGGGTATCCTTATGTAAGAGGACAGCTTCCTGGGCCTCCTTGGCAGTCATCTCGGGCGCGACATCCTCGCGCATTATCCGTCGCTCGTTAGGATCCAGGCTGAAATTGTTGTAAGTAAAGTTTTTCAGATTCTTGCATGCTTGCATGAGCTTTTTGATGGCGCCAGCATCGATGTGGCAGTGGTGGAAGGCCAGTTCCTCCGTCACCAGTGTTCCAGGCTGCCAGGTAGATGGAAATGATGCGTCGAAGAGATCACCGTACTCGAAGATGGAAGTGACGACCTTGGGAAGGGTAAGAAATTTCTGGTACGAAGAAATATCGAAGCCGGAAACTTCGTCGTCGCTTTCAATCCAGATAGACTCAAGGCTCAACAAAAACTCTGGGTTGTGATCGAAAAGCTGGATGAATGGCTCGATCCGGAATGGGAGGCTTGGTAGATGCAGCACACGAAGATTGGGAGTCTTGTTGGCTAATAATGCTCCGACAACACCGAGGTCGGCTCTCTCCAAGGCTGAAATCCAGCTTTCCTCCTGATCAGCCAATTTAAGGTCCCTAATTATGCCCTTGAATTGCTCGGAGTCCTCTGCGGAAAGTGATTTGGGACCAACTGGAGTGAATGGGTGAGGCATGATCGAAATTTGATGCACATGCTTTCCGAGGTCTGGACGTTGATATATTGTTTTGGTGAAAGAGATGGTTGGGCTTGGGTCCTCATCGAGGCCATCATCATAAAAATCACGGAAGAGGAGAGGTTGAGCCACCTCTCGGAATTTCCGCGAAACTAGGCAAACATTGCGCAGTGTCTCAATTTCATCAGGTTCATCATCGTCATAATCGTCATCTTCCAATTCGCTGGCATTGTCGTCTTTGGCTTTGGTATTTTTGTCTCTGTTCAGTACTTCGAGATCATCTGGGGTGGCCAAAAAAGACAGAATGAGATGTAGGAGCTCTATGGGAAGGCCCTCAATGTGTACCATATTGAAGATGAGCCCCACGCCGATGGCCTGAGTTGAGATTGGAACAGAGTGCTAGACCCAAATTCAGGTCAAAGGCGAGAAAGTAAGAAAAAGCTGAAGGACAAAACGAAGATAAGGAGAGGCCAAGAAATTATCTTCACGCGTTATGGCGCGTGAAGACCCATCGCATTATCCCGGAAAGGCAGTTAGGGCTAGTACGCTAGGGCTTTAGTCCACATGTAGCTTACGCCATTTCCTTTTCAGCTTTAGTGCCGTCCACTGACCATTTTTACCCCGCATATGTTGTAATCTATATCATCAGCTGTATAGATCTGAAATACCAAGATGATGCACGCAATACGTTGCTCATATGAAAATAATTATTTATTCGAACTTCCACCTCAATTCTAAATTCATATCTAGCGATCAACGTCCTTAGTACAGACTGATAGTTAAGAACCGTCGACTACAACGGCCCCCCCTGGACCATTGAGAGCTTGTCAAGTATAAATGGCTGGACGCAACTACCCCACACATTTCCGTTGTGTCCATTTACCCAGATGACTTTGAATAAACTAGTGATACCTACTAGCCATTGATCTAACAGTACACTGTCGTCTGTAGACTGTATACCGCGCTCAGACAGAAGCTTCATGTCCTCGTCTTCCTCTTCTTTAATATCTGCTAGAATAATGTTGTCATCCAATTCACTCATATATTGATATTGGAATCATCTCCTTCTTAGTCCCTAGCCACCATAAAGTCTGTTGTACCGGGTATTCGCAGCAGTACGTTTCTCTAAGTCCACGGTAGTACCGTCTTCGAAGTTATAGAACATTCCAATACCTAGGACAATATCAACTGGGACTCCACCGCCAAGCACCCAGGCCGATTTCTTAAGCTTCTCATGCTTCTCCCTATAATGTTGAAGTTGTAGCATATCCATAACCAAACTAGCTTCCAGATACCACAAAAGTCAAGGCAAAGAGATCCAAAGGAAAATGATGTCCAAATCGGGCTTCTTGTGAGACCTTTGCAAGCATAGTCAAAATTCTAATATAATAGGTTCTATAGACATAAATATCGAAGGATAGTAAAGAAAGAAGAAGTAAAAGATAGAATTGAGACATTGACGTTACCATTCATAATCCGGGTCCCTGTTAGTGCCACTGATTCGCCACATGCAACTATGTATGTACGATTTAGGCAACTGCGAGCCCCTACCAGGAATAGTCACTATTCAAGTGTGGAAAGAACGACCTACATATCTCCCCAAAATCAATCCACGCCGCCATTCTTCAATGTCAACATTGGAATGTGTCAACACTCCTCTCTCTCTCTCGACACACTCCTTTGCGCGTCGAAGCGCACCTCCGCGCTTCAAACGCGCTTTATAAGTACCATAAAGTGCCTCAATTTTACCTTTCCTTTCTCATGGATTTCTAAAAGCCTCCTGGGCTACCCACATTTCGAAATCCAACTGTCAAAGACAGGCTCAAGGATGTCAGACGCACTTCCAATCCTCATAAATGGATGAGTCAGGGAGGATCTCGTTCATGCTTGCGTGAAGCCCCCGGGTCACGGGTTCTTGAACTTCTTCTGTCAAAGGCAGGCTCATGGAGCCTTGTACACTCCGAGTCATCCTTCATGGGTTCGGGTCTGCACTTCCCGCTCGAATTCGTGACATCTGGCCAAGTTGATTCCTATCGTTCCTGCGCTCCGCTCTGAAATTCATACACACAACCACAGCCGTTACCGTGGAAATTATAAACTCAAGGGGCAGATCTACGCCATGAGTCTTGCTGTTCTCGTTCCCAGTTTCGTCGTCAGCGAGGCGGCATCTTACAGGAGCATCATGAAGGTATTCAAAGTCGCAGCTGCCAGTTGTGATCAACATCTTAGGCTGGGAGAGCATCTCCCATGTTCTCGGGTTGTCTTGAGTCCACAAAGCACTTGGACAGAGCTTCGCTGGATGCAAATCCATTAGTAGATTTGGACGATTGTACTTGATACAATCTCGGCACTAGATGACTAAGAATCATTGTTTATACAACCTATACACAATACACTCGGGATATCCACAAGACCAAATATTTATCTATGAAAAGATTTGGTACAGCGGCAAGACCTCAAGTTTGGTTTCGCCAACTGTTGTGGTGTGCAGGAGGCTCGGATGCTAGCTTGATCCCGCTCCGGGGTATATTACCGCGGGTTGTAGCTCAGCAATTAGCAATATCATCCTTCTTTTATTTTCATAACCCCGTGCAGTTGTTTTGTTAGTCTAGATCAGACTAGTCAGGTTTGACCTCGTGTTGGTAGGCCTAGTTGACCCTGACCTTGCGAGGTAGGGTGGTGCGTTGTCTTGTTTCCTTCTAATCCTCACCCAGCCTGGTGTGGGTCGACATACCGAGTCTGATCGCACAAGGCCGGGTACTCTTCACCGATCTGACTCGAGCCCGTGTGACCGAGCCCAATCTTTATTGTCTTTACGTCATCTCAGTTTACGTGGTCTTGTTGTACCTTGCTGCACTGTGAGACCGTTTGTTTGGTAGAGTCAACCTTGGAACTTGAAGGATTATATATTATAAGGCTTGGCAAATCTTGTAGTATTTCAAGGTTCGAGATACGGAGGTACTTATAGAACTCAGAATCCAAGTCGGAGCTGATTTAGAGAATGAGAAATTCCGAATACAAACTATTCGTTTGAAGATTTTTTCGGTCATGGCTCAATACGATATCGATTGAGGTTGCAATTATATAAAGAAATTCTATGAGTTCAGAATGTTTCAAGTTGCTCAGTCTGAGTTATTTCTAGGCTGTATTGAATGAGCAGGTGCTCAGGTGTGATGATGATGTCTCAGAATATATTTAATATCATCAGAGTAAGGCGATGCGGTGACTCTACTTCCCACTGCTTCATTGCTGAGAGAGGTGCTCTCTGGAACACTTGAGGATAAAGATCCAGATGGACGAGCAGGGTTTTCTGTAGGAATATGAGCTTCGGCACTGGTCACTGGACTTTCAAATGTGTCTTCAGAACGTTTGACATCCCATATATATTCGACTTTGCCATCTGGATTGACGAGAAGCTGCACCTCTTCATCCTCATCAGTATAAATAATATCGCAAGCACGACCGTCGATTGGATTTCCGAGGAGATCCTCGAACTCTAAGTCATCATAATCAAGTGTGCTACCCATTTCGGGGAGAGCGTTACTGCGGTCGTGGGCAACATTGCAGGTGAGTTTTGATAGATCTTGACTGTCGCTTTCAAATGGGGTACTTTGGTTCATGAAGGACGTCATTGGGAAGTCTCGACGCATGAAGCCAGCGCTATTCATTGAAGTCGGGCGACCAGCAGCATTAACGGCAGGACCAGGGTCAACACTCCAATCCTGGCGATTCCAGTTGTATGGGTAATCATACAGCCTATTCCGAAGTAAGCTATTTGTTTTGAGGAACTGATTGCGTTTTTCAATCTGGAGACATCAAGAAAGTCAGGGAGATCTTACGGATCATCATCCAGCACACGGAACCCATGGTCTGGGACCATTGTGTTGTGGATGTTGCCATTGCCGTCGGTATAAGTGTACGATGCGAAGCACAGTGAGTTTGCAGTCTGTGAGTCGAATCCATATGCAGTTACAAAGCGAGAACCGGCACCAACTCCACGGTCTCCATTCAAAGAACCAAATTCCCTGCAGGGAAAAAGAACTTATAAGAATTGTACATCTCAGAATAGAGGCTTCTCTGACTTACCACGTTGCTGGAGGAGGAGCAGGTTTGCCGCATGTTTCAGAGCGATATTTCCAGCAAGGAATCCACTGTGCCCGTTTCCAAAACCCGAAGTTACTTCCTTGCCGTTCATTGGCAAGGCTATTGACCAATCGACATGCCTGGGGATTGTCATTTCCAGATTCCATGAGATCGCCCAGGGGGAATTCATCAAGCTGACACTTGGCATGTTCATCACTTGGCTGCATACGACCATTCTGGACGAGCGTACGATACTGCTGAGAACGTTGGTTTGCAGCCCACCATCGATACATCCGCGAATATGGTCGGCCTGCACCTGGATTGAAGACTGTCTGTCCATTAAGCTTCTTTGTAATAGCCCATCGCTGATTATCGCAAATCTCATCCTAGCCCATACCGTATTTGCACGTATATGTAACAGAGCAGTCACAATCCTTGTTTTTGGTATAACTCAGAATTGGCCAGCCAGCAATTTGAGTTTTAGCTGGCTTATTGCCTGTGCCAACCTTTTTCCTGTTCGGTCTAGCTTGTCCCTTTCGTCGTCTCTGAGCTGGCCTTGATGGCTTACTAACAAAGCCAGAAGTACTCACCACAATCCCGGCAGCGGCACACAAAGCAATCTGAGGTGGGACACCAAGTAGGGAGAGACCAAATGTGAAGGGAGCTGCCGCAATAAAAGCCAAAATGGTGGTGGCACAGATGGCGGCTGTGATAACAACCTCTTCAGTGGTACCACGGGGATGAAGAACTTGAAGAGCATGATCTAATCCCTCTGGTATGCTGCGTTTGCTGAAAACACCTTGACCATACAAAAGCATATTTCCGGTGTTTGTTTTTGATGAAGGAATGAAACCAGTGCAACAGTAAGCTTGGAAACCACCCGTGCAGGTGAGGTCTGATGTAAGGCCATCCTCGTTCACTCCATACGAATTACTGTTCTGAGCAACGATGGTAGCATCAGGATCCGAGCATACAGGAGAACATGGCAATCCTACGCCACGGAATCCCTCCCAACTGCATGTGCCCATTGTTGTCTGTGGCGCACAGCATAGAGTTTGATATTCGCCAGACCGACACACTGAGTTTTGCTGGACGTGGGCAATCTGACCTCGGGCTTCAGTCACATCAAAGTAGGTGCTGTTACAGGTGCCCCCACAAAGCGTCCAGTAGCAAGAAGCGGCAATGGAGTTTTGCAAAGTAGCATTTCCCAACTGGTTCTTGTATTCGGTTGCTTCGGCTTCAGTCACACCATTAGCTTGGCCAATACCCAGCAGATCATTCATTGCATCCCCCTTGGTATTATCCATGTCAATTGACCAGATCATGACACCACCGAGACACAACTTGTTTGCTGCTTGAATTTTTTGTTGCATGGTAACACCATCGTCAAAACTTATCCATTGGTCATTGTCCCAGGTGATCCATTTTACAGCCGCCGTAGCATCATATTTTTCGGTTGCAACTCCTGATGCTTGAATAGCTTTGATTTCCGCAATGGAAAGAGTTCCAGCTGAATTTGTACAAGAGCCAGGATTACCGCCCCGGGTAAATCGACAAACTCCATTGGGATAGGTACAAGATGAATCCTGAAGAGTGAAAGACCGACCATACCAACCCAAACCCAGTGTGACTTTGCTTGGCTTGACGCCAGCCATCCAAAGCAAATCAAGTCCTGTTTCAATCTCGGTGAGATTGGTATGCGGACGGATATATGGACCAGTGTATTGGTTTGTAGCATCCCAACCCCCATGAATATCGTAACTCATGAGATTAAACCAGTCCACGTAGATTAACATGGTAACGAGGTCGAAGCCTTGTAAATACCAATATGAAGATGGCAATGTCACACTTATTCCGTAAGAAGTACCCCAAGATGATCTCATCTCAGCCAAAAGTTCAGCAAAGTTTCCCGTGTCGGTTGCTTTGCCTCCACGGTCAGTTGCTGCAGGATATTCCCAGTCAATATCAACAACATCAAAGCCGTATGACTGCATGAAATTTTGCAAATCAGAAATAAATTTGCGGCGATTTGACGCACTGCTGACCATATCGCTGAAAGCAGTGCGAGTGTTCGGGATGTTGCCATCATCATTAAATGACCACCCTCCGAGTGCAATCCACGTCTCAAGATTCGGGCTCTTCTTCTTGAGACTTGTAAAGCTCTTATATAGATCCGCAGCAGCAGAGGTCATTGGAGAGATTTTAAAAGTCGAGGGATTAAAGAAAGCAAATGCGAAATTGAGATGCGTCAAGCCGACCAACGCAATATCATCTGGTGATCTCTTATCGCATAATCGAGTACTCGAATCGTCAGCCCAGCTTTCATAGTAGCCAATGCGTCGACCGCTGTCAGCAGAGCTTCCTGCACATGAAGGTCTATTAACCGCTCCACAAGATCTATAGCCACTCTGGCAGCCGGCTTCGCAGAATTCCGAGGTCATACCGCAGAATCCATATTGTGAGCAGCAGACATTCAGAGGACAGTTTCCCTCGCCCGCAGCTGCATACTGTCCACATGGAGCAGTTGCATTGCAGTTGGATATGCAAACATCTGGAGCACAGCTTGATGGTGTATAAGAGCAGACGCCTGTGTTACTGCAACAGGCACCATTGTCGCAGGGAGAGCTAGGAGCACAGGATCCAGTCGGAAGACTGGCTCGCTTTTCTAGAGCGCTGCGCTCAAAGAGAGATCTTTTACTCGTTTGGTTCTGGCTTTTCTGCTTAGAAAGCTCTCTGAACAGATTCTGGTCCTTGAAAACTGGAGTCTCAGGTGAGTAAGGCTGGAAAAGTGCTGGCAAAGGCTTCGAGGCGTTCCGAGGAAGCTGGGGAGTTACATTCCACGTCTTGACTTGAGCCTTTGATGAAGTTGACGCAGCTTTCGAGCTTGTAGACGAATATGCTCTGGTAGACTGGACAATGGAAGCTGAGCGCGAGATTGTCACAAGGCAATAAAAGGTCAATACCCAGACCCAGCGAGGCGGGGACCACATTTCTGCTGCCCAGATCTGACAAAAAGAGACACAAAGCTGATAAAAAGCAATAAAATAGTATGGATGTATAAGACTTCTTGAGAAAAAAACGGGAGAGACCGATATATACCCGAAATATCTATTGCGAATCCCTTCTTGTGATACTTTCAAGTTTTTGCAGGCAGATCGTTCAGTGGTAGTATTTTATTTCGAGGGTAAATTTCGGTACGGCTAGTTCAATCCAAACATTTGAAGTGAACTATACGAGTCAATTTAGAAATTTGTTACCGGCAGGGTCTTTCCACTATCCAGGATTACCCCATGATCATAAGCTAGCTAGCTCATCACTCCACTGTGGCCCTTAGATACCGCTATATCTCAGGACTTATGTTGTAGCCTAGTGAAGTGAATGGTCGCCTGAACAAATTGCAGGTGGAGGGTGGTAATGGGTATTAACTGAATGGGTATACTTTGTAGATCAGTTGAATTCCGGAGAAAGTCCGAGTCTATGTGAGCCCATGTGCCACCAGTATGCCCAGGGACTTGGCTGAAACCGCTTGCTGACGGTTATTTATAGGAGCTAATCTCGCCTACGCATTTGAGGCTTTATAACGAGGTTTGAACGCTAGATTTATAGCGAAAGCCCAGTTCTCCACGACTACAGGCTCAGTCTGAACTAAGACAATTTGACTCTTAAATTCAGCCAAAAAAAAAAGAAGAAAGAAAAAGAAAAACAGGTCCTGAAGGCTTGGTATTGGCTACTTTTACTGCACTGGCTGAGCGACGTTCGCCCAGGACCTCAAGGTTACGCTAATCATGCTCTAATGCAGTGTAGCCTTATTTGGCGAGGTCCTAGCACGAGGCACCTGGGCAGGGCCCAACCTTGGAGCTCGGCGACTAGGTAGATCTTGCCTAAGTGGGCCCGAAAAAGCTCAGATACTTAACTATTATTGGCCCATCTCATTTACCGTGCCTCAGCCTCGGAACAGCCCGACGCTAATGTATGTGCACCTATGTTATACTTGCTTTTTTTTATTAGGAATACCAATATGTACTACGAATCATTTTGAGAAATCAATTATTACTATCTACAGATGTAGCTCCTAGCCTTTTCTGCATATAATTTGGTGTATACATTTGAAAGACCACTGTGTGTGCATTAGCGTCCCTTCTCGAGCTGTCGTGTAGGGTAGTATCGTCTGTATTTTCTCATTCCTAGTTCATACACAGTATACATACAAAAATGCTACTAGATCTCAAACAACACCTAATCATATGGCCCCTGTGGACAAATTCCCCTCCAGTAGGTGATAGTTTTGCTCGGTAATTCTCTGAGATTATCACACTGATCTTTCTTCTTCCTTCACTTCGATTTTTTCTTTGTGAATAACGAAGGGAAGATTATCAAGATACTGTGCCAGCTGAGACTCGTGGTTACAACATTTGTTGGATTAGTTTCACTGGTTATGGCTGACTTCCAGCTGTATACATATTATGATAGGGACACTTTGTTAGTATCATACGGGGTGACAACCTCATGTCTTGATGCATTGTAAGTGCAAAGACTCAGTATCAATGAGAGTTGTTCCTCTGCTAAAGATTCAGAAACACTACTGTCACATGCGATGAATCCCTGTCAACATTGCTCGGCGGAGGTGTGGACTATAATTGTGAGTGCTCGCAGATCAAACTGGCGATATAACTGAGCAACGCAGACCGAGTTCAGAGATCCAGAGATTCTTTTCATTTGTGCTAATATCCGACATGCAGATTGGTACATGGACAACATTACAACCCTTTGCACGACGACTTGTCAAACTTCGCTCCAGGCATGGGGCTCGAGTGTGGAAACCGCTTGTGCAGGCCAGACGGTTGTCCAACAAGGCGTTGTCGTTCAAGCCAAAGCTTTGTCTCTCTCATTAACTTATAATGCTGAGATTGCTTGTCTACAGGATAGGTAATCCTCAATTTTTGCACTAGAATGCGAATTACACTCGCTAACAGTCCGTAACCGCTATAGTCAATCTAACTGGTGTTTCTTTGATTCTCAGGATTGGCAAGGCAGTGATTACATCCGATATGACTCCCTGATGTGCTCTGATGAGAGCGATAGTCCTGCAATCTGCAATCAGACGGACTTCGATATGGACTCAATAACCTCGGAGATGCAGGCTATGACAAACCTGTATAATTCAACTTTTGTATGAGTGCCCTGGCCAGCTGTTTATAGCATAAAATACTAACGAGCCTTAGTTCTGTAGCGAATGCTTCCTAGAGCTTTATCGAAAGCGACTTCTCGACCCGTGGTTGACACCAACTAATTTTACTGGGTATCTGATTGATCAATTCGATGATTTGCAGCGAAATTGTTCAACTTCACTACCATATACCACGTCTTCCTCTACATTGTACGTCGGGGTTCAAACTGCGACAGCTACTACCACAACAACTACAGCCGCGACAACAGCAACAGTGACCACCACTGCCACGCCAACTTGCCTGGGACAGTTCGTTCAGCCCATCAAGAATTGGCTAACTTGTAACAGTCTAAGTGACCTGTGAGTACCATTCCTGAGAGTTTACTCAAGGGAACCTTAGATCTTATGGCTGACATATTTCTTTTCGAAAGATATAACGTTTCCACTGGTGATGCTCGTTTGACAACGGGCAGCACCGACTGTTACTTTAACACTGCTGTCTGCTTACCACAGCCTTGTCCGATCACCACGGTATGGGATGCTCCAAGCTGGTAAGAAATCGAACCAAATCTTACAACCGGGGATCCAACCTGAATTTCACTGACTATGGACTGATATCAGTTCATTCCTTGCCAATCTTGCTTCCAATGCAACCTACAACGTATCCGAGAGCCAATTCTTAAGTTGGAACTCCAACATTTTGGGGAGCTGTGGCGGAGTATCCAACGGTCAGCGCGTTTGCTTGCAAGCTCCTGGTGGTATATAGGCCACACCCCCAGTGGTCATCACAGCACCTACTGGTACGAGTGCATACTTTACCACCGCCACCCCACCACATCCAACTCAGAATGGCACTATGAGTAACTGCGGTAAATACTATCAAGTTTCTATGGGCGATGATTGCGCTACAGTTGATCTAAGATTGGGTCTCAATTTTACGACCCTGCAGTCCTTGAATACCTTCCTCAACGACACTTGCTCTAATCTGTGGTTGAACTATGATATTTGTGTCGCCCCGGTCTCCACGCCAGTGGTCTCTACTGATGGATCCTGTGGCATGGGTGTGACCTGTACTGGCAGCACATTTGGATCGTAAGTCTTACCATATCCCGATGTCTCAGATGCCTAGTTTATGAAGGTACCGTGGTAAAATTATGAGTTAATACGCTATTCCTTCCAGCTGCTGTTCATCGGCCGGTACATGCACGAATGACTGTGGCTCGACAGGCAATGGAACCATCAGTACAAACGATCTATGTGGGCCGAATAATACCTATATGACTTGCCCGGGTTCTGAGTTTGGTGATTGCTGCAGTAGTGAGTGATACCCTGCCATTCTATTTTGAGTGACGATTTTGGGAGGGAAATTCAAGCAAAAGATAGCAAACAGTGTGACTGACATATTTGTTTCCTCTCAGCAGTCTATGGATATTGCGGAAATGGAACCTCCTTTTGCGGCGCAGGAAACTGTTATGCTAGATCCTGTGCGACTGACAACGGAGGCCCATCGGTGAACGGTGAATGCGGGCCCAATTTTGCTGGAACTAAAACTTGCACAGGAACACAGTTCGGTAGCTGCTGTTCAACAAGTGGCTATTGTGGAAATACGAATGATTATTGCAGCCCGCCAAACTGCTACTCTGGCGCCTGTTTGAAATCAGGGTATACTTCAACTAATGGTGAGTGTGGTCCCAATTTCTCAGGAAACATGACATGTCCGGGATCCTTGTTCGGAGATTGTTGCTCTGTAAATGGATATTGTGGCAACTCTACCGCTTATTCCTCTGGTTCGAATTGTTATAGTGGTGTCTGTACGTAGGAGATGTATTGATACTTGAAATCCATCATTTTGCTTGTCATTCTTCATGCGCTTCTCTTTCTCAAATAATTCACTCGAATCTCACCAGGATGGGGGAATCCAGTAGTCCTCCCAGGCGCCATGATCTGCATCCTGGAACATATCAATCCCTCCCTCAACGCCATTTTCGCCCACTGTCCACACGCCGCTTTCAATCAATTCGGTCCACCGATCAAACAGCCTTTCCAATCTCTGCGCCCTATGCTCTCCGCCAAACGGGTAAAAAACGCCATGCTGGAAAAGCTGCGTGAATGAGCCAGATGGCACTAAAGTTCCATCACTGCGCCTAGCTCCATCCTTGTCAGCAAGATTTGGTCGTAGTGCGAATGGGATTAGAAGGTGGAATCCGGTTTCTTCAGAATCGTATTCGAATCGATTGACCGTTGCACTATATAACCCTGTTGGAACAGGATCACCACCGTTGAATGGCACATCATTTCTGGATCCAAAGAATAAACGCTGAATTTCTTCGTTGAAACTGATCGTGCGGCTATCATCCGCAGATGCAAAGAGTAGGAATGACGGCACATCCCTGCCCTGGCCTTCCGCGTTAAACATCTGTCGCGCTGTAAAAACTTCCTTATCGTGCGGAACCTCCAGGCCGGGCGCAATTAGCTTAAAACGTGGAGTCCTCACTCGGGTTAGAAAAGAGCGAATAAATCACTCCTTTGGTACTAGAGCCGCATCCAGCTCTGCATCGGTAAAAAATGGTGCATCTCGGGATATTGGCAAAAGAGACTGCATACGTGATTCGATCGCGTCCGTGTAGCGGTCCATCGCAGCAACTGTGCTATCAATCTGAGCAGCGCAGTATGGGTGCCAACGCCATAATCCAATTTGATGTCTTTCTTCATAGGGCCAGTTTCTCTCGTACTGTGGATCAGCCGTGATTTTTTCCATTCGGAGCATATGGATCCATTGGGTAAGAATCGTCTCTAGAGGAAACCACATCTCCCAATGTTCATCAACCGGCTCGATACTATCTGAATTCTCGATGGCCAATGGGAATGAGGCACGATGGTTCAGCTGGTCGTAGAGAACACCAAGACAGTGGGAGCCTAGTTCGGGCGTTGTGTCGTAAATGACCACAAATCGCTCTTTATCCTCGGAATCATTGTCTTCAAGGGGGAAACACTCGTCGGCAAGTCTCATTTGAAGCCCGCTCACCCAATAGAAGAATCCCGGCGTCGGATCATAAATTGAATCAAGGAATGAGTTTAATGAAGGGTGAAGCCGAGCACGAATGGCGTCAATATTCTCGTTCGGCTGGTTGAAGAACCATGACTCGCTAGCTAGGGCGTCGAGATCGGGCGTGTTTGTTCCATTGCGGGCCATGTAGGCATATGCGACCAGGTAGTTATGCAATCTGGCGCAGCGTTGAAAATCGAGTGTATCTTCATCGCGCGCTGGATTCTCGTCTGAAACGAGAGCGTCTTCTATGTCAAGGATCTGTTCTGGCGTGTTCATGATGAGGGGCAAAGAACACATTCTGTAACAGTCGAGTATGGACGGATGCCTGGTTTTATAAGTACGCATACAAATATGCAGTTAGACCGGTGTCTTCAAATGCCCGAAGGTTGACCTTCTACACTCCTAGCCTTAGCATATTCTACACATTACTCTCTAGATCCGAATGCTTCCATTTATATACTTCAGTTCTCTCTCCAGTTAACCTAGAGAATCCCCGATTCAATACCCTCTAATAAACGCAGGCCATGTTTCTACTTCTCCGCGGCAATCCATCTTGATGGAACAAGTATCGTATGTTTTATAAATATTGGGGGCTGGGTGGATTGGGCAGATTAATATTCGGGGTGTCGGTTACGGGCGTAAAAATACACATGCGTGTGTAGAGTGCAGGAGAATTTGTTCGAGGGGAGAAAGAAAACTGCAAGTCCGGGCTTTGGGTTTGAGAGAGGATAGAGCATCGGCGATGGATTCGGGGTATCTAGGGTAGGAGACGATTAACAAAAAGCGCGTCGGCTTCGTGCGCTGTTTCATCCTTTCTCGCTCTGATGATAACTATCATAGGCAATTTCCAACTATCTTGCGGCGACGCTAGGCCATGAGAAGGCGACATGATTTGGATTAGGGACTTGTGGTAATAATCTGGAGCGAGAAACTGGACTTGGTCTACGCTGTCACTCATATGATATATGGCAGTTGCGCTACATCTCGGTGCTTAGGAATGACAATCTTCTAGTTCTTATAGTAGTTCCTCTGATCTGATCTAGAGGAAAGGGTTGCATGAAGTTGACAATAAGCATAGACCAGCTTTTAATTGGCTCGACAATGTACTTTTCAACCTCTGTGGGTCTTATATTAGAAGTACATACTATATTTACCTATCTATTTTCGGTGACTCATAGGTACGCATTCGTGCTTAATTAAATCCATCTTACGGCCAGCGATCCTGCATTAACTCCGGTAGTTTTGCGCAGCGCGATATGTGTTGATACTAACAATATTCCAAATACCCTCAGATCTCGGATCTATACATCCATCTGTCCCAAATGTGGGGTCATCTTCAGGCATTTAGGTATATACCCGACGCATTTTTAGGCCCAGAGCTTCATTGACTCCTTTTTTTTTTGCCTAATTGTTTGTGGAAGATGAATATTTTTTCTCTTAATCATAATTTACATATATAGATGTACATGATAAATTGATTCATCTCTCATATCAAAACAAAAGATCGGTGTTTCCTTAGGGCCGAGACCGAAGATGGATCCACTCTGGAGCTGATTATTCAACTTGGCGCCGACCTCCAGGGCTGGACCTGGACGGCTTTGCCATAAACGATCTAAACTCCGAAAATGCGACATCCGACCTGCTGACCCCTTTACAACATAAATGCAATATATGTACTCTGGAGTATCATTTTCACAGATTTTACAGTTCTAGCCACAAAAATATTTCCGCGATCGGACATTTATTCCACCCTTGGCGGGTTTGTTTGCTTGGACGGAACCTCTAAACTCCGTTTTCTAGAAAAACTTTTTCTTCTTTTCTATTTCCCCCAACACATCATGGCGAGTGAGCGCCATCAACCAGATGCCTCGAGCAGTAATACTGAGCTCGATCAACCCCACGTGGAGAAACTCGTCGATACCCCAGCCGAAAAGGAAACTGAGATGGCCGATCAACCGAACGCAGAGACCAACGCGGAGGCCAACGAGGAGAATGTGACTGAAAAGACAACGGAGGGGGTGCCTCTGGATCGCGCACCCTCTCAAGCGGCCAAGATGGGCAAGAATAAGATCATAGTCGTGATGACGGCGCTATGTGTAAGAAAATCTCCGACCGGCTCTATCCTATGCGATGAGCGGGGAAAGGCTCGGGAAGTACAGGCAGCTAATCCGGTGTTACATTGCAGTTGGCACTATTTTTGGCAGCGTTAGATATGGTACGTCTCTCTTATCACCCCCTTGCTTCGACTTGCATTAATGTTGATCTTGCAGACTATTATTTCCACCGCCCTCCCCACTATCGCCGCCCAGTTTGGCGCCTCCGAGAGCGGTTTTTCATGGATCGCATCGTCGTATCTCCTGGCAAATGCCGCCTGCATCCCCCTGTGGGGCAAGATCAGTGATATCTGGGGAAGAAAGTCTATCATTGTCTTGGCAAATGTTATTTTCCTGGTCGGCAGTTTGATCTGCGCTTTGGCGCATAACATGGCCACCATCATCGCAGGTCGAGCGGTTCAGGGTGTCGGCGGTGGTGGTATAATTATCCTGGCCAATATTAGCGTTTCGGATCTCTTCAGTTTGAGGTATGGTGCCCTTTTGGTCTAGAGATAGAATGGTGCTAACTTCTATACAGAGATCGTCCGATGTACTTTGGTCTTTTCGGTGCAACCTGGGCCATCGCAGGCGCTCTTGGTCCTGTTATAGGCGGAGCTTTCACTACAAGTGTGTCTTGGCGCTGGTGTTTCTGGCTTAACCTTCCTGTTGGAGGTGTCTCGCTTGTTATCCTTGTTCTCTTCCTTCACATTGATTCGCCCAAGACTCCATTCTGGGCTGGTGTGCGCTCCATTGATTGGGCAGGAACATTTTTGATCATCGGTGGAACTCTGATGTTCCTCTTCGGGCTGGAGTTTGGAGGTGTCAACTATCCCTGGGCTTCACCTACGGTGATCTGCCTGATTGTCTTTGGCGTGCTCACTTTGGTTCTTGCAATGTTCCTAGAATGGAAGGTTGCTAAGTTTCCGATCATCCCCCCGCGACTGTTCAGCGAGTGGTACAACATCCTCATCCTACTCATTTGTTTCTGCCACGGAACCGCCTTCATCTCTGCTACCTACTATCTGCCGCTTTACTTCCAAACAGTCCTCCAGTCAACTCCCATCCTAAGTGGTGTGTATGCCTTGCCTCTAGTGCTGTCCCTTGCAATCGGCTCTATAACTACGGGTATCGTTATGAAGAAGACTGGCCGCTACCGCGAGATGATTATCGCTGGCATGAGCATGATGGCTCTCGGGTTTGGTCTTTTCATCGATCTCAAACCATATGCTTCATGGTCTCGTATCATCATCTTCCAGTTGATCGCTGGTTTCGGCATTGGCCCTAACTTCCAGGCACCTTTGGTCGCTTTCCAAGCCAACGTCCGTCCCGCCGACATGGCCACTGCAACAGCGACTTTCGGCTTTATCCGTCAACTTTCCACTTCAATGTCCGTCGTTCTGGGCACTGTCATTTACCAGAACGTCTTAAGTCAACAATCGGCCAAGATTATCGCCGCCGTAGGCCCTGAAACCGCTGCGGCCATTTCTGCTTCCTTTGGCGCTGCCTCCAAGTCCATTATTGAGGGCCTTACTCCCTCCCAGCGCGCAATTGTCCTGGGCGTCTACACACATTCCCTGAGCCGCATGTGGATCTTCTACACCTGCTTCTGTGGCCTTGGCCTTATTCTTGCTTTGCTCGTCCGCCCTCGTGAACTGACTCGCCACCACACCGTCCGGAAGACGGGCCTTGCTGAGCAAGAGCGTGCCCGTCAGGAGCTTATCGACTCTCAGCGCAAGGCTGAGTCGAAAACAGAAATCGAGGCGTAATGTCTCTCTCATCTAGATACCCTACTAATCTCTCCTCTCTGTCAGCACATCTCCTTAAAAGTTAATGCATATTGTTTAATCGGTCTTGGCCATTGCAGCCTCAATCGCCTCTCGCTTGGATTATTTTGGAGTTATATTTTGTTATTGCTTGCATATAAGTTATGACGCATGATGCATGTTGAGCCTTTGTGTATATTACATAAATTTGATCACATAAAGATGCATAGAATTCTATGTGAAGTTTTCCCTGTGTACCTTCTTTATCAAGCTCCATTTGTCCCTGGATTCAACTGTATAAGTACAGGTCAACATCTCAGAAGTCTTTACTCACGGGAACAACACATGTTATTTTACATGATCTTGGCTATGAGCATCCAGCGGCCCTCCTATAGATTGCGTTACGCCAAGGATCTGAGTAACCTCAAAAATTATAGCACTGCTATACCTGTGACACTAGGACAAGGCATACTCGGGGTGATGACATTCAAACATCCATGTCTCCCTTGTCTAGTGGTTGAGATCCGTCTAAGAACCACCCTACGGGGATAGGCTTCTATTCTATTGGGATAGGCAATATTGAAGGCATCCTAAAAAAACCGACTGAGTTTCGACTTTAAACTAAGGAAATGCTTTGTTAATTATAAAATTAACCAGAAAGTAAGTGAGCTATTCAACAGATGTTTACCCTGCTTCCACAGCAAACTGTTCTGATATCTTGTTGACGCTTGTTTGTATCTCAGGTTGATATAAGCTTGCTCTTATATACTTAAGCTTGATCACTCCTCCCTTCTCTTCCTCCCTCCATCCACTTCCCCGGGAGCAGTATATCTTCATCCACGGGATATCGATCCTTCCACTTCGCCATTCCTTTCACTTCGCCATTACAGTTCTATTTCTCATTGCTTGAGATTAGAGATCCTGTTTTTGGCAGACGGAATTCTCTTGGTTCTCGCTTCCTGTTTATCTTTCTTTCATTTTTTCTTCTCTTCTTTCTCACATTCACCTCTCAATTTTTTTACTTTTCTTTCATTTCCCTCTCTCCTTATGGTACGTATTGGATGGATTTATCCTCTAACCTTTTTCTTAAACTGACAATAATTTAACAACTACAGTTCGGAGGAAGACATGCCGAACTTATTATTTCAGTTATCGACGTGCCGTATATAGGACATGGATGGAGATGACTCCGTTCATACGAGCATCCATTCGTGCTTGGATTTCTGGTATTCTCGGCGATGGAAGTCAAGATGGATTTTCTGGAGCACGGCTCCGTGGTACGGAATCACGAGTTCGTGATTCCGAGACTCCTGAGAGATTGCCTAAAAACCCGAACGCCACAATCAAATGATGAGTGGTTTCAACATCCGATGCTGCATAGGTCAAGCTGCCTTGCCTTCTACTTCAAGTTGTTCGGGAAGGTCCATCTGTTTAACACTCAACTGGCGATTGTCTCCGGAGGGGGTGACCAAGTTATCATCTTCGAATGCCGCTAGTGATGGCGCAACTTCGAAGACCTGGAAGACCTACAGCGGCAAGCCTCAGGTTCCCCCATATCCCGTCGACTTACTAGAAGGAGGCCATATTGTTAGATCCCGCGCCGCTCGAAGTTCATTCCGCTGCCTCGTCCAACATACTACAGCCCAAGCAGCGCCTCCTTTTTAATATCGCCGTTGATCACTTCCAACCATCGCTCAGCCTTCTTATAGGCCACTCTTTAACCAATCTCTTACCAATCTAGATGGAGGATCCGGGACTAGAAGTCCCATCTCATCCTCCCGTTCTATGCTTCCCTAGTCCGGATGGCTAGGATGTTGGCCTCCCAGCATATATTCATGAAATATGGAGCTGAGAAGGGGAAAGATAGTGGACTGGCCGGACTATCGACTGCCATTACACAAGGAGCGATTGTCAATGTGGCGTTGTGGCGTGGGAGTCTAAGATGGTCATGTCCGAGAGCTCCAGCTTCGTTCTCTCCATGATGCACCCGCCTTGCCTAGCGAGGAGAACAACTGCCTCTACATGCAAGTGAAGGCAGTGGTCAGCAATCCTACGAGTTGACTCACCAACAAGGATGTCTAAATTTCACTCATGCGTGGCTCCCAATTAGAGGACCGATCAGAAGAGATGCACAGTCCCGGTTTATACAAGATGCACATTACAACATTACCAGTTTCAAACTAGCCTTTGTTTGCACGCAGGCTTGTCATAAACTACACATACGCAACCTCTGTTGACCTCCAAGACCAGTTCGCCATTGAACTCCCCGAGTCTCCTATCCAGGTTTCTATATATAATTCCCTCTGGCTCCGCAGTTTGAGTCACTCAGAGCCCTTGCGTTATCCTTTCTGGTATATATTGGTCCTTGGGACCATTCAAAACACCCCATTGGAGCTGAGTGCTCTTTCTGACGAAGGTGGAAGTTACGGAGATAAGGTTTGGCTTTATTATCACTTACAAAGAAACGATGTTCCTCGGCTGCTTTCCGGGAAATTCAACGGTCCGACTTCCTGACAGCGATGCCATCATGTCCTTATACATCCATAACAAACTCTACCGAGCCACAAACTTTCCGTGGGACTTCGACTCCAACGGAGACATCAGGGAGATGCGGGCACCTCAATAGCGACTCAATGACGATCTGGAGCTGGCCAAATACAAAAAATATTGTTCCTACGGCTTTGCTTGATGATCAACAGTCACTTATTAGCATAAATTAGCTTGCCATCAGAACATGGCTCAAGATGTGCCTCGTTGCCATAAAGCTATGATCCCGATCTATGACACCTGCCTTTTTCAACAAGAAGCAATGCATCATGTTGTCAACTTCCTGACTAAGGAGGATGATGATATTCTGGGAATTGTGGGGGACGATGCAGGAGCGACCATTGTCTTTGCCAGTACCTCAATTCATGTTCAGCATAGCGTTTGGAGAGAGCCTCTTATTTTCCTGGTATGTTCTAGGCTCCTATGTTCTCAGTCTATGAGCACCTAGTTCGAATGAAGCATTTGCATTAACGTTGCATATCTACAGGGTTACTTTGCATCCACGAGAATCCCCCCGATTGGTGCCTCAGATTTATGCCTCGACAACCCCACAGTATACAAGTACACTGTACTCGTTCAATCTACCAAGCTGATCCTCTCTACCGCATTCTCCGGCCCTGTTCTAACCAATAACACGCTCAAGGACACTTTCACCCAACCAATCAAAAAATCCGGATTCCTCACAACCATGGACTGGTTACGAAGTTCAGGTATCAACCTTAGCAGTTCCTGACAACCCCGGTCTTCGTTGGGCTGCTATGCATATCATGAACCCATAAGCAAAAGATGGCGTTTTTAGTCTACACATACTAGTTGCTTTTCCTATCGGCACATTTTGGAGAAGATGCTGCACCGCCACCTCTGGGACTTATGTTGGGTGCTGAAGCCCATTCATGCGCCTCAGTAATGCCTTCATGCTAGATTCCTCCAGCAGGCATCGAGGACCTTGAAGATATCCACTCCGTCTGGGAAAGACGAGAGGTTCAGGTCATCTGGCAAAAGCCCGATATCCCTACCTACTCCACGCTCATTCAACTACCCTGTGAGTACTCAGCTCTCCTATCGACAGAAAAATATGACAGAGCAATTGGGGAATATTCATTGGTTTTTAAAAATGCATCCTAGGTCACATTCATTTTCTCATATACATGGCTTCTTCCTGCATCTCCTCTTTATACATACACTAACATGTAGTTAATACAAATATCACTGTGACACTTACTCCTGCTGCATTACGTAGATTCCAACTATTGGGGTTGGATCTAATGAGACTCTTCAGATTGGGGCTGAAGTCACAGGGAGAATCGTTGGGGATTATGGTGGGTCGGCGTTTTGTTGATATCCAATGATACCTATAGTATTTGTACTTTTGATTATTGAATGACTATCTTTTGGTTAAAGCTAATAATAATGAGAGATTTTGCGGAAGGATCCCGAAATATTACAATTAACAGTTACATAGTACTTTGTAGGAATAGTAGGATCAGCTCCTGCAGCCACTGCGCCCATGGTGTGCATATACGAGAGCCGTGTACGGAGTAGTTCATGTCACATGCAATCACGATGGGCGATTATGCCCTATTTAAGGCGTTTTTTTACAAAAGTTCGATATTGATATTCTGGGGTAAATCCGAGAACCAGACAGTCGGTAAATGAACAGCATCCTGCAATTTTGACATAACCCTAACTTGACCGTAGAACTTCGGATCTTTAATTTCTCGTCATGCTATGGCTATAACTAATTTCGAGCCCCTGGAATAGATACGTAGTAATAATATTCTGATATTGTAATATTTTCAACCGCCCCCAACCACTAGACCTATTTGATTTAATTTAGCCCTAATCCCTGTCACCCACACCCATGTTCGAGCCATCTGAATAGTTCTCACAGTGAGGCTTTTTTTTTTTAGATAACTTGCATTGCAATTATCAAACCCTAACTGCATGAAGAAAAAAAAATAAAGAGAAAAAAGGAACGGGCGTCAAGAATATAAGAATTAAAAAAAAACGAGTCAGGAAATAGAACTACCAATGAAGAGTGAGTCGAACTCGTATTCACAGTTAGCCTCGTGAGTCCCCGTAGGAAATGATCTGCGTTGTCCAGGCATGACGTTGTACTCAAGCAGAAGAAGTTCATCTATTGGACGAGAGCCGATGCCTACGCCTAGGTCAATGGAAATGGAAAAACGCGCCTGGATGCTTCAGTTGCTAAATTTATATCAAATTAGGCCCTTATACTACATTGGAACTAGTATCAGCCCATCTAAGTTTGGGGATTGAGTTTTGGGGATCATTGTATCTCCTTGTCGATCACTCTGTGCCCCGCCAGTTATCCGTTGCTTTTAGTGGCAATGTTGTCTTGATATGGTTGGCTCAAAGGCTGCAGAATTGTCGGAATTTCAAATGATCCTTATGCCACTTTCGTCTCCCACTTTTCTGGGCCAGAGGACTGAAAAATCAAAGATACAAATGATGAGTCCCCTGTAGCCAAGCACTAACAGACCGGGGTCTTATGCTCAGCCCACTAAAAGAAAGCCACGACGAGTGGTTCCCGCTCTATTTGGAATTGCGCTTATCTCTATGAAGCAATGTTGGACATGTACTTCCTGCAAAGAACATAATCCCTGCTTCTAAAACGTAAATCAAGTCTTCTAGAAAAACCTGGGGGTCAAACCGAGCTGCATCCTTGCCAAGTTTGATGCCACTTTTTTTTCCCTTTTCTCTTTTTTTTTTCTTTGCCCATCTCCCTCTACTAGCGGTGCATGAGTTTCCAAATTGCGGCTTTTAATCAAGTTGATCGACCGCCGTGTGCCCATTATCATATCGACTCGGGTTTTATAAATTCACTCGGCTATCCTTCATCCGTACAAAGAAATATTCTTCTATCTAACCGCCCACTTATCGTTCCTGTGACTTATCTCTACCAGGGTATCTTCTCAAGCCTACTCCCCACATCATCGGCAATTATACGCATGATGGCGTGGCAAACACGCAACAACAATTCAACCATCCCGGAGGCCGCGTGTTGGTACCATGCTGAGTTGGAGGCTTCGAGCACGGAGTTTCTCAATCTCAACCGGCCCGAAACTAGTCTTATGTCTCCTTCGCCTGATTTCTCAACTATCACACGGATAGCCACTGCTCAGCCTCCTTCATACAACTGTCAGCTGCAACCTCCTTCTACGCCGGCTGCCTTCGGGGCTATGCTGCTTCCCCTTCATCCTTTTGCCTCATATCTAGACCCAAGCACCATCAAGCGGTCCATCGACAATCTCAGCCCAAGGTCCGTTCCTACCCCGGCACTCGGCGCCGTGCCTGTACTCTCCCCAGCAAGCCCCTACGACGCTGGATGTCCAAGTCCTTGGGATGATCTTCCAGTCTCGACTCCCATAATCAAAGAGACACCTCAGTCGGATGAGACTATCAAGGGACCTAGGCAGTCCAAAGGGACCTGTCGTCCCCGTCCTAGTGCAGCCAAAATAAAGTGTGTATTTTCTTTTTGTTTTATTTTCTTTTGTTTTTTTTTTTTCGAGGGCTCTCGTAACCATTGTATGCATATGCTAAATGCACTTCGTCTAGGAACAACGAACATTACGGAACCTGGATATGTCCATGGAAGGACTGCAAACAGAACGGTCGTCCTTTTTCGCGCAAAGGTGTCCTCAAGCGGCACATCGACACTCAGCATGTCAATCCACGGGCTTTCAAGTGTCCCCATGCCCGGTGTACCCACGCTTCGAGTCGACGGGAGAATTTGAAAGCTCATAGACAATCGATTCACAAGGAAACACTATAACATTCATGATGGGATATGATGGAATGTGGGATGTCTTGGTGTTGGGGTTTAGATAGATTGATTTTGTTTTTATACACTCGGAGATATATACTTCGGCTAAAGTGGAGTTCCGGATCGGATTTTATGTTGGAATATATATTGGATGCATCATGTTCCCGTTGACTTTTATGGAAAAATCGAAGATAGAGAATAACATATGGGGGTTGAAAACTGGTATAACATGGAACATACATCACTGATATACACTTGAATAGGGTAAAAAAAAGAGTGCCTTCTATTGTTCCAAATCCAGGTGGTTGATATGGGGAGGATCCACATCACAACCTGGGGGATCAGGCCGAACCAGGCCGCACAGGGTCTATGGATGCTAGAGCTATAGCTAATTTTAAAAATATTACGGCCGAGGTTTAGCTATCTTGCTGTTGCCATGGGAGTATAATTTAGGTTCGCAAAACAAGCATGCCATGGTAGATTGGAGCCAGAGCAACAAAGTGCAATTTCTTCTAAACAAAAGACGGAAGACAGACGCAAAGAACGCACGAAGAAGCGGATCGATTGACCGGTCTGTTGAAATTTGAAATGGTATGGAATTTGGTGCGTTTAAAGCGTCAGATACACAATGGGAGAAGTGACGCTGCGCGACCAGACACATCATGCTCGCGAATTGTAAGAACAAGGAGAAATATCGAGACGAAGCTCGTTCCCAGTGTCTTGGGGCCGACACAGCTATGAAAGTGTAAAATTTTTTGATTCGTAGGGCTTTGTTGGCCCTGCCTTCTCCCACGAAATAAAACGTTATCAACCCGCCAGCTCCATCACCTCAAATCAACATCGGCTCGTTCCGTCGACTTTTCCTTGCCTGACCGACCGTCTGTGCGAAGAAGGGAATCGCCCACTAAAAACAACACATAGAAGCCGTTTAGATGTTGGAGGGGTAGAGCATAACGCGGACGGTAGCGCCAAGGGACTTGGGGGGGAGGTTGTTGCGGAAACGGGCGCGCACAACACCGGAGTTGCCTGGAATGAGTCAGATAAACGAAATTCGAATTCGAGGTTCCCAGATTCCCAGAATCAAGGAGGCCATTCGGAGAATGACCCTCTTGGGTTTGATTGTCTGGTTGTTGTATTCACGTACCGTGCGGCCGGGTGACCTTGCCCCAGATCACCCGAATGTTGGAGCCGCGGACCTCACGCTTAGCACGGTAAACGAAAGCGACCTTCTTGCCAAGGTAGAACTTGGCGGACTTGGTGTCATCAACACCCTCAATCTTGACCAAGCTGTATAACCATATATCAGATTCCATTCATCGAGTATTCAATTTGTGTGCGCAGGGTGTAGATACCTGGTGTTGGGGGTGAGAGTGTGCTTGCCGCGCTGGAAGCTCAGGTGACGTCCCCTGTAAAAAGAAATTCGTATTAATCCTCTGTCCATATATCGTGTGTGTTGCTTCGATTCAAGTGGCGATGTCTTGTGTCCCCCAAAATCGGTCCTCCATATCGAACTGGTGTATCCTTGAATGCGATGATGCAAGTGCGGTGTGTGAACTTACTTGACGTAGACTAGAAAAGAAGAAATAGTTAGCACATGTTTTTTTCAATCCAGTGTGGTCGCACACAAGGTGTCTGCTCAAGAGGTGGCTTTGCGATTTCAAGACTGCCAAAACGACGATCGATAAGAAATTCGAGGGGATTCACTCACGGCGGTGTCCTTGTTCCGAAGGCATTGTGTCGGCGTTTCTCTGGGGAGCGGGCAAGGAAAGAAAGTCGAAGGAATGACCCGCAAGATCAAAAGTCGTTCCCGTTTGTCGTGGTTGTCGTCGCTTCGATAGAGTCAGGCGCACAATCAATTTGCAGCCGGTGTGTTGGCTTTCGCCCTAGCCCAATCGGGATCTTAGCGAGCCACATTTTCACGTGACACTCAGGGCTAAGCGAGATCCCGTGATAATCACACCGCTTCAGTATTACATCAGCTAGATTGGCAGAATGAGATAAGCTTCTATTTGGATTATTATTTCTCCTCTTCCGGGATTTTATCCTTCATTTACCGCCATTTACCGTTGTACTTTATTTTTCTGCCACTCGGACTACTGTAGCCCGATCGTCCTCCACCTGGGCGACCTTGGAAGTCTGCACAGCTTACCAGCTTACAAACCTAAGCTAATGACGACAGAGGCCTTAGAAGATTTCAAAAAAGCAACACACAAAGGCAATCTTGAGTAGATCTTTATATAATTATATATGTATATTTTATAGCTAGCTTAAGAATACAACAATTATCACTGTCTCCAAATGATTAACCATTGACAGTTGAGGAATGACATGATCCGGGTAGCATTCTGATGCATTATATACTCCAGACCGAGACCACTGATTGGGAAATCTAGAAGTTCCTGTATCCTGCCCCACCATTTTTGTCGGTCATGTCGGTCATGTCGGTCACTGATTACATTTAAGACCGGGTATTGATCAAAACCTGTGTCACTTTTCAAAGACTCGTGCGAGAGAAAGGAACTAGACTAGCGTATAGTACTATATAGTGTATACTACTACATAGATAGGGTCGTATAGAGTATGTAGTATAGCCCCCAAATTAACGGTTAATTTGCTCCGGATTCGGGGAACCTTCCAAGCATAGACCGGGTTAATACCAACCTCAAACCGTAAGAAGGTCTCGGGAAAATAAAATCCGTCTGGCCTAAATGACAAATGTGCCGATCCATCCCCCACGATTTGGGTCACCGAGAGGGTTCTTATCGAGTTGCGTGCTCGACGTATTGTATTCTTGCATGTTTCTGTACTTTGATACAGTCTCTTGTGAGATTTTAGTGGACTGCAACCTTCCCCTCGATGTGGTGGCTTATTTCAATGCAGCTCCGCTTTGGATACTTTTGTACATATGTGTATACCTCTTATATAGGACGGTAAGGCTGTTAATATGACTATCAGTACTCCATACTCCATAGTATGGAGAACTATACAGAGTACTCTGTAACAATATCAAAGATACTATGTTGTAGTTATGGACACGTACCACTCCACAGTCGAATTCAGCCTGTTTGGGCAGTGTGATCCGCACCTATAAGTGAACGGCATCCCTTGTCAGATGACACTTCCCCCTGCTTTCTTTTCTTTGAAAACTGTTATTAGAACGTGAATAAGCGACATATTCACATCGGATATCCTTGACAAATGGTCCGATATGTCACCCCGACCCCGAGCCCGAAGCCAGTTGTAAGCAGTACTGATAGTCCTCCAGAGCCTGCGCGGGGTTGATAATCAAAACGGGTAAGATCCCGTGAGATCTTAGACAAAATTCAATGTCAATGACACTGAGAAATCATGAAGATTGGACCTGAAGAAAGCTTGGAAAGACTTGATATAAAAAAAAGTTTGACTGGAATTTGCCACGAGGCCAGGAGCAGGTTCAGGGCCAGTATTTAAATAGTGAACAAGGAAGATAAACAAGATATATTAGTACATCGTACATCGTATATACTATCTCAATAATTTAAAATAATTTTAAAAAAAAGGAATATTATCAAAAAGTGATTAATACCCTGAAGTCATAAAACACATACGATACCCAGTAAAAGCCCCACCAGAAGCTGTGAGCGACTTCCGTTAAAAAGTACTCCGCCGGATCCTGCTGGTGTTCTCAACATTCTTCCTTTTTCTTCTTCTCCAATCTCAAACCATTTTTCTTCATTTTGTGTATTAAGCGGTACAACATGTCAAGTGTGATCAACCAGACCGACGACCGCCATGGTGCTGGGTGAGTTTTCCTCCCTCCTGTATCTCTGACATCACTCCCCCTCTCCTCCTCCGGCAGCGGAAGCCCACCGACTCTGACTCAATGCAACCTCAAAATCTGCCCAAAATTGCTATTTTGGACGTTTTTGCCTTCCCGAGAATAGTCCATCTGTTCCTGGACGCTTTTGCAAGACTTTCTCTGCTCAGAGAGCTTCCGCGCTCAACCCCTCAATTGCCGCGTCAAATGCAAATTCTTTCGGTCAATTAGAACGCAATGCTAACAATGGATATTGCATTCAGCACCGTCGAACTTAAAGATGATACCATCATCGTGGTACTAGGCGCATCGGGCGATCTGGCAAAGAAGAAGACCGTTCGTACCCCCTCTCCAGGATGCGGTGACTCTAAAATGTACTAACCAGTTTATAGTTCCCTGCGCTCTTTGGCCTTGTATGTGCTATTTCTACTGACCATCCTAGTTCTTATCCACTGACAATTGTGGCATAGTTCCGCAACAAATTCCTCCCCAAGGACATCCAGATCGTCGGATATGCGCGCACAAAGATGGACCACGATGAATACCTCAAGCGCGTTCGCTCGTACATCAAGATCCCCACAAAGGAGATTGAGGATCAATTAGATCAGTTCTGCAAGATGTGCACCTATGTTTCCGGCCAGTACGATCAAGATGATTCCTTCATCAACCTGAACAAGCACCTTGACGAGATCGAGGACAAGCGCCAATCGAAGGAGCAAAACCGCGTCTTCTACATGGCACTGCCTCCCAGTGTCTTCATTACCGTGTCCGAGCAGCTGAAGCGCAACTGCTACCCCAGAAGCGGTCTCGCCCGCATTATTGTGAGTTTCCCTGGATAGGCCGGCCCGAAACGAACCCCATACTGATACATATCTTCTTCTTTAATAGGTCGAGAAGCCATTCGGTAAGGATCTACAGAGCTCGCGCGACCTCCAGAAGGCTTTGGAGCCTAACTGGAAGGAGGATGAGATCTTCCGTATCGATCACTACCTCGGTAAGGAGATGGTCAAGAACATCCTAATTCTGCGGTTCGGCAACGAGTTCTTCAACGCCACATGGAACCGTCACCACATCGATAACGTTCAGGTATGTGATGAAACTTTATTCGGGAGTTCTGAGTTCTAATATCGGCCGCAGATTACATTCAAGGAGCCTTTCGGCACTGAGGGCCGTGGAGGCTACTTCGATGAGTTCGGTATTATCCGTGATGTTATGCAGAACCGTACGTGAACTTAATCCCACTATGATATAGAAGAATATGCTAACAACTTTGCAGACCTTCTGCAGGTCCTCACATTGCTCGCCATGGAGCGCCCTATTTCCTTCTCCTCCGAGGATATCCGTGACGAGAAGGTCCGTGTTCTCCGCGCTATGGATCCTATTGAGCCCAAGAACGTCATTATCGGCCAGTACGGCCGCTCCCTCGATGGCAGCAAGCCCGGCTACCTGGAGGACGATACTGTGCCCAAGGAGTCGCGTTGCCCGACTTTCTGCGCCATGGTTGCATACATTAAGAACGAGCGTTGGGACGGTGTGCCCTTCATCCTCAAGGCTGGAAAGGCCCTGAACGAGCAGAAGACTGAGGTCCGCATCCAGTTCAAGGATGTCACTTCCGGTATCTTCAAGGACATTCCCCGTAACGAGCTTGTCATCCGTGTCCAGCCCAACGAGTCTGTCTATATCAAGATGAACTCCAAGCTGCCCGGTCTCTCCATGCAGACGGTGGTTACCGAGCTGGACTTGACCTACCGCCGCCGCTTCTCCGACCTCAAGATCCCCGAGGCCTACGAGTCCTTGATTTTGGACGCCTTCAAGGGCGACCACTCCAACTTCGTCCGTGATGATGAGTTGGATGCCAGCTGGCGCATGTTCAGTCCCCTCCTCCACTACTTGGATGACAACAAGGAGATCATCCCTATGGAGTACCCCTACGGTGAGTTTACCCGCTTTCTACTTTTCTAACCATGACACATAGCTAATTTGCATTAATATAGGCTCCCGTGGACCCGCTGTCCTTGATGACTTCACTGCTTCATACGGCTACAAGTTCAGCGACGCCGCTGGCTACCAGTGGCCAGTCACTACCTCGGCCCCCAACCGGCTGTAGGTCTTAGTATAGCTGTTTACGATGATTACGGGAAGCGGATTTGGGATACGAAGGAATTAAAATCTCTATTTTCTGACTCTGGTTGGTCGGCCGGCAGGAGTCGCGTCATACTGTGATACTTAGGTTTTCGAGGCCAATTCAAAATTATGGATTGGATGCGACGCACGCAATGAAAGATACTTACGCCCTTATTTTGTTTGTTCTGTGGTGGATATTGTCCTTTCGACTGTCATCCACCATGTTTCTACTTTGTACCTTTTTTTTGTTGCTCCTTATTTGACAATATCTACGTAAAATTAAATTGATGAGCAAAATAACTTGCCTAATCAGGCTATAATACCAGAGCCAGTGTAGAGCTCTGCCGAGCGCACGTACATATATGGATGGTTTACAGCTCGCGTATACGGAGTACAATTCCCCTGTTTCTATATTTGGAGAAAGCCCTGGGGGGTTAGAGGGGCCCGTTACGTCATCACATGTGGCCAATCAGCACAAAATGGCCCATCACTAGCTGACATAAGGCTGAGTTCCTCGAGCCCCTGGAAGGCTGCAAACAAACCTGAAACCTAGAATGCATTTGGAAAATTGATCCGTACGCAGACAACAAATAAGAGCCCTAGCATGGGCTAGCCCTGGCGAGAAAAATCCGGATCGGCAGATGGGCTTAAGAGCTGGCGGGTCTCGTAAATTAAATCGATAAGGCCGGGGTGGCCCGCATAGAGGCGCTCAGGCCAGGCGTATTTTCTCTCCTTCTTTGACAGTGAACAACGTCTTTCTCTTAGAAATCCCCATAGACGCTCCCGACAACCGCCTAGACACCCACCGACACCTCCGTCGCAGCCCACGCAACCCACCCATCCCTGCCCAACCCCGCGCCGTCAACAAACGACGCATCCCGGACCTACCGCGCAGTAGCGTTTTGGCCCCCCGCGAGCTTCCCCGAAAGGCACGCGACACAATCCCCTAAAGCGACTAAACACCCGCCGGCCCCTTTCTCGACCCCCGGAAAACTTCCCCGGACCTGCTAGACCGCACATTTTGTTCACCGGTTCTAAACGGCGCGTCGCTTCCGTCTAGGCGTTTTCAACTTGCGAATCGGTTGCTGGCGAAGCCACTACCTGCCTCCCGACGATTTTGCTTTGCATGAGTGCGGATAGCTAGGTGCATGCTAGCACGTGGATAATAAGGATGCCGCAGGCTGCGAGGTGGGCCGGGACGCCCTCCATTAAGGGCCGGAATGAGTCGACCCGGATGGCGCTTTTGACGTTTAGTTTGGTCGGATTGCAGTACGTATTACCCGTTTCTGTTTTGTTGTTTAGGTATAGGGGGTTAGATGCGGTGTTATATTGTCTAGCTTGTGTTTTTGGAGGCAATTGGGGGATTCCAGGGGATTTGTTGTGTCTGTGGCTAACGTGGTGTTTTTCTCGGGAATAGGTTCACGTGGGGTACTGAGATGACTTGTAAGAGCTAACCGCATTTTGAAGGGTCTCTGTTGGGACTTGGGCATAATGATCGCTGACTTGGATTTGTTTTGCTTAGATTGTACACCTTATCTTCTTCAGCTCGGTTTGACGAAGTCTAAGACTTCGTTGGTGTGGATTGCTGGCCCGTTGTCTGGGTTGATTATCCAGCCTCTTATCGGAGTCATTGCTGATCGATCGCGGTCAAAATGGGGTCGACGTAGACCTTTTATGATCGTTGGATCATTTGTTGTCGCTTTCTGTCTGTTTATCTTGGGGTGGACAGCTGAGATTGTTGGGTTATTTGTTAAAGATCCGGAAAAGGTATATATATTGTTTGTTGGGACATTTACCCGGCTTTGTCTATGGTTATGTGGAAGCTAATATTGATTTTCTACAGGCTAAGAATGGCACAATTGCGCTGGCTGTGTTGAGTATTTATGCGGTGGACTTCTCTATCAACGTTGGTAAGTGGCAGACGTGCTTACAAGTTAATCGAAGGTGGCTGACGATGTCTTAGTTCAGGCTTGCTGTCGCGGTTTGATTGTGGATACGCTACCGATCCCATCGCAACAAGCTGGATCCGCATGGGGTATGGCTTTTCCCCATATGTCTCAGCCCAAAACCCTAATCACCACTGACCTTTATTGTAGCTGGAAGGATGTCTGCCATCGGCCAACTCTTTGCTTATGTGGTTGGTGCTATCGATACTGTTGGTATCTTTGGTACTTTTATTGGAGATACGCAGTTCAAACAGATGACAGTGATCGCTGCTTTCTCATTGGTGTTGGCAGTGGCCGTCACCTCATACTCGGTAAAAGAGCGAGTTCTTCTGTCTGCAAGGTGGGTTGAACTTGAACCGATACTTATCGCCATCAACTAATATTTTATGACAATAGGGATGACGGGAGTGCTGGTGCTATTCAAGTGCTCTCTCAGCTGTTCAAAACTACTTTCGAGCTGCCGCCTCGCATCCAAGCAATTTGCTGGGCCCAATTCTGGGCGTGGATTGGTATGGGAAATTCCGCACTAGGAAACAAATAATGCTAACATTAAGTAGGCTGGTTCCCCTTCCTCTTCTACAGCACAACCTGGGTTGGCGAAACCTACTTCCGTTACGAAGTACCAAAAGATGATATGGCCAAAGCAACAGATATGCTCGGTGAAGTCGGCCGCGTGGGCAGTCTCTCATTAACCGTCTTCTCATCTATCACATTCCTGAGCTCTGTCCTCCTACCCTTCTGTATCCTACCACCGGATTCCAAACGGACACGATTCACCGCACGACCTCCCCCAGTCTTCGCAGCGATTCTCAAATACCTTACCGCAATTCGCCCCGACCTCCAAACCGCCTGGTTCATCTCCCAGATCATGTTCGCCGCTACAATGATCTTCGCCCCGCTAGCACACTCCCGCGCCTTCGCAACCACCCTGGTAGCAATATGCGGTATTCCCTGGGCAATCAGCGGCTGGGCTCCATTCGCCTTCATGGGCGTGGAAATCAACAAATTAACAATGGGTGGTTATTCCCCCGCAATCCCATCCTCACGATCCGGCGTGACAATGATCACCTCAGCCAGTCTGCGCAACGCCGCCCCCGATAATGAGCTAGATGTCCTTCGACTGAACCACCGTGATTCCTTCGACAGCGACACAGACGAGGAGGAACACTCATCCAACATCCCGTCAACAGGTGAACTCGCCGGTATTTACCTGGGCGTGCTGAACGTGTACACGACCCTGCCACAATTCGTCGGCACTTTCATCAGCTGGATTGTCTTCAGCATCCTCGAACCGGGTGTTTCCGACAACGCTGCAGAAAACAATTCAGATACACAGTGGATGAACCTTGATAAGGATAAGCCGAACGCCATCTCTATCTGTCTCTTCATTGGGGCACTAAGCGCTCTCATCGCGGCTGAGGCTACCCGTCGACTGCGGTATATACTATGAGCAAGCAGTCTAGCGAAAGCGAATGCTGCAAAATTACGAATCCGTTGCGACGAATAGCTATTGATTTTTGCTCGATACCCGGTGTGTGTTGCATACGAGCCTTGTCTTGACTTGAGGCTTTTCTGCTGCCCACACCACTTTAGAGAGAGTGTATGTATACTTGTACAGTGAATTCCTTCATGTCTCCTTGAAGGAGTTTTTTTTGTTTTTTTTTTCTTGGTTCGGCATCTGCACATACATAATACATAATACCAAGGAAGAAGCTATACGTACCATATTTCCTCTGCTAGATGGGGTTCCCTATCTTCAAATGTTAGCTACTGCTTTTTTGGGGGCATTCAAAGTTAGGCATAAGGATTAGATGACAGTCAGGGCTCAGACCGTCCAGGTGACCTCACCCTACCCACTTGCCCACACCCACTGATTACCCAGAATTAGTCAGAGCCCTGGAGGTATCTACCGATGTCCGGGACTCCTTATGGAAAGAGGCTGAAACAAGCTTAGAAGGCCGCAGAAATACTAACGTAGGAGTACCAGTGCAGGAATACTACTGCCGCCCTGGCATATTCCGCACGGGTTGCTAGATCTCCCGAATGCAGGGTTTAGCAGGTATAGATAGAGGCTGAACTCAGCACTAAGTAAACAAGGGCTCATTCAAGGGTACATAAAAAAGCGCTTTGCCTTATGATACTGTTTATTTTGTGATCTATCTTTTTCAAGCCTCATTTCTACTTGCTCTGGATGCCAAGACTAATTTTTACCCGAACTATAGGATCTACCTGGGAAGCATCGGATCATCGGAAATCTCAGAGGTTAGGCAGCGGGATGCGTTCTGGTGCAGCAGTCTGAACTGCATCCTGTCCGCAGCCGGTATGCATGTGTATCATATATGATATGTGATATGTTCGATACTAGAAAGAACGTGTGCTATTACGTAGCCTGATTTATTAGATGCCCGAAATTTCCGCTGTACATATATAATAATGATTATCTGACATACTGAGGGGCATTAGAACATATGTACTCCATAATGAGCCTCAAATTGAAGTGAATTAGGTATGAGTGGTCTGTTCCTTATGCACCTGGTTACGGGTTTCAGACAATTTTCTCGTTAGTATAATTGATTTAATTCAAGAGATATCACGAGACCTTTCAGTAGAACCTTCTAGACTAGACAAGTAGTCCCTTATCTGCGTCCAGGCTAGCCATCCGTCCTGTTCCGAGAAAAGCCTGAAGAATAAGCGAGAGGTGAAACAAAATGGAGAGACAATCAAAGAGGACAGCAATGGCAATGTGGGAAACAAAGAGAAAAAAAAAAAAAAGGGGCGGGATATAAGGAAAGAAAGAAAAATAGCCGTCTTACCAGCCCAACAAGTTGGGGTGGGTCTGTCCCACATAACGGAACTTTCCCAGTAAACGGAATTGTAGAAACTAGGTATCTTTTGTATAGGATGCTCATATAAAAGGTACATGTATAAGTATTCTACTCTCTCAACCTCCTAACTATTTAAAGCAATAATAAGCTAAGGAATGAGTAAGTAAAGTCTAGTCTAATTGATTTAGTGTTAAGATTAATCTTAGATATCTCTTATAGAGGATTTATGGTCATTTTTAAAAGAACCATGTGTGTAGAAATATAAATCTTCGATACTCAATGGAGTACTGAATATTTCTTTCTAAGCCTACTATTAAATAGAAAGGACTTCCTTTACCCTATATATGCCCTACTATACCTTCCCTAATTATTTCTAGGGATCGAGATAATTCCTATCATACTTATGCCATATTTATGTACCTTTTGTCTGGACCCAACATATAAAAGATACCATATTCCGGATTGTGGGACGCACGGCTACTTGGCATAAACCCGGGGGTTTATGCCAAGGGAATAGGCGTCCGAGCGGACATGCTGATTGGCTTACCTACATAGGTACCCGCGCACCCACTCCACTAGGACTAGAGGTATCTGGACACTTTGGACGAAGTTACTACGTGCTCGACAGCCTGGTCGAGAAGCGATGCTAATGCACATGCACGTACTTGCTTTTTTCTTTATGGTACTATCAATACTAATAATTGTTATTAATCAACTTCTTAGTACGTAGCTTATAGCCTTTTTTGTATTTTATTTGTATGAATTCGAAAGAATACCATATTTCTTCTGGTGGCGTGTATGCAGTAATCCTCGGCCGCGTTGTCATAGAAGCACGGGTTATCTACAACGTAAAAATAAAACAACAGCACGAGCCCGACTAAACGGTTCGGATCTATTTCTTGTTCCGCGACTGGTGCTCCTTTTTTCCTCTCCACTGATTCACAAAGCCTGTCCCGGAGATTTGGTTCCTTAGCTTGATAGTGGAGAACTTGTTATGTATGAATTATATCAAGTATATATATTTGTTTATAACATCTATGATATGCAAGCTGCTCGGCCGGTGAGACTAGACTTTACTCGTTTATTTCTTACGTTCATGTCCCACTATATTCGGCCAATGAAGGGAGCAGGAAATATGAAATATGAAATAGGATATAGGAAATAGGAGATATGAAATAGGATGTAGGAAATAGGATATAGGAAATGGGAATTATAAAATAGGAAATAGGATATAAGATGTAGAAAATAGGTAGAAGACAGAAGGTATGCGGAGGAAATTGGAGCACAAATCCCATCTTGGCTTGTCATTGCAAGTGTGTTTCTGCAGGAGCTCATCTTCAAGTCCGTTGCAACAAAACTCGCCCGAACAAGTCCTAGCTGTTCCTTGCATGTTGCCATTTGATTGGTCCTATCTGGGCACCCTCGGGGACTCTTGCCAGATTAATTCCCTGACCAAATGCGAAGGTGCACAGTACATTATTCACGGACGCTAGTTATGCCTCCACGGGTGAGAAATGATCTTTACCGCCACTCGTATCTGACCTACCTATCGGGCTAAAAAATTCCTTGCCCTAGCTAAAAGACGGACTTGTCCCCTACCGGCGCACTGGCGCCAAACTTTCTTGTCTCCTACGAGGGTCAAAATTCCTTGTAGTAACCAAAAGAAAATCCTGGTTTCAACTGGTACCAAAATTTCTCGTCCTCTACGAAGGTCAAAATCTCTTGTCCCCGTAGAAAGGACTTGTTCCTACTGGGGCCAAAAATCTTTGTCCCATACGAGGGCCAGATCTTCTTATCCCCTCGACAACCAAAACTTTCTGTCCCCTACGAGGACTAAAATTTCTTATCCGGTCTAAAAAGGTTTGTTCTTAATTAACCCTTTAACTCTATCATCATCTCAAACAGATATGCGGTAATCGAGCCCGACTCCACTAGAGGATCTACAGCCACGGGGGTATTTGGTCTACAGCCACGGGTATTTAAAGGACTTAATTTCCTCCTCGAATCCCTCCTACTACAGACATTTTAAGTACACCGGCACAGCATTTCAATTTTTCTTTCTTACTCATTATGGTACTCCCTTCCGGCCACGAAGAATATTCAAGGCTGCGCCAAATGTCCCAACCTAGCAGTGAGCAACCCAGTTACAACCCTGGAACTTCTGCTATGCAACCACCTGCGTCTACGATCGGTCATCCACCTGTATACTCTACAGATTGGTCTCTTCGCGACCCTTCTATGGGCTATGTCTCTGCGGCTCTTGACCCCAACTTGACTATGCATACCATAGAACCTACCCTCCCGGTCGGACAGCCGCTTGTACACTCAACGGGTTGGCCTTCTTACGGCTCTTCTATGAGCCATGCCTCCGCATCGTTTGAGACCAACTACAATATTCATACCGCCACAGCAGGACCTCTTCCTGCAGTGAACGATTTGTATCAGAACTACACACAGTCTTTCTCGACTGGGCAGTCTAGAGCCACCGAGGCTGAATTCGAAGACCATCTCAATCCCGATCAAACCACAATCCAGATCCAGTCTTCGGCACCGAGTCACTCTACCCAAGAGAGATGTTCGCCAAACAAGCTCAACGCTAAAGTTGTTAATGTGGAAGCAACTTCTGCTCATGGTAAAGTCCAAAAAAAGGAGTGAGCTGCATATTCTCTTCTCTCTTCCCACTTCATCGCTAACGGTATCTCTCCTATTTTAGGAAATCAAATAGCCTTTTCAAATGCCGCTGGGAGGGCTGTACAAAGCCAACCACGTTTAGCACCATTGAATGTTTGCTGCGCCATGTCAAAGTACAGCATATTACACGTCGCTCCATCAAGTGTCCGGTATGTGGTAAGGGTTTTGGTCGCCGGGATAACATGAATGAACACCAGAGAAGGTGCCATTAGAAGTCTGACCGAGATTGATGCTGGCGATACTGAGGTTTGGATTGTTTTTCGCTATGGATATGTAAAAGTTTGCGTTGAGGATTTTAGCCCTGGAAGTCTCTTATAGGGAGAAGGACGAAAGTACTTAGTAATTCGAAATAGGTTTTAGTATATCATTCACACCGTAGTATGTAATTTGTAGAGTGTGAGGTCACACTAAATAAGGCCAAGAGCACTAGTAGCCCCACTGATCCCGTTCCCGATATCCAAAGTATCGTGATCTCGATCTGATCTTTTTCTGACAGCATGCAAAGACACATATCCACGTCAAAGGGGGAGTCGTGTAAAAGAGAAGTGTTTCACATGATGTGCTTAGCATGTTGCATTTTACCTATTATTATACAGCTTATCTCGGACCTAGGAGCTGTCCATATGTTTTACGAGATAAACAAGAATAATAGAAGTCATGTGACCTCCCAAGATATACAATGTGCTATTAAATGTCGCGCTGAAAGGAGTTTTGTCTTCTGTCTTTTTTGGTTCGGTATATGTACATACATGAAGCATGACAGATAGGAAGAAGCTATATGTACCGTATTTCATCTGCCAGTTAGACTTCATCCTATCTTCAAATCTTAGCTGCTTTTATGAGGGCGTTCCAAGTGACTTGGGAGTAAATTCCGGTTAGGGCTCAGACCGACCAGGTGACCTGACACAGATTACTCAGAAATTCAGACCCAGGGTCCACGGGTATCAGAAGTCTACTGAAGTCTGCTGAAATCTGCTGAAGTCCCCATAAAAACCGGGGAATGCCAACAAAAATGACGCCCTACAATGAAAATCAGACCAAAACAAGTTGCCCGATAAAAGAATCAAGACAAAAGAAAAAGATCATCCTGGGTTTTGAATATATTAAAATTCAAAAAAAATAAAATACAAAATAAACAATAAAATAAAATAAACAATAAACAATAAATATTTTATTTTTTAAAATTAAAAAATATTTGAAAAAAAAAGCCGAAAACAGCGATTTTAGTGATATGGGGGATCAGACCTTTGACACCTCATCTCTTTTTAGCTTCATTGAGCCTCAGTTAGTCTCAATTTAGTCTCACCATCCTAAGTGCTAAGACTAATTCTTACCCAAGCTGGTTTAGAAAGCGCCGGACAATGAGGAAATTCAGAGGTTGGGAACAGAGAGCATAATCTGAGGCTACTTCTTCCCATTTTGGCCCCAAGTACTCCGTGATCCGCGTAGATACGCAAATGTGCCTGCGTTGCCACCAAATATTTGCGAGCTACTAGGTAATGATAAGTGTCTACATCCTAGGCCGATCAAGACGTATGCGCTGGCTCAGGGCGATCTTCCGTACGGGGCTTTGCTAGGATGAGACTGGTGAGCCCTAAGCCGACTTAAACATAGCATATAGGAAGTCAACACTTGAAATTTATGTATAAACGGTCTCTTGTATGAATACTAGGCCACGTTTGCTAGGCAGTTTTCTCGTTGCGAGTTTAGTAAAGAGATATCATGAAAACTTTCGATAATTGGAAGCTTCCAAGTTTCCTGAACAGGTAATCACGGGACGATAATACTCTAGACTGTTCCAAGAACAGCCCGAATGATAAAGAAAGACGGAAAGAAAGAGGAGAAGACAACGGAAGAAAGAAGACAGTAATCAATCACAATATGTGGTAAAAAAAAAAAAAAAAAAAAAAAAAAAAAAGAAAAAAAACCTGGTGATGCACCTTCTACTCCGTACGGAGATTGGGAATAGGCATCTGTCATGTGTATACTCCGTAGATTCACTGGTATACGTCCATTTGCCTCATCGGGGTCGGAGAGAGGGAGTGGAAGAAAAGGGGTGAGGGTGGAGAGGCGGGGAAGCGTGGAATAGATCCAATAGAACCCGACGCAACCCTTGAAAGCAAAGAATAAATAAAACGGTTCGGAGATGTCCGTTTTGGATTTCTTATTTTTTTTTCCCTCTGGAGATTTGATCGGGCAAGTGGAGAACTTGCACGCCATTGACCTATTGAAGATAGGGGGAGATCCGAACTCTGCCAAGTTTGCAGATCATAGATAAATTTTATTTTGAGTTATTTTATACATTTTTGATACAAAAGTACATCTGGTAACAACAGTGAACAGTAAATAGTAATTAGTAATTAGTTGGCATGCGAGGGGAATTGGATAAATCGGATCTTCTTAGATCAAGGGAAGATCCAACCAATCTAAGCTAAAGTCACGCTCATCACGGTGATAAAAAACAAGAGGTATTTTTGTTGGGTATAATGACTTGGCATTCAGTGTCATTGTACGAAGTACCCCGTATGCCCAGGTGATTCCCAGTCTTTGTTGTAACCGACCTTGGGGGTATGACGATCGTTGATTGATTCAAATAAAGACCACCGCGTTCCTGGATATTATAGTCTGGGATCCAATCAAAATACAATGGCGCTCGGTTATAAACAAGCCAATCATCACAAATGCTATTGCTCTGTTATTAAATGCTCTGTTATTGGAGGCTGACACAGATACCATACTCTCTATTGCCACAAAGAGAGAGAGAAATTGGGGGCAGAAGTACGGCAGAGAGACCCCCGATTCATCCCAACTCCCCAGCCTCCCAAAACTTTCATCTACGATAATTCTGAGCCAGGCGCTATTACTACGGAGCAGACGCAGTGGCTATAGTCACGAGTTATTTAAGAGGCCTTGAATTCCTCAATCTGGAATCCCTTCTGATGCACGAATCTCAAATACTCTTCCAATTCTTCTTTTTTACTCATCATGGCACTCACTTTGGATCCCGAGGAATATTTTAGGCTATGTCAGAGACACCAACCTAGCAGTGAGAATCCCAATAACTATAATCCCGGACCTTCTACTCCGTATTATGCAACCACCTGCTTCTGTGGACGAACAACTACCTAAATGCTTCTCACACTTTTACATTAGTTCGAATTAATCTTAGTGTTAGAAGAGTCTAATCATAGTTATATCATATACCATTTACCACTCTTGTTTATTTTTTTTTAACTAGTTCGAGGGTTGAGTAAAATGCAAGTTGTGAATTTGAAAACCTTTGTACCTTTTGTATGACATGCCCATACAAAAGATACCTAATTTTGAACATTTATCGTTCACTGGGGCGCACCAACACAGTAAAGGTATGTTGGGCGCTTGGCACGATTATAGTCTATTGTGACTTGCTATATTCTGAATTTGGTCTAGCCTAGTTGACCAAGTTAAAAAAAAAAAAAAAAAAAAAAGGAGACGGGGGAATCCGGGGGAGCGAAAATAGGGACCGCTAGCCTAATAGTAGCAGCGCTTACAACATACATACATCTACACGTTCACGGCGCCGGTTCACAACATGGATTAGGTATAAAACCAATAGAAGTCATGTGACCTCTCAATCTATGTATATAATTGAATTCTTTTATAGACATGTGTGCTATTAGGGAATGACATCATCCTATAAATCGGACGACAGGAGGCTCGCCTTGGGAGCTGCACTGTAATACATTCTGCATGAGTGAGGCTCTCCCAGCAATAACCCTCATTGGCTATAATCAATTAACATTAGTGGGTCAGTGACGGGATGGTGATACATACGGTGATGTTCGTAGCCGCAAGCGGAAAGGAGACATATAAGAAAGCCCAGATTTACCCTAGGCCGTCCTTCCAACTCAATTGAACCACAACGCTGAACACAGTCAACCTATTCCTACTAATTGAACAATATCCCCATTTCTCAAACCCATCCAAAATGACACCCAAAGTCCTCATCGTCCTCACTTCTCACAACAAGATCAACGCCACCGGTAGTCCAACCGGCTGGTATCTGGTATGCAACCCCAATGGCATGCATCTCCAAGTCCAACACATACATTCTATCCTTACAGAAATTCAATTACACAATTAAACATGAATACCCGTATTAATCCATAACTAACAATTCATCCCAAAGCCCGAATTCGCCCATCCCCACGAAGTCCTGCACGGCAAGGTCTCTCTCACAATCGCCTCGCCCAAAGGCGGCGAAGCACCACTGGACCCAAACTCCGTGAAAGCGTCGGAGGAAGATGAAGTGGCGCAGAAGTTCTTGAAAGAGCAGAAAGCTCTCTGGACGAACACGCACAAGTTGGAGGATATCCTTCCGCGTGCGGGCGAGTTCGATGCCATTTTCTATGTTGGCGGCCACGGACGTAAGTTATCTTCCTTTCTAAATATATTTTTACAACCATTTGCATTACTTTGCTATTTAAATTACATCTGCTAACAATGGCATATCCAGCAATGTTCGACTTGACTACCGACCCTGTCTCCCTGGCTCTGATTCAGACTTTCGCGGCTGCCAATAAGCCTGTCGCGGCTGTCTGCCACGCCCCTTGCGTGCTGCTCAATGCAACAGCTCCCTCTGGCGTGCCGCTTATCTCCGGTGTTAGTGTGACCGGATTCTCTAATGCCGAGGAAGATGCTGTGAATCTGTCTTCTGCGATGCCGTTTATGCTTGAGACGGAGTTGGGCCGCGTTACTGGTGGAAAGTATGTTAAGGCTGCTCAGCCTTGGGGGGAGATGGTTGTTGTTGGGAAGGCGGCTGGCACTGGGTCGACTATTATTACTGGGCAGAATCCGTCGTCGGCAGGGGGAGTTGGTAAAGCGATTTTGAAGGCTTTGGGTTTGTAGATCTATAGTTTTAGGGTTTGGAATTAGGGAAGCAAAATGTGATATTACATATTGATATTATTCTGGGTTTGATATGCTTGAGGTAAGTAAGAGGTCCATATTACATAAGTAGTAGTACTTCGAATCAAAAGCACAAAGCGATTCAATATTGGTAGCGAAACCAGAATCAATAGCAGTAGCGAAAGGGGAATAGAGCAAGTGACAGACACAAAAACACAGTAGATAGCCCAAATCCGAGAGATGGGAGCAAGGAAATAAACCAAGACAGGAGAGATTTGTCGAGTCGGAGATCGAAGACTGGAGGTTAAGAGACAGAGATTTGGAGAGAGAAAAAGAAAATAATAAATAAACAGATGTCACAACCAAAAAAAGAATCCATCAATCGTATCGCAGTATTCGTCGGTCTGCCCATCTCCAAGATATGGAAATGGGGACCTTGTTCGGTCCGGGTTCATCAGACCGCGCTCAATAAGCAAACACGACCAATGTTTGGTCGGGAGAAGGGTATACGATTAACAAAAGATACATCCTGGATCATCACGAGTAGCGAATGAAGAGCCAGGGGAAAAGTGATCGGGGAAAATGAACAAAGGAAAACGGAAAGCTGGTATGGGTAGGTAGGACATGACAGACTAGCGTCTTTGTCCATCCTCAGCGTTGCCAGTCAACTCGGCCACTCGGGCCTTGATGCGGGCGACACGGGCCTCGATGGCTGTAAAAACAATTGTTAGTATGAGATCGGTTTTTAGGAATGAAGTTACTACTCACTCTCTTCTCCACTAGTATCTCCCTCGTCAGTGCGCTCTGACTGGCTAGTCCGTGTGTTGTTCTCGGTGTCGTGGTCGTATGCCTGCTCGGCAGCGGCAGCTGCAGCAGCCCGCTGGGCAGCAGCCTCACGGATCGCCTTCCAACGATCTTGGGCAGCTTCGGTGGACCCGGGTGAAGTGGTCGGCGAAGTGGCGCGCGAAGCAGCGGTTTCAGGGTGGACACCATTGCCGTTAGTCCTAGTCGGGGTCTGGGGAACCTCGCTCTTCTGTGGTGCAGGTGCGACTTCCACGGGTGAAGCCACGGGTGAATCCTCGGGGACAAAAGCAGGCTGGTCGGTCAAGGGGCCCTGGTCGAACTTCGAGAACTCCTGATCGGCCGCTTTGCGTTCATTGGTGCCAACGCGCGAGAGAGCATCATACTCGACGGCGCGTCTGGTCTTGGGCGGTGCACCGTTCTCCTTCAGAGGGGTGGAGGGTTGAGTCGGAGTGGGAATTTTTGACACAGGTTCCTGGACGACCGGTTGAACAGGTTGAGGTGTTGAGGGCTTTTCAGCCTCAGCAGCCACGGGTGCAACTGCGACAGCGGGGGCCTTAGGGACAGGCTTCTTCTTCATAGGACTAGACTCTTGGGCTGCTTTAGTCCTAGCCTCGAGAGCCGCACGAGCAGCTGCCACATTGGAAATTTCCTTGGAATCAGTGGTCTTGGCGGGAAGCTGTTGCTGTTCGGGCTTCTTTTTGGCGCTGAACATGCTCTTAAAGGCAGAGTTGCCAGTCTTCTTCAGCTTCTTGCCCATCGAGTCCACCGAGTCCCGGCGCTCAGTGGCTTGTTCAACCACGGCAGGCTTTGGGGTGGGCTTCTCCTCCTCGGGAGTGGCGCCATTGACAGATTTCGTTGGCACTTCCTTGGGAGAAGGGGGAAGAGGGGTGGCCACGGCAGCAATAGCAGCTTCTTTGGGAAGTGGCGGGGGACCAGTCTTTGAGGTGCTGGTTGGAAGAGGTGCCGACGGCGCGGTAGGCTTCTCCTCGGGCGTCTTCGAAACCGGCTCGGGGGTGTCCTGGACTTCTTCAACTTGACCAGTGCCAGCGCGGTCATCATTGAGATATGCCGCCCTGAAGGCACCCTTATCGTAGTTCTTAGCCCACTTCATGGCCTGGGAGGCCTCGTTGACAATGGCGGGCTGAAGGGTCATGACGGAGTTGGTCTTGGAATCACGGGTATTATTGGCAGGGGCACGGTTCTCTTTCGCCTCCGCTTCTTGCTCGCGGTGCTTCTTTTGCAGAGCGGCCGCAGCTGCCTGGATCCGCTTGTGCTGATCCGGTCCGATGCTCGTCTTGCTGTGCGGTGCCTGGTTGTTGGGCCGCTTATACGACTCTTCAATGGAGGAGGGCACCTTTCTAGCCGACGACTTACGACGATCGAGCTTTCCCCTACGACTACCAAAACTGAAGAATCGCTTCTTCTCAACAATTTGAGCACCGGCATCAGGCTCTGGGGCAGCACCCTTGATCTGCTCTTCAAGTATCAACCATTTGGTATCCCGAATCCGAGTCTCCAGAAGCGCGCATCGACCAAACACAGCTTTGCGGGTGGACGGCTCATCGCCAGACAAACTACTGATCCAAACCCACCAAAATGAGTCGTCCATGTCTAGGGTGCTGATACTCGCCAACTCGGCAGGCTCGAGATCCAGCTCGATATCCAAGGAGCGCTTGTGCGACTGGGAGCTCATGCCACGTACAGAGGCAATGGGAGGCAGAACTTTGTCAGGAGGCAGGAGCAGAGGGCCCACGTGATTTTTCAAGTTGTTTTCATCCGCGAACCCGGATGACATGAAATCTGCCCACGAGGGGGTGGTAGGACGACCAAGGTCACCTGTTCCGGATTGAGGAACAGATTTCAAGCTCTTTGCAGTCGCTGGCGGAGCAGCTTCCTTGGCTTCATCCTCCGGGTCAGAGTCGATCGAACCACCGAATCCAATATCCTCGAATCGAGACCAGGATGCATCCCGCAAACTGGTTGACTGCTTGGTACTAGAGACACTGGACTGGTTCGCAGATGAGATACATTTGAGAACACGGAGACACTCGTCAGTCAATGCGGTGACGGGGTCTTCGTAGCTGGCAAACTCCTGAAGGTGCCAGTCGTCGTCGCGGTATTCAAAGTTCTTGGCGCGTCGCAACAAGGAAAATGGCGTCGGGGAAACATTCTCCACAATCATAACCACCTTTGTGGTTGTAACTTGCAACAAAGTCGGGGTCTCGGGAGGGTATTCGGTCGCTTCAACGAGTGATTGAAGAGAAATGGGCAGCGATGAGATACCGCTCACGCCGCGAGGGACATCGGGAGACAACGAACGAAGGTAGGCGAAGAACAAGTGACTCGTAGCATCGGCAGCACTAGCGATTGATGTTAGAATAACGTCCAGATAGATCAGATCAATAGAATCCCATACACAGCCCAGTTCTTATAGGCGGCCTCGAAGCCATTGCCTGTATCGACATGCTCAAAAGCCCACCATCCAGCGTATCGGGAAAGCTTGCGGCCTCCCAAGCCATTGGATTTTCCATGGGCCGCAATGGCAGCCAAAAGGTCGAAGAAGTCCACAATAATATTAGTGCGTGCATCGGAATCGCCGCCGATCGGAATGAAAGTCGAGAAAGCGTCACGGGCCATATCCGAATCTAAGGTTCCATCAGCGCGTATGTTCCCCGCATTCCATTCAATATCGCGTACCATGTTCGCCCATCTTGAAAGTCTCATATGCCTCCCAAGTAACAACACCGCCAGGAAGTCTGCTCCAGCACCATTTCATCACACCACAAAGAACCTATCGAAATGATGTTAGTCCCCTGATAACTCTTAGGAAGACATTATCCCTCACCATCGGCTCAGTGAGCCGGAGCTCCTGCGCTAAGACATCTCCGTTGACAGGCGATCCCTTTTCAAAAGATTGATTAAAGTAATTGCGAATAAACGTGCGAGCTGCACTGGGATCGGAGCTAGGACGGAACGGTAGGAGGAGGAATGGAGTGTCAAGAGCTGCGACGAATGATCAGCAATCCGGTGAACAATATGTGGGCTTGCATTCCACGGCCAAGATATCAATCCACCACCTACCTCGGGCCTTGAGCTCATGCACACACCCTCGTACAAGGTCTTGGACTTCTTCCGGCGCGACCTCTGTCCGCAGCCACGCATCGGTCCATTTGGGTTTCGCAGGGGTCGGGTTCAGGGCCGCGGAAGGCTTGGCCTGCTTCTTTGTCGTGACGGAGTCCTTGCCCCGAAACACCCTAGAAAAGAATGGCATATCGGAAATGCGACCGCGCTGACAATTGACTTCGCGGATCAGAAATCGGACTGTGGGGGGAAGATTAAGGATCCGCTTTTTTTTTTTTTTTCTACCAGTCAACATATTAGTAGGAGGTTTCCAATAACAATAATGCAGACAACCGACGCACGGTAATTAGACCGATTGAATAGTTAAAACGTCTAGACGTGTCCGGGATGTCCTGCAGCCTCGGAAACAGCAGGACAAAGTACAGGATCCCTGGTCTGGGGATCTAATTGTCTGTGCTTCTAGGCAAAGTGGAAACCGCACAAGAAGCCTCAGAAAGAAAGGAAAAGAAGAGAAAAGGAAAAGGAAAGACGAGAAAGCGAGGGTTGGGGGGGAGGGAAAAAAAATTGATAGAAGCGATTCACAAAGCTCAGGGGTAAAACGAAACTAACTTACCCGGCGAGTCTCGACTCCGTTAGATGCCTCCACACAAAGAAGGAATTCAACGTTTATTATTTGTAAACAGGACTTAACACTTGTTGAACTTGAAATTATGAAGGGAAATTAAAGTGAATGATACTGACAATGATCATCTTTCTGATCTGGGTTTTGGGGACCCAAGGTTTTGTATATAAGCCATAGGCATATTCTATTGGAGGAACTGTCATTCAGACGTGTCGATATGTCTATATTACCTGCCCAATCCCCGAGTGTCTAGAACAGGGCAAGATATGCAGTAAATACTCGAGTATTTGCCTCACCTACATATACATATGTACATCCAGAGATATGCCTTGGTAAATATGAGTTATTTCAACTTGCAAGGTTGATCAGAGATCGTGGCTTTGAGATTATAGAGATCTGGCGCTTTGATCTCTATAGAGAGGTAGGGATTGTATCGTGGGGACACTTGGTCCGTAGCACCTGGGTATAACCTGAGTCTGGATAGTCTGGAGTGCATAGAATGCCGGGGGTGCCTGGGAACATAAATTTGACTATCTCTGTCGATCTTATATGCCCTGAGCTTCCCCGGGTTGACATCATGGACCCATAGGAACAGCTGAAAATATTAGGAATAGGAGCAACTTCAAGAAACTAGCCCTATCCAATAGGATCTGGAGGGGAAGGAAATCCACTGTGACAAGCTGCAGGGACGAGACTAACTGTAGTTAGTTAATTTAATATAATAATTCAGACCAAAAAGAGAAAAAAGAGAATAAAAAAGAGACCAAAGGCCATTGGAAGAGACCAAAAAGATAAATATAGAATCCCGGCGCCTAAGGCCCTGATGAGTCAGCGATTAAATCTTCTCAGGTCTCTCTCCCTCGATTCTATCTTTAGAATCAACCTTTCCTGCATCGTCAATCATCCTTTCTCCGGTTCCATCATTTACTTCGTTTTTGCCTCTTCCTTTGTCTGCCCCCATAACTTTTCCCTGTCCTCGGGTTTGATTTTCATTGAACTCCGGCGGGTCATTGTTTTCACGTCGCGTCCAGCCCCCCCGCCTCCTCAAGTATCTACAGGGTTTCCTACCTTGAAAGCCTTTAGTTTCTGGTTTCAGATCGCTTTGTTGACTAGTTGCACCATCCTTCAGATATACTTGTGGAGAGACAGAGATTCTTCGCATACATCCGTGTGTGCCACTGTGTGTGGCTAGGATCGCCATCTCGTCGATTCTACATCGTGGGTAATTAAATATAATCGCGCGAGGTATCTCGCAAGTCGCTTTGCGACTTCCTGTACCTTTTATTCTCAATCCTGCTGTCGGTGCGCAATTGGTGCGCCCGTAGCCGCTCACCATGGGTCGGAGAAAGATTGAGATCAAGGCCATCAAGGATGACCGCAATCGCTCAGTGTAAGTTAATCAATCCCGTCGCGCATTCTAGCCATCGCTGACCGGAGTTCTTCGGATATAGCACGTTCCTGAAACGAAAGGGAGGTCTATTTAAGAAGGCGCATGAGCTTGCCGTCCTTTGCTCCGTTGATGTAGCGGTCATTATTTTTGGCCACAACAAGAAACTATACGAGTATTCATCATGCGATATGCATGATGCTCTTGGTCGCTATCAATATGTGGGTAGACGTTTCTTCGATTCATCCCGAAAATCTCTAACTGGTATTTTTTCCAGTTTGGCCCTCCCCATGAGCATAAAGGACCGGAAGATTTCGCGGGCAAGCGAGATGACGACGACGACGATGATGAGACCTCCCCGGCTCCCGAGGACATCCAAGCAGTTCAGCAGAACCACCCCGCAATTCCCCCTCACCTCCAAAACCAGCCTGCCTTCCAGCACATGAATCATGCACCCTCCGCGTCACCCCCGATCCATCATGCCATGACACGACATGGTACACCGCAACCGCAAGGCACTTCGCGTCCCTCTTCAAGGAATCATATCCGCCGAGTCAGTTCAAACCTAGGTCCCCAGCAACATGGTACACCTCCACCACCGCCACCCCCTGGTCCCCAAAATGGCGGGTTTACATATATGCCAAATCCGGGCATGTACAACCCCAATGTTCATGCAATGAACCAGCAACCTCGACCAGGACAGTTTGCGCACTATGGACACCCACCGGGACAACACCAAGGGACGCCTCCTATGCATGCGCACGGTTTACCACAACAAATGCCGCCACAGCACCAGGGCCAACAGCATTTCCAACAGCATGGCCATGCCGTAGGAATGCCTCCGGGGCCTCATCAGCATGTACAGCAGGCATATATGCAGGAACATGGGAGAAATTCGATGCCTCCAGGGTTCGCACCTGAGGGCCACGAACGGACTGCCTCGGAACACGCCCAAGATGATTCTTCGGGTGCGATGAAAGTAGAGCACAGCCAGTCGCCGCCCCAAATGAAGTCGTTTTCGAAATCACGGAGTATTTTCACGCCTATCGATGACCGAGGATCCGTCCTCGCCCGTCATTTTGGAGCTGCAGCGGGATCATATGAACCTCATAATAACCATTCTCATTCGCTCAAGCTCGAGGCGCTACCACAAGCTTCGTCTAGTTCCAAATCAATGCCTGTCAGAGCTGCGACGGAGGCTCCTCGTGTAGGAGGGCCAATGGCTTCGACGCCAAAAATCAAACCGCCATCCCGAACTAACAGTGGACCGTTGCCATCAAAACGGCCGCAATTGAAGGTGCAGATTCCTAGTGAAACCTCAGATGGTGGCAGTGCCACAGCCGATTCATCGCGCGACTCAGCTGAGAATAGAACATCCACACCTGCGAAAGGGAGCGCCGAAAATGGTCCCTCCGGCGTGGTCTTGCCAGCTCCATCGCCCTCAGCCAATACAATACTGAGTGCGGGAGCGCAAGGGCCTCCAAATCCGTTCGCACGACCTCCTCCTCCCGTTGCCGCAACGCGAAATGACTCTTACGGCAGTAGTAGTGGAAATCCGAACAATGGGAATAACTCGAATAACATTGAAACACCAATATCCGCCTTGCCGAGTCGCTTTGTATCTGATGCCCTCCTCCCGTCACCTTCCAGCTTCTTCCCCGACTGGGGCTTTAGTCGGTCAGGCCCAGACTCCAACATGCTGCCCAGTCCCCTCGCCTTCCCGACTCCGGCAGTGCAAAGCGGTCCTAGCTTTTCTCGAGAAGACGAACAAGACAAGAAGAGAAAAAGCCCAGATGGTGGATCCGCAGGGGAAGGTGCCCATAAAAAACCGAAAACCTGATTATGCTTGACTTCCCTGGGGAATTGTCCCCCATACTGTAAAGTGCTGGCATTTTGATCAAGAGACCTGTCCCTGTGGACATACAATCTCACTTTCTTGTCAATACCCCATAACTCCTTTTGCCCAGGGGACATTTGAATGTCTCCATTTCTAGTTCGATCAAGCTTCGCAATCATGTATCCTCTCTATACCCTGGTTTATTGTCATTCCTTCATTTCATTCGCTATTTTCCTTCTGTCTTATCTCCTTTTCAATGACGTTTCTCACGTGGATCTTGAAGTGATATACACCAGCGCTGTCTTGTGTCAACTTTTTACCTTCATTTATTTCTCTTCCCTTGATTATTTAATGTCGCGTTTTGATTGGTTCTATAAACCTGGCGTTAGGCCCGTTTGACTGCTTTTGAACTCTTTGGATGATGTATATAAAGCAGGTTCTTGTTTCTAGGAATGATGCCAATCTTTTTTTCGCCTGCCTATGCCGATTCCAGCGTTTCCATCTAGATTATTCCACTATAAACTAACAGGGTAAGCCCCTCGTAAAAACTTCGGTGTTCGACCAAACACCGAAAGTGACCGAACAACCCACAAGTATAAAAGCTAACGCTAACCCCGCTTTTTCTATTTTGATTCCACCAAGGTATTTCCTCGCACATACTATAACGTACTATCTCAATTCAAAATGACTTTAACCGGAAGCTGCATGTGTGGCGGTGTCACTTACGCCGTTGAAGGTATATATCAATCGAAACGGCTTACTTCCAAAGCTAACAATATACTAGCTGACACGTATCTGGCCGCCCTGTGCCATTGCACCGACTGCCAGAAGGTGAACCACACTTATATACCGACCTTGAACATATTCTCTAATACCAAATAGTGGTCTGGTAGTGCATTTACCGCCAATGCAGTCGTTCCCCGCACTAGCATGAAAGTGACAAAGGGTAAATATATATATGCACCCCGCACCTCATCGAACTTGAACTTCTTGGTTTCTAACTAAACTGTTTGAAATCATGAATAGGCACTCCCAATTCCTACGATGCAATTGGAAACAGTGGCAAAATCAATAAGCATTTCTTCTGCCCTACCTGCGGCTCAAGCCTCTACACAGAGCTGGAGATCATGCCCGACATGACTTGCATTAAGGCCGGAACCCTGGACGGCGGCGAGGCTAATCTGAAGGGAAATGTTGAGGTCGAATTCTATGTTAAGGATCGTCTCACTTACCTAGCTGCTGTTGAGGGCGCTAAGCAGGAGCAATTGCTTGGTTGAATGGTTTGATCATTGTTGGCATTTGACATTGAGAAGTCCAGGGAAATTCACCAAAATATGGTTTCTACTCGAGAATAGATCCAAACATGTATCATTCATATGCTCTCTTGAGACTTTGTTTGCTCCACCGTCTGGTGTCTCGAGGATTATTTAAGCCCCCGAATTCTTAATTCTATCCTCTTCCTCATCCTCGTCTTTCATTCCTGATCGACCACCCATCAACCATGTCTTCCCTAAACATCACCGTACGAGGTCACTCCGCCCTATGCCGATTCCCAGAGCGCGCCGTAGTCTACCTCACCATAGAATCCTCAAGCGAGTCCGAAGAGACCGTCTCAAACGAAGTCTCCTCAACGTGCAATGACCTACGAGAACTCCTGGAGTCCCTGTGCTCCAATGAAGAAGATGAAAGCGGAACGTCCAATGCCGGCCCCGTGTCGACTTTTTCCTCCAGCCCTATCCTCACGACATCCAAGAACGCCAATACAAGCGACGCGAAGGGAAATCGACCCCGCGTGTACAAAGCCATAACCAGTATCTACGCCATCTTCTGCGACTTCCATGAGCTGTACAAATTCATTATGAAGGTGGATGAATATCCCAACGCAAGGATGAATAACATCAACTGGTACCTCACCGAAATTAGCAAGAATGAGATCGGCGCGGAGTCGCGCATGGAGGCTATCCTCGACGCTGTCACAAAGGCAAAGCAGTATGCACAGTCTGTTGGATACGATGATGTTGCGCCTCTGGATATCAGGGAGATTGAGGGCGAGGGCATGAATGCTGCTCGATATCCGCAGAGACCGCCTACTCGCCACGCTAGTGGAATTAATTTGACTCCTCAGGATATTGTGCTCAATTCATGCGTGGAAGTTACTTTCTTGTGTCTGTGTGATCTTGGATCTACGGACCAGACTCGCACTATTGCGGATAGTTAATGGTGTTGGATAAGCAACGCTTGCAGATTGGACATTTTGAATTCAGTATGTTCTGCGCTTTATTATGAATTTGACATGCATATCCTCAATTTTACTATCGATTTCAACTATCCTCTCCCTATAAATAAATGTTTATAGACCTCCGTAGTTCGGTGTTCGGCTTTTGATGTGGGGATGATATCTTCACGAGGCTTGGCATTCTGACTTGGACTGATATCGGGATGTGGAGAGGAAAGCCAGACTTGCCATTTGCGGCAGCCGGTAGTAACCGGCCCTGTGGATATTTGACTCACTTTACTGCCAATTGCTTTCACCTCACTCTCCTAGAGTCTATGCTCATTCATCTGACCTGGCTCTTCACCTGTGAAAACTCTTCCAAGCCAACCTCCAAATGGCCCAATCAGTTCTCTCCCGTCGGGCACAAGATGTCGTCGACACAGGATCTGAGAACCCCATGTGGGACGTGATGAAGGATACATGGGATATATCAGAAAACCCCAATGGATACGTCAACGTGGGCGTAGCAGAAAACACACTGATGCACCCCGAGCTCTTAAAATTCATCAACAAGAAGCTCGAGCTGCCCGCAAAGTATCTCACATACAACGACGGCGGATGTGGTTCTTCCAGATTGAAGGCTGCTGTCGCTGCTTTTTTGAACCACAACCTGAAGCCAGTCACGCCTCTCGAGCCCAGCCATATCATGGCAACCAACGGTGTCTCGTCTGCGATTGAGCATGTTGTATGGTCATTCGCCGATCCCGGCGAGGGAATCCTCTTAGGAAGACCGTACTACGGCACGTTCATTCCTGATATCTCGCTGCGTTCAGGGAGCTTGGTGGTTCCTGTCAGTTTCGGAGACCACAATCCTCTCAGCCTTGAGGGCGTGGATAAGTACGAAGAAGCATTGCTCGAGTTCCACCGTAAAACCGGAAAGAAAGTCAAGGCGTTGATGCTTGCGCATCCTCACAATCCGCTCGGTCGCTGCTATTCCAGAGAAGTGCTTATCAAGTTGATGCGGCTGTGCCAGAAATACCAGGTTCATCTCATCAGTGATGAAATCTATGCTCTTTCAACTTTTGAAAATACCGTCGATAAATATCCCCCACCTGTCAAATTCGAATCCGCCCTCTCTATTGATCTGACTGGTATTATCGATCCTCGATTGGTTCATGTCCTTTGGGGTATGAGCAAAGATTTTGGCGCAAACGGTATCCGACTCGGTATCATTATTTCCCAGGCCAACCGCGATGTCCATATGGCGTTGACAGGCCCCGCGCTTTATTCTTATGCTTCTGGAATCACGGATCACTTGACTTCTCTCATACTGGAGGACTTCGACTTCACCAATCAATACATTCAGCAAAATCAGAAATTGCTATCAGAGTCCTATGCATACACGGCAAACTACCTGAAAGACCACGGAATTGAGTATGCAACAGGATGCAATGCTGCTTTCTTCGTCTGGATGAACCTGGGAAAGAAATACCGCGAGCTTCACCCCGAGAATGGGTGCGAGGATGTTGGGGAACAAGTCATGCAGCGCCTTTTGCAACGGAGAGTGTTTTTGGCCAGCGGATTTCTTTTCGGATCGGAGAAGGATGGATGGTTCCGAATGGTGTTTACACAAGGCCATGAATATTTGAGTGTGGCTTTAGAAAGGATAATCGCAGCCCTTGAGGAATAATAATCTCATGCGATCACCACAAATCATTCATGCATCCCTGGTCCCCTGGTGATGCATAGAAAAATCTTCTGTACAGCTTACGCTTTTTCCTTTTTCGGTCGTCTAGTATAAAGTTGAGGGGAGAAAATATCCAAAAAGAGGAAGTCTAGAAATGCCACCAAAAGGCCACCAAAGATCACACAAAGCCACATAAGCGGCCGACTTTTCTTACTTTTGATTGTGCTTGTTGATTCGTGTGCTAGGTCAAGCTCCGGCGCCTTTCTTAGCTAGCATTTCCATAATCTCCGTGTGGCCCTGTTCGGTTGCTGCATCGAGCGCCGTGCCGTAGAGTGCCCCTTTAATGGTAACATCGGCCCCACGATCGAGCAGCAATGCAACAATTTCTGGATGACCTTCTCGCGCAGCCATTTGAAGCGCTGTGCTCTTCCCTTTGCCCAGGAAATTGACATCCGCACCGCTCTCGAGTAACAATTTCACAACACCTTGATGGCCATATAATGATGCAGCCTGGATTGCTGAGCTATCATCTCCGCCTCTTATATTAGAATCGGCTCCATTCGCCAGGAGTATTGCGACAATTTTCTCCCGGCCTTGTTTAGATGCTATCTGTAGTGCCGTGCCATGCTTTGGGTGATTGTAGTTGATGTCAGCACCTTTCTTTAGCAGATCACTTGTAATTCCTGCACGGTTTCGCGAAGATGCTATATGGAGCGCCGAGCCGAAATATCCGCCTTTGATATTGATGTCGGCCCCGTTCTCGAGTAGGACTTGAACGACTTTCCGGTGGCCTTGGCGACAAGCTCTGTGCAGCGCTGTGGCGTGTTTCTTGTAGCTATAGTTGATGTCTGCGCCACTTTTCAGGAGAATGGTAATGATATCAATCCGGTGATGGCTTGAGGCTATATGAAGCGCTGTGCCAAGATCTCCACCTTTGATGTTAACGTCGGCCCCATTCTTGAGGAGGATCTTAACGACTTCCGTGTGGCCTGCGTAGCAAACTCCATGCAGCGCAGTTCCGTTCCATTCATCGTTGTAGTTGACGTCAGCACCCCTTTCTAAGAGGCTGAGGACAATATCTGGCTTATTGTCTCTTGAAGCCATGTAAAGCGCTGACCTATCATATTCGGGTTTGATGTTGAAGTCAGCCCCATTTTCGAGGAGAAGTTTGACGACTTCCCAGTGACCTTGTTTGCAGGCTATAATCAGAGCCGTTTCGTCCGATCCTTTGTTATAGTTAACGTCTGCACCCCTTTCTAGGAGATTTTTGGCAATACCTAGCTGATCGAGATCCGAGGCTACGTAAAGCGATGTCTCGGAATCTCCACATTCGCTGTTGATGTCGGCTCCATTCTCGAGAAGAATTTTGACGATTTCTCGGTAGCCTTTGAGACAAGCTCCATGTAGCGCTGTTCCATGAATTTTGTGGCTGTAGTTGATGTCTGCACCCCTGTCTAGGAGGCCGAGGACAATATCTGGCTGGTTGAGATTTGAGGCTATGTAAAGCGCTGTCCCAGCATCTCCACCTTTGCTGTTGACGTCGGCGCCCTTTTCAAGGAGAATGGAAGCAATGCTCTGGTGACCTGAGAGCAGAGCTGCATGGAGAGATGTACCATGTTGCCTGTGAATGGAGTTGAGATTGGCACCCTTGTTCAATAATAGCGTGACAACATCTGACTGGCCTGCGAAGCATGCCGCGGAAAGGGCCGATCCCGAAGTTTTATCTTCAATGTTGACATCGATGTGTTCCTCTGACAAGATCTTCTCGACCACTTGCTTCAAGCCAAGATAACTCGCTAAAGACAAATCAGTCATCTCCCGGAAAACTAGGGACCTTCTTCTTGATGCCCATCCAGTAGCTGCTACCCGCACCCATGCCTGGCGACCATTACAAAGTATACGTGCGTCCTCCAGGGACTGATCAATGGCCATGGCTTCCTGAGATAGAAAGTGCGACAACCAATAATCGGCGGCGTAGCAGTAAAACGGGGGCAGTTGCGCCAAAGTAGGGATTTGAGTGATATCTATTGTCTCCCCGGATGGTCTTCCCTCAGCTGGAGCACCGAAGTCAGGGAGCATCAAGAACCGAAAACAAGTTTTTGATATGGTTCTGGATGATTCAGACAGGCTCAAGCGTCCTTCCCATGTACCACGGTCGTGGCCCGATGAGCCAATGAGGAACTCTCTTGCCGTTTGATGAATAAAAAACAGCTTTGAATCGTGAACGCCAATGAAGAGGCCGCTTAGGCCTTTGACGATGCTTTTGAAGTTATTCTTAGGCCATAAATCATCCTTCAAAGTGGCGTATGACGTAAAGTCTTCTTCTGCTAATGCTAACGTCAAGGCGACGTTGGCCTCGTCAAGAGTTAGAGGTCGTGCAGCAGCAGTAATAATCTCAAGAAGACGTTCGGTTTCTTCTTGGCATTCGCTTTGTCTCAGGATGCTCTCGTATGCCTCGGATAACTTTAATGGTATATTATTCAACAGTTTTTCGATGCTGGAGCGCTTGCCGTGGCGGCTCGGGTCCTCTTTGATTGTTTGGAAGATGACATAAAGCCATAAATAGGTGCGGTTTTCCATAGCTTTGAGGCGTTTGGAGATTTCCAGTTGATCCTTAGGGGTAAAGTTGTCTGCAATTTGACCCATGTGCTCATCGATGACCAGGTCAATTTCCCGCCTAATGGCCAAAGACTTGTTATCGCCATCGACATGAAGGTATTCTGCTGAGGAAAATCCCCTAAATTCTCTCTCTATATCAGCGTATGGTCGACTAGTTACGAGGAAGCTGAGCTTCGAAATCAATGCCGAAGAGCCTTGTGGCTGGCAATAGAATTCTTTGAGTTTGCCGATCAATTGCGATCTGTTTTGTTTCTCGCATTCATCCAGAGCATCGAAAATGCAAATAATTTCTCCAGCATGAGGACTCTTGGCACAACTAAGAAGGATGTTCCATAGTTCAGAGAAGTTCTTTGTAAGAGCTTTGCCGTAATTCTTGTGAGCAGGCAGAGCTAGCTTGATTAGGGCACCGCTAGAGTCGCGAATAAAAAGCTGGTGGAGTATTGCACATAAAGCATTAACGCCATACATACGGTCTTTGTGGCCACCCCCAAAAAAGAAGTGACAAACGGTCGAAGTCGTGATGTTCAAGGACAGTCGACGTTCGTCAATAAGTGCTCGCGACAAAATCGATTTTCCACATCCAGGGCCAGCAGAAAGCCACAGAAGTCCCGAAGTTGGACTATCGCGCCATTTGCAGAAGTTGTCATCGTTGAAGAACCATTCACACGTACCTTGAACTCTGAGTCGGTTGAAATCTTTGTAGCCTTCATAATCAGAAGCCAGATGTTGTAAGAGGTCTTTTTCCGCTTGGTCCTCATAGTTCCGCTGGGTTTGGCTTTGGCTTGCATCGAGGACTTGTCGTATCTCTTTGAGAATAGTAGTTGACTCTTGGATTTCACGTAATTGACGACCCCAGCGCTCTCGAATCTCTTTCTCGTTATTGTGCGAGATCAGGCTGCTGCGAGACTTTGATAACTCTTCAATCTCGCGAGCCTTTCCAGCCCAGTCGTTCCAACCCGCCACATTCTGCCACCCCCGGGAAAGTTGGGTCTTTGACAGATGGCATATAGCACGGGCTTGATATTCAATAATGTGGGAATAGAGCTTGGTCAAAGGTTCAATGAGGCTTTTGTAATGTTGTCGGTGGTAGGAAACCAGGTAAGTCTCTTCGAAAATTTTCCAATAGACCTGAACATCGCTGATTGAGTTGAAACCTTTCAGCATAGCTTCATCCGGTGTAGCAACATTTGTCAGTAGCTACAGCTATATGTATAAGCAAGCCATTCAGAGCAAAAGACACCAAACTCACAGGAAGAAGGATGGAGACACTAGACCATGCAAGTGCTGCATATGGTTGAGTGCTAACAGCAAGTTTGACAACAGGGTCAGACCACAAGAGAACTTTTGTTAGTTTCTCAACTTGCCTTCGGATGATGACATTGTTTCCAAGGAGAGGAATCTGCCATTGTTTCTTCTCTCGGACTTCCAACAGCTGATTCAAAATATCTTCGACAAATTCCGAGCTTGAGATATCTCTTTTGATGGCAGGGTTACATTGTAGAGTGGCTAGATGGCTTGCGTAATCCATCATCAACTCTGGCTCTCGGTTCTCAGCCAATTTATAGGCGCAACTCCATATATCGGTATCACGACTCGCGCTTGTAGATGGTGCAAGCGAGGAACCTGCAGAAAGCGAGGGAGACTCTACAGCTTGCTCGGTTTTTAACTGTGCGACATTCACGGTAATTGGAGAAGAGCTAGAAGCAATCTTTGAAGAGTCCGTGATCTGTATTGGGAGGCTGGAAGCAGGTGTTGAAGTTGTGTGAGTTGCAATATTCTCTGGTTCCACAGGCGGAGAAGAGCCGACCGCGCTGTTCTCCTGAAGATCACCGCTGTTTGCCTCCCGGCGTCTGAATTTCAGAAGTCGCCTCATGTTAACTGAATATAGGTCGTTGAACCAAAATCCGAGCAGTAGCTGGTAGGAATGGGGGCGGGGGAAAAATGCAACACTTATATCCCAAGCTGGCCCCATCTTCGGGTACCCAATGATTGGCGTAGTACTAGTGTCTGACACATACCCCGCCGTGCGCTGTCTAGATTGGGGACATCCATCATTTGAATACGAAGTAGCCACATTGAGATGAACAATTTGCAAGACATCTAGACTTTCAGGTGATATAGATAGACTATCCAGAATAAACCTTGGGAAAGGGGGGAAAACATCATTTCATCCACGGGGCGCCAAGCTTTACCACCCGTGGATCATGTAAGGCTAATTGAACGTAACAAAAAGCTTGGGAAAATAAAAACGTCATCGCCTTCCTTTTTCTGCAATCATAAAAATGCTACTGCCTCATAAATAAGGAGCTTGACTGCTCTCCAGCACCCGGAGCGGGATGCATCTGGAACACGCAGCTACTACATTTCGCCGTGAAGGCTCTCCCTGGAGTCTCAGGCGAAGCTGTATTTTTCGTAAATCCATATAATAACCATCATGAGTGCGAGGGACGATCGCGGGATGATCCATATGTTGCCAGACGCACAGGCCAGACTCATCATGCCTTTGCTATGACAGGCATTCGTCAACTGATTCGACGAGCCAGGCATAATTCCCAAAATGGGCACCAACATGAAACTGTTCGCGCCGGAAGAGAAGTTGATACCGTGATGCCTGATGAGTGGGGGAAACTAGGGTTGGCCCCACACGTGACCGTCATTGTTGACGTAAATCAAAGGATCAAAAAGTGGGTTAAGGCTATTGGAATAAATTTACATGTATGGAAATAGAGAATGAAGTTTAAAAATCTAAAATAGTCACGTTTTATTTCATTTATCGTATGAATATCATTATCATGTCTCAAAAAGAGCCCATAGTGGGCCCGAGGACTAAACTCAACTCCCTATGCAGAGGAGGTAAATGCAAAGAGTACTTTTTGTACCATCTCTTGGAAAAAGACGAGGCGCTTGAAAAACAGGAGAAAAAAACAGTGAGGTATCACGTAAGGAGCGCCAAGGGGTATGCAGTAGAAGGAGTCAAACAAAAGATCAGACAACAGACGTCAACTGGGTGTGCAAAGCCTGTGAAAGAGCCTCCTCTTGACGCTTGGCCTCCATCTCCATCAAGTACTGAGCGTACTTGGACCGAGGGTTGTGAATACCACACTCGGTCTTCTGCTGTCCCTTCCAGCGACCAGCACGCTCATCCTCTCCGTCAGCAACGGGTTGGGTGGAGTGCCAGTCACCAATGCTTTTGTAACCACGGTCAAGGAGCTCGTTGTAGGGCACTTCGTTCTCCTTGGCGTACTGCTTGACCTGGCCGAAGGACCAGTTGGCCATAGGGTTGATCTTGATGAGGCCGGCCTCGTCGACTTCAATGATGTCGAGGTCACCACGCTTGCCGCCTTGGCTACGGCGGCGGCCAGTGAGAACGGCGTGAACATTCATCTCACGGTAAGCACGCTGAGCGGGCTCAACCTTGGCAACCCAGTCGTAGAGTTGATCATCGGCCTCCCAGAGCTTGGCGCCGTACTTGGCTTCGAACTCGGCAGTTGTGTCAACGCCAGCGGGCTTGTAGATGTGCACATTGTTGTTGGGATACTTGCGACGCACACGGTCAACCAGGGACATGGTCTCATCAAAGTGATAGAGTGTGTCAAGGAAGATGAGGTCAACCATCTGGGGACGAGGCACCTCCAGCTTCGATAGCATGTCCAAGGTGACAAGACCTGTGAGACCAAAGGCAGTGGTCTGGAAGAGATGAGGGAGCGAAGTAATGCACCATTTCAAGATCTCTATAAGGACGAGTCAGATCAAAGGATCTTCGGAAAGAGGGGTCATGGACATCGATACGAACCTTGGGGTTCAAGGAATTGCAACTGGCGGTTAAGGAACTGAAGATGGGGCTTGGTAAAGACAATTTCGGGGACGTATTCCTCGCTAGAGCCAGAGCCAGCACTGACATAGCCTGACTCAGTCATGGCATCATGGTTGTCAATCCCCTCCATCTCCGAGGAATAGTTCATAGGCATCTTGGCCGGCATAATGTATGGTAATATGGATGGACAGAGAGATGGCCTTGAAGAAAGATTGTATGTATAGGGGGGGGTTGAAGAGTAGGAGTATGAAGAACGAAGTCACAGACAACAGGGCGAGAATATAAGCACAGCAGAGGCAATCACATCATTCCGGAGATCCGTCCCTGACATCCTCTTCATCCGATATTCTTCGTTTCCACGACACAACGATGCCATTGGTCACTTGCCAGAGTGGGGAATGAAAACCACCCAAGCACGCCATCGACTTGCGATTGCGTGCTCGAATGTCTCACTCCCACCGCCTTCCTAAAGCGAATGAATTGTTCTTCTTAAGAAAGCGGTAGGACCAAAGAGGCGTTGTAGGGTCAGACTGGCAGAATATATGGCTGATTCTGCCCTTCTGGGAGAGAATGGCATAGAATGTCATTATTAGGGTTGTAGGTAGCTTATTGATCCCGACCCTGGAAGGTTACCCCCGGATATTGGTAATTGGCGCTGACCAAGTCAATGATAAAACAATTTATTATTGGGGGTAACTTGTTCTTCCAAGTTTTGGACTTCCTAAATGATATAATGTTAGCAGGTTTCATTGATCGATGAACCTGGGGCATACCCGATACGGGAAATCGTGATTATCATACTATATATATGGACAATGTATTATATCCATGATCTGACTCTAAAGTCATGGCGGATCTGGATGAGATCCTTACCCAAAATTGAACTCATCCTATTCTCCTGGAGGTGGTCCATCTCTGTTGCCTCATTATCAATTCTGCCAGGCGGTAGCTCACGTGATAGAGGGGAAATTCACTGTCACGTGAATATTGGTGGGACCAAATCGAATCCACGTGCCAGATCGTCGCAAGTCTGTGGGATCTCTCTCAAGTTACATAGCTTCAACTCGCAAATAACCCGTTTACCAGGTCCATTCACTAGTATTGCATTATGACAGATTCAACCCGTCCGACGAGGCCATCCCTCGGCCAAATGCGCAGCAGTTCCTTCCTGCAGGACCACCAACAGTACAAACCGATGGCTCCAATCAACCCAATCACCCCAATCACCCAAACCATCGGCGAGGTTCTAGCTACCCATATGGACGATCGCCTAGTACTTGGTTCAAATCCAATCAAGCCCGACCCGGAGAGAGTCACCGACAGCGGCGTCATTCACAGTATTTTCAACCACCACGCAAACCCTCTTCCCACCGGCACATCGCAAATCGTCGCGACAATCTACTACAAATCTAACAACCCCGTTCACCCCCACTACCACCCCGATTCAGGGCTTCAGCATGCCCCAGGTGACAAGCTTCCAACTCCTAAGGTACCCGAGGGCTCTGCTCCCACAGAAGACATGGATAAGTTCCCACGGGAGCCACCTGCCCCAGAGCCGGAGCCACTGGATCACTTGTACGGCCCATACGTCTCTCAGTTGTGCTTGACCAACTTCCTTCAGATTTTGGAAACCCTCCCCACCCCTTATCAGCGCATGAACACCTCACACCGCTGTCTGGACCGCGACGAACACCCCCGCGTCGTAGAGGTCACATTCTCTCCCCCACCAAACCCAGAATATCTCTCGTTCCCAGATCTGCGCAAGCATGAGAGCATCTGGCGCTTTGAGCGCGAGTGGAATGTCGAGGTTGTTCTGCAGAAGGAGAGCGTCTTCCGTCGCCACAAGCGCCTGGCTGTGTTCGACATGGACAGCACCCTGATTGACAACGAGTGCATTGATGAAATCGCCAAGTTCATCGGTGTCGAGAAGGAGGTTTCCGTAAGATCTTATTATCAAGGCGTCGGGTCTCTATGCCAGTGACTAACATCAACGCAGGCAATCACCGAACGCGCCATGAACGGCGAACTGGACTTCTCCGCCTCGCTGAGGGAACGTGTCGGTCTTCTCAACGGCGTCACTGCAGATGTCTTCGAGAAACTCAAGTCCGTCCTGAAAATCGCCAAGGGAGCCCGTGAGCTCTGCCGCGCATTGAAGACTCTGGGCTACAAGCTCGCGGTGGTGAGCGGCGGGTTCCAGCCTCTGGCCGAGTGGCTCGCCGAGCAGCTCGGTATCGATATTGCCATTGCCAACCACGTAAGTCTATCCCGTTTCCTCTTACTATTTTGCATCCATCCGATCTGACCTTCTATTCAGCTCGAAATCGATGAGGCCACCCATACCCTGACCGGAAAATTGGTGCCATCCTACCCCATCATCGATGCCGCGCAGAAGCGCACTCTCCTTAAATCCATCGCCGCCGAGCACGGCATCCCCATTGAGCAAACGATGGCCGTCGGCGATGGCGCTAACGATCTCCTCATGCTCCATGCTGCAGGCCTCGGTGTCGCCTGGCGCGCCAAGTCTAAGGTCCAGTTGGAAGCTCCCGTCCGCATCAACGGCGAGAGCCTTGTCGATATCCTCTACCTGCTCGGCATGGACAACGAGGACATCGCGGAGCTGACCGCCGACGCAAATGAGTCCTTGAGTAGCTAAACGGGCGACGCGCCATTTTCAGTAGAGTATCCAGTTGTGTACTAGCGAATCATGCCCCATGATCTAACCTTTGGGGTACTTATACCCCTCATAAAGTCCAGTGAAACGGCGTTCACGGATGGTTGCAGGGCTCAGCTTGGAGATTTCCTTGTGTTGAAGAGTTGTGGAGTTCATGTCGGTCCTTACCTTAGGCGGAGTCTATGGCTGTGATGGATAGGAGGTGCACAATGCGTAGTACGGAGTATGGAATTATTGTATAGCGTGTGACTTTTATTCTTGTTCATACGTGCGCTTGGTTTCTTTCGTCTTGAAGGTGGGATGTAGTGGATTGAGGAACGGAGCAGGCTCAGACCATGATCTATTGACATTTTGAGACTTGATATATGAAAAAGCAGCACTGAGTTGATTTCTAGTGCAGCTTGAAATTAAGAAAGGCATAAATAGGCCACGAATGACTTCTCTGGTGGTGATACAAAGTACAATTCGTGTTGAAATGTTGAACTGTTGAAATGACAAAACCAGCGAAAAATCCCTTTATATGAAACCCCCCAAAACCAACAACCCAGAACGATGCATGAAAGATAGCGCCAAGAGGTTAAACAACATGTGCATTGAGCCAGAGCACAAGACACGGGTAGAGATAGACAGGTTTAATGACGTCGTTGGATGAGATTTTTGTTTAAATGCAAGACACTTTACCGAGTAGCCTCGTCAGTGGTAGCAGCGCTCTGATCGACAGCACGCTCGCCGGTGCCAGAGCCAGAACGACGCTTCTTGAGAACATTCTCGATGAACGCCTCACCAGCCTTGTAACTGCTTCGTACCAAGGGGCCGGAAGCACAGTACAAGAAGCCCATATCAAGGGCACGCTGGCGCCACAGCTCAAAGCGATCAGGGGTAACGTATTCATGAACAGCCATGTGGCGCTTCGTGGGACGCATGTATTGACCGAAGGTCACAACGTCGACGTTAACAGCGCGGAGCTGGCGCAGGGCATCCCAGAGCTGGTCATCGGTCTCACCGAGACCGAGCATGAGCGAAGTCTTCGTGACAAGATCCGGAACAGTCTTCTTCGCAGTATCAAGTACACGAATAGACTGCTGGAATGTGGCGCGTCGATCACGAACAAAGGGCGTAAGCTCCTCGACAGTCTCAACGTTGTGCGCATAGACGTCCAGTCCAGACCGGGCAACCAATGCGGCCATCTCAGTGTCACCGCGGAAGTCACCCGTCAAACACTCGACCAGCATACTGGGCTTCTTCTGTTTGATTTTAATGACCGTCTCGGCGAAGTGGCGCGCACCGCCGTCCACCAGATCGTCGCGGTCCACACTCGTCAACACCACGTATCCCAAGCTCCAGCGGGAGATAGCCTCGGCGGTGTTCTCGGGTTCGTGCGGGTCGAGCGGGGGAGGAGTACGGGATGTCTTGACGCTGCAGAAGCGGCACCCGCGCGTGCAGGTATCACCCATCAACATGATTGTCGCTGTGGCGGAGGACTTGTCGCTGCCACCCCAGCAGTCGGAGATGTTGGGGCATCGGGCCTCCTCACAGACGGTGTGCAGGTTCAATCCTCTCAGATCCTTCTTTAGGCGCTGGAAGTTCTTGGAGTCTGGAATGGGAGTCTTCAGCCATTCGGGCAAACGAGTCATTTCCTTCTTGCGACCAGCGGGACCGACAAGCGCGGTCTTAAGGGCGTAGGCTTCCGATGGGTCGAGAATTTCGTCTTGACCTCCTGACACGAAGTCTGAGAATGAGGGTCCTGCATTCAGCTTATCATGGAACTTTGTTGCTCTGCGCCGGGTGGTTCCTGGTGCGGTCGTAGCGGATGAGGAGTCCGTCGTAGCATAGCTTCGGCGGCTGATGGGGGTAATTATTGGCGATGCTGGAGATATGGTGGTTCTGAAAGACGACAGGCGTCGTAGGCTTCTTGTTGGAGCTGCCATGATGTGTGAGTGTATGTTATGTGAAATCTAGAAAGCCGAACTGGAGTTTGTCCGCTTGGGCAATGGATCCCGCGGAAAAGTATGACTAAGCAATTTCGCCATCAGATCGGACGGGAAAGTCTACGGAGTGCGTCGGTGAGCAATAGGGCAAGAACACGAAGTACATGGAATAATGCTTATATTCAAGACAAAGTCTCCATTGTCTTGTTGTATGTCTTCTCCCCTCCTCAGTTTGAATAGCTACCTAGGTAGGAATATGAATAGGGGTCAAAAAGCGCAGAGCGTACAGATGCGAAGGACTTGGAAGACAGGTTGATAATGCTATTATTATTATGGGTGCTACATATTCTATTGGGAAGACTGACTAACTAACTATAGATGCGTGATCCCCCAATGCACAAATTTACCGAACGATATTCCAAGGACCGCGCAATGCAAGGGTATGAAAAGAGAGCAAGGGAGAGTAGGAAGAGATGGGGTAGAAGTTGTAGTCAGACGGATAGGTGAAAGAGAACTCAATGATTAGAGCGAGTAATGGTAGGTAGAGAGACAGATATGAAACAGATTGGTAGGAGAGAGCTCGATGGTGAGAGCAAGTGATGGAGGTAGGAACAGATACAAAACAGATATGAGAGAAGATAACAAAGACAGTCTGTAAGGAAATTGTCTTGAAAAGAGTGCAGGAAAGATTTTCAGGGAAAAGCAGAGGTCGAAACGAATGATGGGTTTCCGTCAGGTATACAAAGGGAACAGGATAAATAGAGGCAAGGAAGTTTTAGATGCAAGGAGTGAGTGATGCTAAGCATTGGTTTCAAGTACTTGGGCAAGGACTTCTACAGCGGATCTCAAAGTGGGATCTGCTCGGCCGCAGATTGCGAAGAGCAGGTTGTCCACGTTGCGATCTAACTGTTCCTGGAGCCTGGCGGGACAAGAGCTGAAAATATGGTCATGAGACATATGGGCAGATCCAGATGGAAACTGAATCCCTAGTGTGTTGTACGCTTTTTTCGGGACGCCGTCAATGGCGAATGTGTCTTTGAGCGGTGATACGGTCGACTGTGTGCGCTCGATGGTTGATAGAGAAAGGATGTAGTTGCGAGCGAGGAGGGCAGCACATAGGCAGTCAAGGAGGTGCTCTGAGACATCGGGGAATATAGTGCGGAATGGCTTGAGAAGAGTCTTCTCGTCGTTTTTGCGAAGGAATACCATGACAGGGGATGCTAGGCGGAGCACATAGCGAGGAAAGTCCTTGACAGAATGTTCCAGCTCATCTAGGGTCCATTCATGGTCGTCCAGCGTCCAATTTGGGTGCCAGAGCCGTGGTTTTTCATCCTCGTTTATTGACATCATAGCCGGCCGCCCAGGTGAGTTAGTTCTTGGTGGTGATGATGCCTTCGGGCTCACACTTCCCGATCTGATCTCAGGTTGTAGACTCGTCTCGCGCTTTCCCTGCGCAGATTCAGGCCTTTCACAGATCACGGTTGATCCGACACTGTCTGAAGAAGTCAATGATCCTGGATCAGTATATGCATCGTCGTCATCATCATCGACCGTGCTATCATCGTAGCTAATAAAGGAGTAGTCGAAGTCACGAGTTCTATAACCACTGCCAGACAAATTAAGAGGAGTGTCCGGGCTAAATGCGGATACTTCCTCTTGACGTTGATCTGGGGTGGCCGGTATGGTATGTGGCAGCAATGATAACGGTGGAAGTAGTGGAAGCGATGGTGATGATTGTCTAGCAATGTCGACAAGTTTCGGTTTTGTCTTGCTAGCGACGACGAATCTCTATATGGGGGTCAGCTTTCAAGGTCATCTCGTAGTAAGAAACTAGTGAACTTACTACAGGTTCTTCAAGGGCTTTTGCTCCCGGAATGATGTCGAGTTTTGGCATTGGAGGATCGTTCTCGACGATCTGGAACTTGCGCCGATTGTTGGGCTCCTTTGTAGATGAATTTCGGTCGTTGACCTTGTCAACCGGCACACCTTGCAGCCACCTTTCGCAGTACGAGAAGTTGCTGGGCACCCAGCTGGCTTCACTAGACACTGTCCCAGTTCGAGGGCGTTGAGGTCGTGGTGAGCTACCGGGAACAAATACTCTCGGGCTGTGGATTGAGGTTGGGATTGCAGGCTTGATGGGAGGTTGGGCTTCTGGCACCTGTTCCCTCCCAGACTCGCACTGGCGTACAAACTCTGAGTGGGCTTCATGGACATTCATGACACCTGTGCGCGGTTTGTTCTTCCAATCTGGTGGACGGTATGCTGTGTACTGTATTCTTTCCCCAACCTCAAGTGTTGCGGCTGTTAAGGCGACCTCCGGTTTAGTAGCATCGGGATCAACCTTCTCAGATCCTCCGACACTGGAAGGCCGTGATTCATCTGAGGACTGACAATCGAAATAAGATAACTCTGGACCGGCACTTGCAGGGCGTGATTCTGTTATAGGTGGGCTGGGTAGAAGGCCGAATCCCTCTAGACTGCTACAAGTCAGGTTTTGGTCGGAGCGCCACGTTCGTAAAATGTGATCGGCCGGCGTTCTCGGCGGCCTGTTTAGCTTTTCAGAAAAGTTGGAAGTAGGTCCATCAAGTGACGCCGGGGATGAAGGAAGCATTAATTGAAATGGTTCTTTCATTTTTCGAACCGAACGAAAGGGCGACACGCAACCTGGGGCCCGATCTGTGGGGCGCCGCGATTGTGAGGTTGAAAAGTCAGGCGACTCTATCCGGGGCATAACAGGTGATGTTGCAAATGATAGCGAGGGCATATGTCTGCTTCGCCTTCGGGGTATATAGGTGGGAGACCATCGGCGCGGTGATGGGATGTGCTCGGCCATCGCCATTGTATTGTGGCTCATCGAAGACGAGTTCGAGTCCTGATTTTTTATATGCGTCTGCATCCGGGCCTGAAAACATGCATGGCTAGACAGCTCCGTCGCACCACTGTCCATATTGGACGACGGCATGGCTGAATGTAACAATCGGGGTCTGGAAGGTCGAAGGAAAAAAAAACCAAAACGTGTTGTACAAGAGTAACCCAGACGAGATTACAATCCAGTTTGTTTATTGTTGAAGTCAAAACAAATGAACTCCAGTCCCTGCAGGGGTTCGATATATCCTTATACAGTGACTGTGGCGCTAGTAAGGTAATCTAAGGTGGGTATGGTGATCGGGCTACAGTGCACATCCCTTGACAGGACCACAACCCTGGGATGGAAGCCCGAAAATGTTCAACGGCAAGATTTCCCTTTCGAGTGTGAAAGAGGGTCCTCCGCCTACCACAAACACTTGGAGTCAGGCTGTGCTTAGCACGGGCCAGGGTAATAATAGTGGGAATGAGGTCGCTCCGTCCTTGCATTCCTGAGAAGATGAGAAACCCGGACAACAAAGGGCAACAATTGGCTTCAGAACTCAATCTGTTGCCCTGCAGGAGCCCGTCAACGTGGAGAGACCCTGTCCATTGCCTCAACTCGTCATAGCTAGGTTCCGACTGGGCAATTGGAATGAGACATTTGGGATGGAAGAGGGGGGAGCAGGGGAGCCATGGCGAATCAGACCCTCGAGAAGGGTAAAAAGATCAGCTGGAGGGTGTATTAAAGCGGGTCTTCATTGGATATTCTGTCTCGTCGCAACAGCAATCCACCCCTTCTTGACTACTGTGGCTATCCCTTGCATATATCTGGTTCATACCTTTGTTATTGCACATATCAGTCTAATTTCTGGAGATTTGGATATAAATGCCTGGTGAGGGCTTGGATTGATCACTCTGATCAACCAATTTGAGTCGGAATGAACCAGGAAGAGAGAAATTTTTTAGATTGATAGGCTGGCGCAAGATGATCTCTCATACTTGCTGAGCTAGGCTGAACCAGATGAGGCTGACTAAGAATGATAGATCTAACTCCCGGCGGGAAAACACGGCACAATTAATGGATAGGTACATTTGAGCAATTGCCCTATCTATTGATGAAGAAAGATCGGGGATATCTTTAGAAGGTTGCATTAGTTAGAAAGCCAAATTTATTGAGGGATAGATCACACACAGCCCATAGATGCAGCTCTGGACCCGGGGAGGTCGGCGACTATGATCCGAACAAACAGTGCAAACATCTCGTTATCAATCGATTAAGAAAAAAAAAACCTCGGAAGGAATGGACAACTTGAAACCAACCTCCCATACTTCGTATGCCAACCTCATTCTTCCATTCCTGATGCTTTCCGAATCATTTGTGGCGTCGACGCTGTCATCCGCCAAATCTCCGACAGCCTCGCTCAGAGATGTAGGGGTCTGCGTCCATGAATTGCAGCCTTCGTCGATACTGCGATCGACTTTCAAGAAGAGCTCGACTTTGACCAATTGTCTGGCTGTCAGCCCGTCACACATTTTCACAGCCCAAGCTGACAAAGCCGTCATTCACGTGTACAATCGAGAGAAGGGTAACCAAGAGGGCATTGTTCCATTTCCAGAGCGGATACGCAGTATTGCTGTCGCGGGAGGCAAGTATGGTGATGTCTTGGTTTTGGGCACCGAAGGTGGTCGGTTAATTGTCTGGGAGGTATGTTGGATCTGATTGATACATTTATCCATGTCATGCATCTAACATCTTTTTCAAGACATGCACAGGGCGCCAAGTAGCCACAACGGCCTCCCATCTGCAACCAGTAACCTCACTCGTCGTCGACCCCACGTCCAACTTTATCTTGTCTGGCTCCGCCGACGCCAGTGTACATGTCTGGTCCTTGCCCGGCATTCTCTCTTTTTCAAAACCCGCTCTTAGTGCAACTCGCCAACCCACAAACTCGCCTATCCGAACTTTCTCCAACCACCGCGCAGCTATCACTTCCCTTGCTGTAGGACATAGCAATGGCCGCCATAACATCGTGGTATCAACTGCAAAGGACAACACTGCGATCGCATGGGATTATCATACCGGCCGTACACTGAGAACCTTCCTCCTTCCTTTATCCGCAACATCGGTGGCTCTAGACCCGGTCGACCGGGCTTTCTACGTGGGATATGAAGACGGCAGCGTGCAATCAGTAGACTTCTACCGCAGTCAGTCTGCGCAGCATCCTCTTCACGATCCTTCAGTACAATCAACACCCGCCCAGGTGTCCATGGAGGACCGGTGGCTCCCTCCCTCGGCTGAAACAGGCTCAGTGAAGACAATCTCCCTTACATATGATGGCACCACGTTACTCTCCGGCCACGCGAATGGCAAGGTGCTATCTTGGAATGTTGCGCGACGGAAGTACACATCCTCAATCGCCGACTACACGCACCCAATCACCAATTTAGTCATGCTCCCTCCGGGTGGTATCCCCCACCCTTCCTCGGATTTGAAGAGAAAGGCCCACACCATTGTTAAGCCGCGCCATGATAGTGGCCTTTCAGCCCCGAATCATGCCCCTGGTGCCGTTCCCGCAGAATATATGTTCCATACGCAAATCATCGCACCTTCTAACTCCCGCAAACCAACACAATTCTCTCAGGCGCTTACTCATTCCTCTTTCCCCGCCTCCATGATCGAAGATGGTCTTGCAGAACTCGCGGCATTCCGCCAGCCTGGCAATGTGGAACTCACCCGCGTTGCCTCAAGCACCGCCTCTGCCAAGGAAACCCTGGAAGACGCAGCTGCTCGCGATTCGCAGGTCGCCGAGCTAGAGAACGAGGTGTCGGTGCTGAAGAAGAAGGTTGCTGTCAATGAGATTGCTCGCCATAATGCGGACGATGAGGTTGCACAGCTGCGCTTAGACCTCGCCAATCTGCAGGATTATACCAACGAGCTGCACGAGAAGCAGGAGGCGGCACAGCAAGAGAAGGTCCTGCGACAAGCAAGGAAGCAGGAGCGCCAGAAGAAGAAGCGGGAAGCCTGGCTCGCTGCAGAGAAGAAGGGTCGCAACGGTGATGCAGTCATTCAAAAGATGGACGTTGATGGCGATGTGACCAGTGACTCGGATGATCAGAGCGACGAATAAAAAAAAAAGCTTTGGGTTTTTGGTTTGCATGTCAATGGATCGGCGCAGGGTTTTGGATTAGTATATACTATACCATTTTGGAGCTTTCAGGTCAATACGAAAAATGTCCGCCACGTACATGAATATGCATATGCATACATATGCATATGCAGTTCAATCTCCCAAATGATTTTCTCGTATCGTCTTGAGACGGTTCTCATCTATGTCTTTGAATGGACGAGCCATTAACCCCAAATGTGTTTGTTTCATTGGACGACAGCTCAGGCGTCGAACTCTTACTAGCTTAAAACTGTTCATCCGAGCTACATTGTTTCAATAATCATCTGATCCTAGAAACAGGGGTCTCGTATCTACAAAATAGCGTAAAATATACCTTGGAGGGGATCGTCACATTTCCTAGTGGATCGGGGTGTTCGCGAGGCAACCCCAAAGGGGTTGCATTAATGCAGGCTCTCGTGGCAAGATGCGCAAGGATGGATACAATTGTCTCAGAAGCTCTGTAAGCTTCTCTTCTCTCATTCACCAAGGGCATATATCTATACAAATCGTGATTTAGCAAGGTGGCAATCCTTGTATATCATCCAGGCTCTTATCCCGCTGCTCCGCTATTCTCTTCCCCTCCCATAGAGTCTATGCGCAGGGGGTCGATATCTTTAGAACTACCACACACAGAGATATCGAGACCCGGGCAAAAGAGTAAGGATTTGATCGATGCCCATTGTTCGCAGTATAGAGCACTGCTGAACAGTAAAAGAAGAACCTGATATCTCCACTATGAAAGCTCCACCTCCAATACACCCTCCCCACAAGACATCCCTCCATATTCCGGGGAATCTCATGAAATCTCAAGCCACCGCATGACCACATCCCTGTTCAAGAGCCTCCCCCTCATCAATCTCTTTCATAATACTAACCCCAGAACTAGTTCCAATGCGAAGTGCTCCAGCCTTAAGCATGCGCAACAAAGCCTCAGCAGTACGTATACCTCCACTAGCCTTAATCATGCAAGAACACCCACACAGCTCCGCCGCAAAGCGCATAGACTTAACCTGCGCAACACTTGCACCGCCATTCCAGCCCGTGCTAGTCTTGACATAGTCCGCGCCAGCCAAGCACGACACGATCGTCGCATCGATAATCTGGTCCTCCCCAAGCAGAGACGCCTCCACAATCGCCTTGAGGATAATTGGTGCCGGAGCTGCGTTGCGCACCGCACGAACGTCGTTGTACACATCCGTGTACCGGCCCTCTTTCAGCAGGTCGTACCGGATCACCATGTCGAGTTCGGTGGCGCCCTGCGCAACAGCCTCTTTGGCTTCACTCACTTTCTCCGCTGTAGCGTGCGTACCCTCGGGGAATCCGACCACGCATGCGAGAGCTGTGGTGGTGCCTTTGACGTGGCTTGCTGCGCGGGCGACGTGCTCCAGTCGTACACATACGGCGGCGAACTCGTATTCAAGAGCTTCTTTGCATAGCGTGTCGATCTGTGAGGGGTCGACTGGGGTTGATAAGAGAGTGTGGTCTATTGTGCGGTGGATTTGTGTTGAAATTGGCGGCTGGGATAGTGAGTGTCTGGGCAGCTGCTTCTTCATGTTGGCTATCTTTTCCGCCCATTCGGCGTCTGTTGATGGGATGGCACTCATGCTGGTCGGTTTGTGTACTGTGCCTTGGCTTGGAGAGCACGCCGCCGGAGTAGTGTTAGGGATTACTTCCGGAAATGTGTTCAACTGTCTTACTGAACTTAGCGCATAGAGGGGAAGAGGGGTTGTCACGTGGGGCCTTCAGAATCATCATGACGCCCCCTGTGATTCATGTTGACACGATGTGACCTTGAGGAGGCGGTGTTGTGGCGCTAAGTGACTAGTGTATGTGTCTCGGGCTCGCACTTTGGGTAAATTCAAGCGATATATCAAGTGTAATGGGTGATTATAACCCTGTACGGAGTAGTATATGTGTATTTTGAAGGTGTTTGTAGCAAAGTACAAGGTTCCGTTGGATTATATATGTATCAAAACTGCATTGCAAGATGGATCACATATGCCAAGCTTCCCGACCAAAAAGGCGAAACCGAAGACCCCTAAAAACCCGATATCTTGGTCCATGTCCTAACCTATTTTCTCTCCATGGCACTACATTGAAGCAGCGATTCGATCGCTTTGAATTTTCGCTTATTTGCAGCTCCCGCACTCCGGCCCACGAACATCATCCACACGTCCCACGCGTCGGGGACCGGATCCCGGACCACCGCCGCCACCACCTCCACCTCCACCACCTCCTCCACCGAATGAGTTTGTGCTGCCTCCCCAGCGAGGGCGAGTAGTATATTTATTGCCCTGATTCTTAATATTGAAAGAGGAGTTCTCGGCGGCGGCGTATGAGTCAAGCTAAGATAAGTCAGATTAATTCAGTTGCGGAATATGAAAGAGCGGCAGGGTGAAACGAGAAGCAAAAGGAATAAGATGTCGCATATAATAAGTCTCTCGGATATACATACCGATAAGAGTGTAGTGAAGTACAGGCCAAGGAAAAAGTAAACGCTCTCGATGAAGCGGCTGAGCCGCACGGTAAACGGGGGGCTGTGGACACGCTGGTCAGTGGTTCGGGTCTCTAGTTGTTGCAGGAAAAGGGGTAAATCACCTCTGGAGAGCCTCCCCGTTGGAGAAATAGATTGGCTTTGAGGGTCTGGCAGACATGGTTGTGATGGAGGATGGTTGTCAGAATCGAAGATGTGAATGAGGTGGAGTGATCAACATGGCCGGGCCGGGGGTCCACTAATTTATAGCCGCATTCTTTCCTTTTCCTCTGTGTACAAAGTATAGGTGTAGGTATATCGTATAACAATTGTTCTACAAATAAATGTATGAAGAGATATTTTCTTTTCGAATAATGATATTTTTTTTCAATGATCATGCATGTCTCGTTTCTAGGGGTATCTGAATGCTGTCTATGTACACCACAATTTGTAACCATCGCTCGGAAATATATATATGTGAGAAAAAATGTCCAATCACTGCTTCTCGTCCACCGACACAGCGACCGCGTCCACTTCGCTGCGAATTTCATCCAATCCATGGAATCCCTCTTCAATCACCCATCGCTGGCCTTGGGGATTGTGCAGCACATGGCAACTAGCACCAACGACCAGCAATCCCGGTGGTCGCGACCCTGCCTCCTCGAAGGCCAAGCAGACGTGCTCTAAGGTTGAGCGAATTACACGCTGATCTGGACACGATGCCCGCTCAACAATCGCACAGGGTGTCTCCTTAGGCCAGAGTGCGCGCGATTGCGAACCAGTGTCTTCGGCGGGGAAGGTAGTGAGAGACTCCACGAGAGCAGAAAGTCTGTGAAGAGCCATGAGGAAGACCACAGTTTGAGTTGGGACGTAATTAGGAGGGTTTGGAGCAGCTCCTTTTCTGCCGGTTCCTGTGCACACGAGGACCTGGTCAGAGACACCGCGGTGGGTTGCTGGGATATCGGCGAACAGGGCCGCGCTCATAGCGCTTGTAATTCCCGGCAACACGACCGGGGAATAGCCCTCCTTCCTGAAAAACTCGAACTCTTCCGCTCCACGTCCATATAGATATGGGTCTCCCTGTTTCAAGCGAAGGACTTGCCGTCCTTGCTTCAAAGCTGCTAGACCCATCACGAGGAATTCTTCCTGTGCTTGGTCTGCGTTGCCAGGGAACTTGCGTGCGATGTGGACTTCTGTTCGGCGAGGGATCAAGTCCAGGACTGGGGCGGGAACAAGCTTATCTGCGAGGATGATGTCGGCATTGTGGATTGCGTGGTAGGTGGCGCGGGTGAGTAGGTCTGGGTGGCCGGGGCCAGACCCTGCGAGGACAATCTTCCCCTTCTTTGGGAGTGTATCGAGGCCGTTTGTGCCATTTGTTGTGGCATTTCCAGATGTATAGGCCTTCAGGATGGCATCCATATCGGCATCGGTGATAGACACAAGCTTTCGGAGAGGCCAGTATTCACAGATTTGAGACAGCCAACGCACCCTTCTTGTCTTCGCGGCGGCAGCATCACCTTCTGTGACTAAGTTATTGAAGGTGTGTTTTTGGCCTACACTATCATCGTCCTCTCTGTCAAATATGCCTTCTGCTAGCCCGGCAGCATTGTCCTCTTCCCACAGTCGCCTCCGCACGGCACCAAGTCTGTCGATGGCTACTCCAAGGTTTTGTGGTAGGAAAGCAGCAATCTCCCGACGCAGCCGGGATGCAAGCTTGCACCCACGGCCGGAAGTAGTGATTCCAATGTGAAGGGGGCCATCTGAGTAGGTGGAAAGTAGGGTGAAGGAACACAACTCGGGGGCATCTGATACGTTCACTGGGATTCTGAGACGCCGACAGAGCTTCGATATATGTGGGCCTAGTAAGAAATATAAGTAAGGTTGGTTTGAGAATTGTACAAGCAGGACATACTTAGTGAGTTGTTGCTACCCAAGGTGACAAAGACCAAGTCCACAACGTGATCAACTTCGCCTCTGCCCAGGGTTGTCAAGTCCTCGTCTTGGAACTTGTGACGAATCCATTGAGCAGAGCCACTAGCAATGTGTTCAGATATGGTGAAATGCATCTCATCTGTCTCCGGCGCAATGATGATCGGCTTTGCGCCGACCTCGAGACTCCTCGCACATCGAGCGGCGGCAAGAGGATTTGAACCGACAATCAAGTGGACTTGTAATTCGGTATTCCACGCAGCCATCAATGGCGCGGGTGAACTGGGATCGCATGATGCGTCCTTCATGGTGAAGTATAGTGGGAGGAAATATCAAGCCCCGCCAATGACTATCAGTATGTATAAGATGTGCCGGTTTCGGAAAGATAAAGAGACCAAATTGCGGAAGGCTCTGGATTTCCGAGGATTCAAAGGAATCGCAGCTTGTATTTAACAAACAGAGCACCCAATGAAATGACTTTCTAGACTTCCGCGGAGAAAGCGGCGAATATCAAAAGTGTGTAAAAGGCCTGTCGCGATTGGTGATAACAGGCGATAAGGATATCGAAGTGGGGGATGATCCTGGCACAATTGACAGGAAGCCCTGATGTTTGATTTAAAGAGTGATCAATAGTCAGACAAAAGGTTCCTGAGGTCGATCTTATACCATTGACTCATATATAGCAAACATAACAGACACACAACAATTTCCAAAAATTTCTATACATCTTTATCGCCTAAAACGGTTAAAGGCAATTGCGTGCTTATTATCATGTGACTCCAAATACCGGGGAAGTCATGCAGCGGGAGGTATACCTAAAGTAGTTTAGTGGGGTTTTGCAAATAAAAGAAGTGCGTGGTCTTTAACTTTTTCTATAGTTCTGTCTCTGACAACATAGTCCAAGCAGTCTGATCCATTTAGCTTAGAATAATATTGAGGAAGTTGGATCCAAAGAGAACAACCCGATATCTTTTTATCTGTTTTCCCTCCTTTCCAGTGTTATCGCTGGAAACATAAAAATGGTTAGTCCTAAAATGCAGAATATGGTGGAAAGCTCAGATCACATAACTAACCTATAACAACTACCTACACACAGCCTGTAACAGAGCCCAAGTATATCCTAAAAGGCGCAAAATAGGGTTTCCATGCATGTATACTCTTCTACCAACGCTCTGTGACTCTTCAAAGTTCCTTCCCAAGTTACAACTAAGCTACAGCCGCGATACCTCGCGATTTTTGTTTACACTCCTGCTGTCACTTACCATGCCATGTTGTATTCGTGTTCGATTTCTTCGCCTCATCGCCAGCCTCCATGGTCTTCACAGCTTCTGTTACTGCAGTAGACTGTGATGAAACGAACGAAGTCACCAAAAAAGATAGACGCCCATCCAAGTCTCTACAGCAAACATTTCAAGTGCTATGCGCATCCATTCTATTCCGCTACCCAAGGCCTTAGCCAACTCGACCAAGTCAGGCATCTTCATCTCCATCCTTATTGTCGACTTAACCCACAACTCGCTATTCGGCTATAGCAGAGATTTGAACAAATCAAGCCTGAAGAACAAAAAGAAGCACTCCCACCGTTGCTTAAAGAGGTACGCAACACAACATCGATAGCTCTTCCCTGTCCCAAATCACTTGGACCCCTTCAAGGCTGGTCTCTGACCAAGTTGTATGATACGAGACTACGACACATTCAAAGGCAAATAATGGAACGAGAAGGCCATCTCATATGCCCGCGGGAAATCTTCGAACAACCACATCACAACATCACAACATCACTGGCGCTTCGCCATCTCAAAGCAGTTAGCTAGGGACCAAGCTTGGGAGTTTTCCAAGCTGTGCGATATGAGTCTACGACAAATTCAAAGGCGAACAATTGAACGAGAAAGCCCTCTCGTATGCCCGCGGGAAAACCTCAAACAACCAACCCGAACGTGTCCAGGGCCGCCTTCAGCAGCCATTAGGGCAATTGGCGGGAATGGGAATGGTCCTGGACGCCAGTCATTCAACATGTACTTTGCCGACTTTAAGTGCATCGGGAACAAGTCATCAATACTCCAAAAATCCTTCGATTCGCTGCTGGCAATTTTCCTTTCAATCTAACAATATGAGGTCTATCTTGGGGATACCATCCGCTGTGATGGTATCTCCTGCTCTTGTTTTTATTGTTTAATCCAGCCGTTCTTCTGCCACTCATACTTTCAAATTATCTATGCGTAATCCTCTTTTAAGCATATGCTTGTCAAGGTATAGTTCAGTACATTTATGCTGGATTTGCCACTAATCCTAACTAGGTATAGCCTTGCGCAAATACCACGATTTGGTGATCCAAAGGCCACGAGCAATCGTGTCCTACCCGCTACAATATTCATACGATTTGTATTGTTAATATTGTTTATAGACCTGGATTATTGTTAAGTTTCATCGGGTGGTTTTGACAAATTCACTTTAGAGCCTCATATATTGGTCTCTATGGCATATTTGACTCGGTGAACATAAAACATGAATCAGAGAACAATATATAACTTGTTGGCTCTAGTTTGAATGGTCAGATATTTAGAAGATATTGAATTATACTTGCTGGGAATATTCCAAAATGCCAGACAAAAGGACAACTGGAAGTAGAAGTCCCAGGAAGACAAAGTGATGTTTCAGTCACGTGGGATGGAGCTTCCAGCTCGTAAGGGCGCGCAACACCGGAGCTACAAGCATCATCTCCATCTCACCCTCTTCCATTCCACGAATCTCACGTTGTCAAGTCCAACAAACGTGCTCAAAGAACTTTCATATCAACTCAACCTAATAATCTTTTAAATTGACTCACCGGCTCCCCCAGCCTCATTCGTCATCATGTCCGGCGGCCTGTTGAAGCCCGAGAAGGACTTCACCAAGGATGCCGACAAGCTCATCCCGGAGGCGGAAGATCTCGCGAAGGTATATCCAAACTCAATATCCATATAAAAGTTGATGCTAACATATATGGTTCTAGACCGATGTTCAGGGAGCAATCGATAAGCTGTTGGGTCTGGAGAAGCAATCCAGACAGGTACGATGCCGAGTGTCATCCCCATTACCGATCCACCCAGACTAATCAAAATTCTCTTGTTCAGGCATCCGATCTTGCCACTACATCACGACTCCTGATTGCCATTGTCACCATCAGCAAGAACTCCGGCGACTGGAGCCTTCTGAACGAGCAAGTGCTGCTCCTATCCAAGAAACATGCCCAACTCAAGCAGGCTACAACGAGGATGGTGCAGACAGTCATGAAATTCCTTGATGAGACACCTAGTCTGGAGGTCAAGATGTCTGTTATCGAAACTCTGCGCACAGTGACCGAGGGAAAGGTACGCTGAGAACCATTTGATATTGACTGGAGTGGCGCTAATTATCGCAAAGATCTTTGTTGAAGTAGAGCGAGCTCGCGTTACCCGCATCCTTTCGGATATCAAGAAGACCCAAGGCGATCTCACTTCGGCAGCAGACATCCTGTGTGAGTTGCAGGTAGAGACATTTGGGTCGATGACGAGACGGGAAAAGACAGAATTCATCCTGGAGCAGGTCTCTTTGTGCATTGAGCGCGGAGACTGGACCCAGGCTCAAATTCTCAGCCGCAAGATCAACAAGAAGTATTTCAACCGCAAGCCAAAGAAGTCCGCCGAGGAGATCGAGAAGCTCAAGGAGCAGGCAGCGGAGCGAGAGAAGACCCGTGGGCCCGATGAGGCACCCATGGAGGTGGATGACGACGTCACAGATCTCAAGCTTCGTTACTTCGAACAGCAGATCACCTTGGCCAACCACGATAACAAATATCTCGAGGTTTGCAAGAACTACCGGGAAGTTCTGGACACACCAGCAGTGGAGAACAACCCAGAGCACCTGCGTGCTGTAAGCAAACCTTTCCCATCTCAGAATGCAGGCCACCACTAACCCGACTATAGTCACTCGCCCGCATTGTGTACTACGTTGTCCTTTCTCCCTATGATAATGAACAATCCGATCTCTTGCACCGCATCAAGCAAGACTCGCGGCTGTCACAAGTCCCCGAGGAATCCCGCTTGTTGAAGCTCTTCACTATTCCCGAGCTGATGCGCTGGCCTATGGTTGCTGAGCAGTTCGGCCCTCACTTGTGCAGCACAGACGTGTTCGATGCCGAGGCGAAGCAGTCTACTGATAACCAGGCAAACCAGAGGTGGCAAGACCTGCGGAAGCGGGTCATTGAGCACAATGTCCGTGTAGTGGCCAAGTACTACACTCGCATTCAGATGGGCCGTCTGACCCAGCTTTTGGATCTGACCGAGGAAGAGACGGAGAAGTACATTAGTGATCTGGTCACATCGAAGACCATCTACGCTAAGATTGATCGACCCGCGCGGTTGGTCAACTTTGCCAAACCTCGGGATGCTGATGACGTTCTGAACGAGTGGAGCAGCGACATGAAGAATCTGTTGGGTCTGCTTGAGCGGATCGACCATCTGATCACCAAGGAGGAGATGATGGCTCGTATCCAGCCCACCCGCAGTGACATGGGCAAGGCGCATTAAGTTGATTTGAGATGAAAGCATATATGGGGCTTAGGCGCGGGGATTACTGCCACCGCGTGTAAAATAATTCGCCGGTAGACCCATAAGTAGTGAAGTCGCAGCATTGACCTTTATATGACCCATACACAACACAATATTATTCTCATATCAGTAGCAATCATCAAGTCGTTATTCTCAGAGGAGTATATGTGCTACATGTAACCATAGTCTAGAAGATCTAATCTAATCTAATCCAGTAAAGATCAAGCTCTGTCTATATACAACGTTCTGGCACTCAAAATGGCAAATCCATATCATTCACATCCTCTTCCACCTCCTTATCATTCGAGCCCTCACTCCGCTTCAACTGCTCCCGAATAAATAGCACAGCAGCATCAAGATATGGCCGCTGACTCGGCAAAAAGTGACCACCAGGATGCCAAACAACCAATCCCTCCTTCTCAGGCTCACCAGCACAAGCCTCGACCAAAGACCGACTCCTCGACTCCTCAACAACAGCATCCAAAGACCCAAGCACATGCAACACAGGCGTCTGAATAGCAGGCTCCTCATAGAACGCCCTATACCGAGCCCCAAGCGCCCTGAACCCAGAGTAACAAATCGCAAACTTAAGCTGCGGATGCTGGAACCCGTCCTCGCCAAACGGCGCTGGAATCATCATCCCCGCCGCACCATCAGTGCTTATCTTAGAAAAGTGCTCGAATGACTCCTTCCGGCCGGGCTCCAGCAGCGCCGCAACCATGGCGGCCAGCGCCGCGCCCTGCGAGAACCCGATCACGCCGTCGAATGGGCCTTCTTCTTTCAGTGTGCGCGCTACAGCTGCGAACCCTTCTTCGATGCCGGTGTACAGAGGCGGGTTCGCGGTGTTGGAGCGCCGCCACCAGCCGTAGGATTCAATTTCGTTGTCTGGAGTGCCTTCGGAGGAAGGCTCGTAGCCTGGGATGTCGGCAGGTCGGAGACGAATGGGGGCTGTTGGGTAGCTAGTGGAGACTTCGTGGAGGGGGAAGGCCTTTTGGATGTGTTTTGTCAGGGCGCGGCTTTTGGCGTGGAAGAGGCTGCCGGACTGGGTGTAGCCGTGGAGCATGAGCAGTTTGAGCGGTTGCCGCGACGAGGTTGTGGGGTTTGGGGCCATTGTTGCTAGATATCGAGTGTGTGTGTTTTTTGAAAGTAGGAGGGAACTTAAAGGCTTGGAGGAGAGGGTTGTTTTATACATTGGAGGGAAGAGGAGAGGCTAGAAGGAGGTGACTCTTTTCTCCCCTCTCAGGAGCGATAAGATAAGATAAGATAAGGAAATGTGCGATTAGTGCCTGAGCATTCGGGCCGCAAATTCTGTTTGTTTACCAAGAAGAGCTTCTTTTCTTCCCTTCTTTTCTTCCCTCCTTTTCTCCTTCCCTTTCTTTCTGGGATTAGTCTATTCGGTATTTCTCCCTCGTTACTATAGATAGGAGAGTGGAGCACTTTCCAAAGTTGCGAAACAACTGGCCCTCTACGCCGCAACTCAACCAAGCCATGAGTGATCTCACAACTTTATTCATAAATGCAGCCAACTTCGCAGTCGGCACGCGTTCGCGTGCAATTTTTTATGTAGGTGACTGGACACCGTCGGGCACTGAAGCCTCTAAGATGTTGTCAGCCACTGAGCCGAGACTGGAGAGTTCAAGTGAACAATGGAGCAAGGAGGCATTCAGAGTGCCTAAGCCTGAATACGTGAGTTTGGGTTTCCCCATAATATTCGCGCACCATGAGGCGGATATGCTTGATTCGCAGGCTCTCTTCGACGAGTGCGATCTCAATTACACCGTCGTGCCAAGCCCCAGCGAGCTCGATGTATCGATATGGCGTGACGTATCAATATGATTAGGTGTATTGCCAGTTGGGTAAAACTAATCTTCCCCGCATCTTTCGGCGGCAATAAAGTTGCTGACTGCCTTGCCGTGACCGACGGACATGCAAGTAAGTGGTGCACATGTTGCGGCCTACACGAAATGGCGTTTGAAGACTCTCGACCTTATGGTGGAGGAGCGGGCATTGCTAGGCATATTGTGCTGGTATTATCATGAAAAATGACCACCGAGGCCCTAGAGCTGCATTCACATGATCCAGCTACATGGCGCATTTTCTGGAACCTCATGGAGAAGGGTAAGTGCGCCCAAGCCGTCAAGGTGGCCGATGACGGCTCGACTATGGAGCGAGCCGCATTAAATCTGTACCATGCGACTGCTCGTACAAAAACCCGAGCTCCTGCGCAGACATGTCAATGTTGAAGCGTGCAGTTCGGAGCATGTATGCAAAGGAGCTGATGATATCGCCAAGGCCTTTGCCGATTGCCGCTTTGCGGTCAATTCGGTGCAAGCAATGCTGGTTCAAGGCAATCGACATAACCCCAAGAAGTAGGTTATACGGTGGGAGACTTTTATGTACTTGGGTAACGGTAATATGCATGGTCGATCAATTTACACTGCGGCCAATGGACGACCGATCAGGAAACGCCTAGCGAGTTTCCCTCTATTGAAAAGCTGTGTTCTATTGCGAATGGACTGGAGATATGGATACGACACAATGGCTTCATACTTATTGCCGACGCGATGTATGACAATGCAATCACATTCTTTTCGAAATTCTGCGCCTGGCTGCCCGGCGATGCGGGCGTTAGAAGGTCATTTCGACATGTGCGCATACCTCGCCAGGTCATAGGAGCGGCAACTGAACACGGTGGGCTTGGCATATCACCACCAGGATGCTATGAGAAGTGTTATTGCAGTGTTTGTTGGACTAATGTCGCAAAGTAGAGGGGCAATGATATCCGGCGTTACGTCATGAAGCTAATCAAGGCTGAGACCGGCATTGGCAAGCTCAAGCGAAAGAAATCAACTGCAGTTCGTGAGCAACCAGCGGGAGCTCACAACCAGACAGATCACACACCAGACAGATCATGAGACGTGCAACAAGTTTGCTGGGTCGATAGACATGTATATAAAGGCGGTAAGAGTTTAGCTTGGCAAAACAGGGCGGTCAAATCGCCGCCCCTCAAAGCCCGTCCAAAATAGGAAACTTGGACATTAAACAGCTTCATCACATCAACAAACATCTAATTCGTGTCAGAATTATTTTTTTACTTTGACAATCACCACAAATTTACGCAATTATGTCCAACACCAACCTCCAAGAGCTCAATGCTAAGATGCAGGCACTCATCGAGCATGTCTCCCCCACCTCGCAACCCCACCACACAATATCTTTTGAAACCTCTCGATAGTTCACATATCAGCAACATATATTATGTTACTAACGATCTGGGACAGTGCTTTTGAGTCCCACCCCGGGTGCCAACCCCCTAACACCCACCCAACTATCTTCTTCCTGTACGACTTCGTCCGCAACTCCCACAACCAGCTGAAGGCCGTTGACGCCGCCAAGTACGCTGCTGGTGATAGCGCTGCTAAGGCTGCTGTGGTCGAGGTTGAGGGTCGTAATGGGTTTGCTAATATCCTCGTCAATGACACTACCGGCAAGCTGTCCATGATGACTGGCGGCGACCCCTCCAATCCTGCTGATTTTGGCGCGGAGATCAAGGCTAAGGCGCTGGCTTTGACTCAGTAAGGGGCTCAATGCTTTTTTCCCCCTGTTTTTTCGTACATATTTATGAGGGGATGGGAAGATGAGGACAACGCTAGCCTAGCTTTGCTCTGCACGTTCTTTGGTTTCCATTATTCTCTTCGCCACTGGCACTTGTACAGTAGCTTCATGTACACAGACAATCATATCATGACATACCCATATCTACATACATCCTTGAATGAAACTGCGATTTCTGTTTCTTTTGGTCCCTCGAGCTTTGATATTTCTCTTCTAGGATGCACGAGAAGATATAACCCATATATATACACCGAAGCTGTATAGCTTCTATGAAAATTATACAGGATAATAAAGCAAGACGGCCATAAAGAGTACTAGGCAAGACTACAAATCAAATTTGTTTTCCAATTTAGTCACCTTGAGGCTTACTATGTAGACAAGCGCGCCATGTGGGGAACTCCTGGGACCCGCATTCTTGAGATATCAACTATATATACATGTAGAACAGTGGCCATTGTTATTGGTTTTCAACATAAGTCATTTCAAAAACAAGAGACCTATTGTCTTATCTTTCGCCTAGTGCCGCTTTGTAGACAGTAGTTGTCGGGCAGTGCGAGACAAAGATCTTTGAAACCAGTGATTGAACTCATGTGATACTAGTAACGGCCAAGTGTGCATGGGCTTCGACGCATAATGGTAAAATGGCTGGTCCTCAGCGGGATATTCGGGCAGTAGGAGAGTGTATTCATATCCATCAAATCTCCGAAACTAATAATGGTCAGCGGATCATTGCCTACAGCTAGGGATTTTAACTATCGGAGCTGGTATCTTGAGGACTCACCCGGTCGAAGCTAAATAAGATGATGAGAAATCCTCGGTGAGAATATTATAAGCTCCGAATCCAAGTAAAAAAAAAGTTGTAATCACTCATGAGATGAACAGCCATCTGCGCAAGACCGTGCGCACAACCGAAAATTGAAGAATCTAGAAGAACAAGGAAAGTATGTAACTAATAGCTAACGCTGAGATGTAGCGGAATAGTCACTCTGGATATCCTCCGTGGGGTTATTAGGCAGGAAATATGGAGTAGCGGATCCTCTCGCTGGCGGAATAATTCAAGTCCTGATTCAAAAAGCTAGAGCAACAGCCTTGGTAAACCAGGATTCCTACTAGATAATACGGTGCCGTCCGCTGCTTCTGCCTGAGTGGTATGTTGCTGGAAGATCCTCCTGCCACCAGTGGAGGTATCCGGAGATTGTGTTGTAGTTTCCTGCTCAGTAGATGTGCTTTCACCTGAGCTTGGCGACGGCGATCTCATGTCGTACTCCAAATATTGACATCCGACGCAGCGTGGACTTTCACATTCTATGCAGTATGTATATAATGATGTATTGTGAGGCCCGAAATGACACGCACAGCAATACCACACAGAGACAAGTACCATGGTGTCTCGAGTAATGGGAGAACAGAAGAATAACAGTGTAGTAGTAATCGAGCTAGAGGTTCTGCAGGTCGACACAGAAGTACTACTATAAAATGAGAAGTTGAAGGGGATAAGTTTTTTTCTGGCTTTGAATGTTCCTGGTGTCGTATTTATTCTGGTAAGATGATTGTGCTTTTATTTTCACCTACTTAGATAATCTACTACACTGAGGCTCTTGTTATGCAGAGTTTCTGACCTTGTGACCATGATATATCACAAGGCGCAATTATTGTTCTATTTACGTTCGGCGAGGCTCGTGCCTCCCTGACCATGGGGTATAGGGACGTGCTGAGCTATGAAGTTATCTGCATAATGTGGTAAGAAAGCAACTGTGATTTCAGCGGGCATAAAAAAAAAAAATCGTGGTTCCAGAGGGGGTCGAACCCTCGACTTTGGCGTTATTAGCACCACACTCTAACCAACTGAGTTATGGAACCCGGTGTGTGAAAGACACAGAATAAGTATACCATATCACACGTTTCCAATTAAAAAATACGTTTATTGCGCACCGGCCCTTCTCGCTCAATAATTAGAGCCTCAAATGCAATATAGGCAGGGTGAAATGCTGGGTGATTCTCAGCCGTAGGCCCCGCATGTGACCTGCTCAGCTGAACTTACATTGACAGGTATAATTTTATTGGGTCCTTTTGATCCACTTCCTGTGAGCTCGTTGATATTGGCATAAAGTGCGGCTAACCCAGTATTTCCTCCAATCTTGGACGAACCTATGTATGAGAATTCGCATCCAGTCGATAGGCTACTTGGGACTACGCTTCCAAGCTAGTCCGCAGGCATCATCATAATTGATATGTCATGAAAATCTACATGTCTAACATAACGGCAGATGTAATGTTTAGTACATAGTATGTACGGAGTACAGCTACGGCTATACATCTACAATTGGCGGCGATCTAAGGTACAACTCATGATATAGAGTGTAGAGCCCAATATACAGTAGTCGCAGATAAATTTAAACAGTAAACACAAGAAAGCAGAAAATCAGAACATAAAACAAAGCACAAAGTCAAGCAAAGTGCCTTTTTTGTGCCAGATATCCGGAACTCCCTTAGCAGAATGCTAGTTGCTTTTTTTTAGAATGCTTTTTTGGAGGTCGTTGACAGGGTCGGGGCATTCCATCTTCTATCTGTCATCACGCGCAAAGGAAAACAATAATTCAACGCTGAGATATTTATCATCACCGTGAAATGCAAAAGAAAGAACAGGCAATGGTGGAAAATAGGATGAGAAACGGGCCCAAAAGACCACATTCAAATTTTTGTCTTTCTTCAGAGGGGATAAGCATACTGATATAGAATGGAAAAAAGAACCATATCACATCATCTGCGAATCGCACCCCATCATAAACCCAACACCAGTCGAAAACAACAGTTAAGAAAAAAATGTCCATGTGGTTCGGCAGGGGAAGGGTGATATTGAAAAAAAAGATGTGTTTGGTATGTGACATTTTGAAGCCCGGTAGGAAGAGAGAAAGAGAGAAAGCCCAGTATATGGAACTGGGCTAGAATAGAAACTCTCTCCCCGAAACACCGAAAACCGAAGCCGAGACGATCAAAAAAAAGGTAAGAAGAGGTCAACCCCGGGTTTTGGTATTTTCATCCTAATTTCTCCATGCTAATTCTCTCTTTGACGTTTCAACCGGAACATAACAAGAAAAAAAAGTTTTTCATTCGTTTCTCGTTTACTTGCGGCGGAAAGAGCAGCCCTCGGTCAGACGGGCCTTGCCACCGGTGGGCTGGCAGAGGACAGTCGAGCAGCCGGCGCAGATGACGACGGTCTGGGCGTGGGAGAAGACGGTAGTGATGGTGAAGCAACCGGGGCACTTGACGTCCATGAAGAAGGAGCGGGGCTGGGGCACGAGGGTCTGTAATCGTAGAGTTCCATAATCAGCCGTCATTTCTTCCAACATTTCCATTTTCCACAAAAGTTCCATATCATTCCTGTCGTTCGGTGCCTTTGCCCATTTGCTCCTTGTTGAGCATCAGAGATTCGGGTCCAGGTCGAATATCCAGGTTTCACCTCTCGTCGGGTTGATATTTTCAGATCTTTCGTGTATCGGGGTTCGGTTGTTTCATACCTTAAGCTTGTGCTTACGGGCCTCGGCCTGAGGGGTGGGGTTGAGGAGATCGACCGCGAGAACCTATCGAGGATAGCATGTTAGCGTCGCTGGACGTTGAATTTTTGAATCGATAATCCGTATAGGTCCCCTGTGTCCGTGTGTGGCCGCATCGAACGAAGACCGAGCGGAAAATTTAGGGCGAAAATGGGCTTACCATCTTGACGAGTGAAAGTCGATCAGCGAGATAGTTGATTAATGGCGCTGATGGCGATGGCCTTGTGTGATGCGGATGAGGTGGTCTTCCAAGAGAACTCTGAAGGGATTTGGACCGGTTTGGGTGGAGGTAGGGCTTTGTGCCGCTTTGTGCCCTCGCTTGTCCTTATCTGGGAAGGCGGCGAACTTTCCACCAATCAACGCCTGATTACATAACCTACTGAGGTAAGCACGGGCTAAATCGCTGGTTCCGTGTGGAGACGTGGATTTCGCTGCGGGCAGGCAGTCAGGTGCTTCATCATTCTTTCTACAACAATCCAAAACAACGGCGAAATTACAACTCTCATAATCTATCGCTAAATAGCCACTCCGAGCTTTTTGCTCTGTGTTGAATGAAACAAAATATGTACTGGAAAACGTCGTTAGCCAGGCATCATCTTGTCCACTCTTTTAACGTGTCCGACTGAATACCCGACTCTTCCACTCAGCTCAATTGAGCTGTCTCGCCTGTGGTGATCAAGGTTGAAATGGTGTTCATCCACAAGCCAACCAAACACTCCGGGTTTCGTCAATGATCGCATTACTTGGTCTTCTTCGACACACCGTTCTTGCGCTCGGTCTCCTCAACGAACGGATACTTGATAGTGAGGCACCAGATATCGACGTAGTCGCATATCGTGGTGATAATGTCGAACTGGAGGAAATCAACATCAGCAAATCGTCAAGCGCGGGGGAAACGATAAGGGAAAACATACCACGAAGCTACCGTACACACCAATGGCTAGTCCCAAACAGCCGAATGTGAATGCCACCTGCCCAATCCCATAGCCAAGCACCGGGGCCGACCACAAGCCGATCAGCGCACCCGCGCTGTCCAAAACGCCCAGAGCGAGCGGGTACAGCAGGACATTTTGATAAGGGAAACTCGTCTGAGTGAGGTGGCCGATGATAATGCGGCCGACAGAGTAGGCATTGATGAGGCTCACAAACACGCCGAAAGGAATGGCGTAGTTTTCCAAAATCACTGGCTGCAGGTAAAGGTAGGCGGGAATGACGGTCCAGATTGCCACGCATGGTAGGAGGCCATACAGCGGCGAGATGGGGTCCTGGCCTCGCTCGCGACGCACCTGCATGACGTGCATGATACTCGAGCCGATGGCGAAGAAGAGCATGATGGCGCCATACACAAGGTACCACTGAATGAAAGGCAGGTTGTAAATATAGCTTGAGAGGAAGCTGGGCTTCGACACG